AATTTAAATGGAGAAGTGTATTAAGAGTTCTTGAAAAATCACTTGTTTCCATTAATGGAAGACGTCCCATTGGCGACGAGACAAAATATGCGGTTCCAGCATGACGGCTGTCTCGCACACTACAGTAGATTAGTACGGGCGTATTTGGACTCTAAATTTCCAAATCAATGGATTGGCAGAGGCGGGCCCATTGCCTGGCCAGCAAGAAGCCCAGATCTCACACCGACGGATTACTATGTGTGGGGACATATGAAAAGCCTGGTGTACGATGTTTCGCCCGTACCAACGCGCGATGAATTAATTACAAGGATAATCAGTGTAGCTGACCAAATAAACAGCCGCTTAACAACTAGAGTTACCAAAAGTGAATTACGTAAGAGAATGCGGGCGTGTATTCGTAACAGGGGATTACCATTTGAGCAGAATCTGTAAAATACTAAGGGAAATGTAATTAAATAAAACTTTAATTAAAATAAAGCCTTTTATTTATCCTACGTAATTATCGTTCGTACCACTTTACTCATCTTTTTTTAATTTTATGTCTTTGTACTTGAGTTAGTTGTAACTTTTATACCGCAAATGAAAGCTTGTTACTTATTATGAACTATTGGGATGTCCGCCATGCGACGTTGACAAAAATCTTAAAATCAAGCATGCAGTTTTTTTGTATTTCAAATTTAACCGTCTGAAATCGGAATAAAAATAAAAAAAATAAAATTCAAATAACTCAAAAACGGTTAACTTCTGGATATTACATTATAGGACAAAATCGGTTGCTTTTGACCTAATCTATCACCCCTTAACAAGAATACGTGATATTACAAGTATATATATATATATATACTCATCATGAAGGCTAAATATAATTGGAAATCTTTCTGTGAGAAAGTGCTATATTGTACTTTCACTAATGGTTAAAACTATATGCAAAATTTCTTGAACAAACATAGGCATTTTAGACAAAGTCTTCTCAAAGTAATTTGTTATTCATTGTTGCTTAAATTTTCGAATCTGCATAATAATAATAATCGCAATAGTAATCGTAATTTATTATAATCGTACTTATATTTACTCTGTGTGAAGGAACAGCCACTCCATTTTCAGCCTCATTCTGCATGAATCTCAATACCGAGGCAACAATTTCTCGGCTTTGACCACTTAAAACTTTATTTGCAACTTTACTCTCCATTTTCAGAACCTTCGGGAATAAATTAAAACAACCTATAGCTACCGAAATTAAAATTTTTACTGGAGCTGTACCCACGATACTACCTCGATCGCTGCTGGTTTGTACTGGGGTGACCCCACTACATTCCGCCGTGTCTACCGCGCATCTGACCGTGGGAGCGTGGGAGATCAAGCTAGTAGTTCTGCGCATGGCATGCACTTACAGAAAGGTCTCGACCGATGCACTGCTGTGGTGGCAGGCATCCCGCCAATTGGCTTGCTGTCTGAGGAGAGGTGCGCGAGCTAAAGGAAGCGCACCGAAGCAAGAAGCGAAGGAAGAAAGGTGCTTTTTGTCAGATGGCAGGAGAGATGGGATGCAACTGGCCATGGAGCATGGATTAGAAGGTTGATCCCAAATAATAAAACTTTTCATAGGACAAGGCTCTTTTGACAGCAACCTAAAGAGGGTAGGAAAAAGAGAGTAGCGAACTGCATATATTGCAACGTACAGGAGGATATACCCAATCATCTACTTGTTTGTAGTAGACAGGTTGTCTACGAGAGACAGCTGGAGTTGACGCTCGGCGAGATACTCACTGTTGACAATTTTGCCTCGCATGTAAGCGAGGGCACAGGGGTTGATATTGAGCCGCTAGTGAGACGAATGATGCTGAACAAGGAGCCGCGGAGCAAAAATTGGATCCAACAGTAGGTCTTACTTGCTCGGTTGTTCATGTACATATTGTATAGAGGGTGATTCACAAGTCGTGACCAAAAATAAAACATCATACAAAGGACCGCAAATTAAAGGGGTCTTCTATGTATCATTTTTTCCTCGAGGGCTTCATTAAAAAGATACGTGGTGTTGAAGTTTTAAAATAAAGATTTTTTTTGTACCTTCAAAACCGTCAAATTAACGTGAACCAGTGGCGGAGATACAGGGGATTAGTGGCACTATTTTTCCAAATAAAAATAGTACGCCATTGTTTTTTTTTCGAAACGCGCAGTTTTTCCAGCTACCTAATTACACAGGTCTACAAAATGAAAAAAGTGATGTATGCTGGGGATCGCACTATACTTCTTCCCATATATTTTTCCGCTCAACACGAATTTAAATTTATACACTAAGATTATAGATTTTGGTACCGGGTCCGGCACAAAGGCTGAACGGTTTCTAAAAAATCAGTCATGTGGTGACCGATGCATTCATGCAGGTTTTCTTGAAAGTTCGGGTAGAATTCTCCAACATCGTTCTCTCAACTTGGGCGACTTCCACACGAATTGCCTCCTTCATCCGTCTAGAGTTCGAGGCGTGTGCTCATTTACACGAGCCTTGAGGTGGAAATAAAGCCTCCGAAGAGAGGGCGGATAAGGTTCATCGTTGATTTGGCTGTGTGGGAGGTCGCCCCACCCAAGTTTGCGATACAGCGCGTCGAACCGTCACTTTTGGCTTGTGCAACAGCCTTTCATGTAACTGTCGCGGATGCCATTAAGATGAAAGTGAGCTTCATCACTCGTGAACAAAATGAGGTTTGAATTTTGCTCGATAAGTGCTTCTATCTCACGTGCTAAGTTCATTCGTTGTGCGTAACTGTTACACAATGTCCATATGCAAAATACGCCTCACATTTTCAGGGGTTCGGATACCGTTCCTGGAGCTCCTGGTGGTCTTTTGATGATCACTACACCCCAAACCAACAAAGAATGGTGTTACAAGAAGGAACACCTCGATTCCTATGAATATTGAAGTGGCGACGAAACTCAGCCGTGATAGACTCATTATGTTGGACAAAACTGTCGTACGCGAAAACGCGGTGCTCAACTGCCCACTGCTCCATAATGTGTACTGGTAAAAATGCTACGAACGCCCGAGTAGTACGGCACTCTCGCCCGAATAGGCGGAGAGTACTAGCTATTTCAAAAACATGCGTTTTTTATTTCGGACCCTGTATGTTTGGGGGATGCACATGCATCCTCAGAGATCTGTGAGAAGTACACATTCACCAAAAATACCAAAATATGTATTTCAGATTTCCATATTAGTCATATTTGTCCATCGACCCCGAAGTCTGACTTCAGATTCGTGTTTTAGCAGGAAAAAATACAGGCAAAATATAGTGGGGGCCTCAGGACACACCACTTTTTTATGGATCTGTGTTATTAATTAAAGTTCGTCATTACTCATTCATTCCCACTGAAGTGATCATCAAATTGCTAAAATTCTTATCTCATTATTTTTGGACTATACTGAATGACAGTTACTGTTCTATTGACGCGCGCGCTACGGAAAATTGCTTATGCCAGTGCATATAGTAGGTTGCAATTGATGTTATTGTAAACATGAATATTTTATAATAAATAGTAGTTTAAAAACAAAAAACACGCTTTTACAGCTAAGCGAACTGAAAAGTAGAAAATAATTTTTAATTACAAAGAGTTTATATTACAGTAGTAGATGGTCGAACAATCAATCATAATTAATGACCTCAAAATAAAATTGTGATAAAATTTAAGTTATTAACAGAACAATTCAGTTCAAAGTAAAAAGCGTGGGGTGCTTGATATATTAAATGCTGCACTCATTGTGTTGGCAACTATCTCTGAGAGGAGAATTAGAAAATGTAGAAAAATTCACCCCACACTTTTTACTCTGAATTGGATTATTCTGTTAATAACTTAAATGATTGATTCTTCGACGATCTACTACTGGAATATAAACTCATTGTAACTATTAATTATTTTCTGCTTTTCAGTTCAGTCAGCTATAAAAGCGTTTTTTAAATTTTTCAAACTATTATTTATTTTTCACTTCCGAGTTCGATTTATCAATTAGTTTTTTTGGACTGTAGTATTGAAATGTCTTACGAATCATTTAGTAGTCTAATCATTTTATTTAAAGTTTCACTGTTGCATGGGGTTTTCCCTGTTAACTTAGAGCAATCAAGTTCTTCAATCCGAATACCGTCTAAAGATCTTACGCGTCTAAGTGCTACATAAGCTTGTCCAGCAGCAAACAGTTGCTAGCCTAGATAAATGCAGGATCGACTGTACAACCTTGCATCTTGTGGACGGTCGAAGTCCAATTCCAGGATTAATGGCAACATTCGCAATGAACAAGGTGAGAATGCACTACCTTGAAAAAGTTTCTGCCTCCGTTGTACCGTGCCGAGTGCTCAAACCGACAAAGAGAAAGTCCGAAACAGCACGCATGCGCAGATCGCGCGCTAGCTCTATCTCTCTTACTCCCCTACAGAGGATCTATAAAAGAATTTATCAATTCTGACGGTCCTAAGAAGGAGAATGGAAAACTGTTATCAAATAATTGCATTGTCATCGGTCCTTGATACGTAGGCGAAGTTTCAAATTAATGAAACTTCTTGAAATTGGCGAAAATGATGCTCAAAGATTTCGTTACATACATACAGTCTACGCTAATAAAAGCGTGTTAAGGATTCAAACAATCCGACTGCAGTAACAGGAAAGAATAAACGATCAATTGTGCCATCAAGACGAAACTAAGACACCTCAAATGTCAAAATATATCATGCTGTTTGGACTGTATCCCGTGAAATAGAAATCTAAGGTTGAAGTTTGTGTTTAAAATCCGCCATTTTTATTTCAATAAATCTGTCAAAATCCATCAAGCCGCTTAAGCTGTAACCCATGCAATTAGAATTTAAGGTTGATACCTGTTTTGCTAAATTGATGAACAGTCAATTTTCATTCGCAGCACACCTGTCCTCCCCCTCTTGAGTTTTAATATATGAGCGCCCATACCTTACAGATCCATTTGCAGGTGGCAGTGGATGGCAGTAAGGAAATAAAATAAAATCAAATCTCAAAGATGTCTTTATTTTTGTTTGATTCAGCAGTAACATTGGTATCTTTTAAGGAATTTCTTTTCTTCGATAGTAGGAAAAACAAGGTCCTCTTCTCTCGCCGGTAAGTATGCAAAGTAACAATCTCTGAACGTACGCGTGGGAAATTCGTAAGAGAACGTTGTTGGATAAAATTCTCTTGCACTGTTGATCCTTGCCTTTCTGAGCGCCCTGTGGAATTCTTCATATTTAGCGGTAAGCTAAAAAATAGAACATTCTCAAGCTTGAAACAAATTTAAATTATCGATTCCAAACTGTAAAGCGGTAATATTTCAAACAAATTGAATATAAGCGCAGTGCTACCTCAAGGACCAGTATTAGGTCCGACCCTTTTTTAGTTTATACCAACGACTGAATAAATTTAAACCTAGATGGGAAATTTATAGTTTTTGCCTGACGACACCATAAATAGTTTGGCAATACATAGGTACAAATAAAACAAGCAATCAAAACATGGTGTCATAATAACTTAATTAACTTTCAATGCAAATGAGACTGATTTCATCGATTTTAGATGCTCCCTTGATTCAATAAATACAAACAATGAATTAATATACAGGGTGGCGCATCGAAAACGAAACAGACGCATTTACTGGCAGCTCAGGTTTTTCTTTGAAAAACGCTCAGACCCGTCGATTTTGTTTTCGAGGGGGACACAAGTTTGGCAAAAAATCACGTTAGCACGGGCAACCCCCTAAGCGGGAGTGACACCACACCCAAAATCTTAAATGGAAAGGAGGATCGAGTGGTAACTTATTTTAAAGGTCTTTCAATTCCTTTTATAATGATATAAAATTAATGTACTTCAGTTCAGTAGTTTTGAAGATTTAATGATTTAAAGCTTAAACAAAACTAATACATCATCATTAGTGGAGATCAATACATTTGGCAGCAAAGTAATTTAAAAATGAAGAATGAACTGACCCGTTAGGCAAGTAAATGTTGAAAATGGCCACCATGACCCTCCTATAATAAAGATTTTGCTCAAAACGTTGCCGCACATTTTGCAATATTTGAGGAGTAATTTGAAAGCACTCATTCACAATTCTTTGTCGCAGGTCTTCTAATGATGTTGGCTGAATAGCATAGATTTTGCTTTTTAAATGACCCCACATAAAGAAATCCAAAGGTGATAAATCTGGCGATCTTTTGGGCCATTCAATGGAACCTCTTCTACCAACCCATCGATCTGGAAACGTCTGATCTAAATATTGTCGAACACGTAATGCGTAATGTGGTGGAGCACCATCCTGTTGGAACATCAACCTATTCGCAATGTACCGCCGATCATTCTGATTTTCAATTATCGCTGTTAATGTAGGATCTGTGGCGTCTTCCAGTAATTCCAAATAGATTTCACCGGTCAAATTTCCAGGTAAGGAAAAAGGAACAACTAAATGATCGCCAAAAATACCAGCCCAAACATTCAATTTTTGTGGCTGCTGTTTATGAACCTCATGATAAATTCTGGGATTAGAATCGGACCAATATCGGCAGTTATGACGACTTACTACGCCATTTAAGAAAAAGGAAGATTCGTCGGAAAGGCAAGTGTTGAATAGAAAATGTTCATCGTTTATAATTCGTTCACTCATATCTTCACGAAATTGTAATCGCCGATCAAAATCGTCTTCATTAAGTTCTTGTACCAGGTGAATTTTATACGGATGAAAAATATGGGCCTTTAGAATCCGTTGGACAGTACGTCGACTAACACTAATTTAGTTACAAGTTCTAGAACATATTTTCGATGCACGTTACCGTTCTCATGTCGCTCATTAAATGTTTCTGTTGTTCTATTAGCGCACTGGTTATTTCCGAAAAATATTTCCATAATTTCAACTCTTTCTGCTGTGGAATATACCATGGTTAATTTATGTAATAAACCGTTACAAGTTATTTTAGCAACAAAGTTTGGTCAAATGAATCGCAAACTATGTACTAAATTCCTATTTAAAATAAGTACGAGATATTCCTTATCTTTCTTCAAGAAATAACTTTTTTGCTACAAAAAACGCTCCAATATCTATTTTCAACAACAAAATGATAAACAAATCATGGGCGTAGTGAAGAAAAGCATTTACTTATTAAGTAAATTATTTTAGTCAAATTTCTTCTGAAAGTAGAAAAACTAATCTGATGTACCTATTAAAGTCTACTTTAAGCTTTAAATCAATAAATCTTCAAAACTACTGAACTGAAGCTCATGTGTTTTAGATCATTATAAAGGGAATTAAAAGACCTTTATAATAAGGTATCACTTGACCCCCCCTTTCCATTTAAAATTTTAGGGTTGGTGTCACCCCGCCCAGGGGGCTGCACTTGTTAACGTGATTTTTTGCCAAGCTTATGTCCTCCTCGAAAACAAAATCGACGGGTCTGAGCGTTTTTCCAAAAAAAAGCTGAGCTGCCAGTAAATGCATCTGTTTCGTTTTCTATGCGCCACCCTGTATAAAACAGACACTGTTAAGTTTTTAGGACTGATTAGTGATCAGTAAATAGATTTCACTAGATTTTCTATAATATAAGGAAAATTAGTTACAACAAAGATAAAAGCCCAGCCTTAAGCAGTCACTTTTTGCTTTAGTCCAAAGTAGAACAAGTTACCGCATTCCCTTTTAGTGTGTCTGGTCTCAGAATGGCTGGAAACAATATTAATAAATAATAATAATAATAATTATTTGCTACAAACAGTTTAGGTAAATAAAATATTGCTTAATACATAAATGAAAGATTTTACAAAAAGGGCTGAAAGCATGATCTAAGTTCAGCCCTGTAGCTAATACACATTATCAACCTTAGAAAGACCGGTAAAAATGTTAGTGTTAGTACAAAAAATAAATTTTCATTAGTTTGGTAGCTTGTGCCTCATTTACTGGCAATGCGCAATGAAGTTTTTTTCAAAAATATTTTTTTTATATTTGATTTTAAACTGGTTTGGATACAGAAGAATTTTCAAGTCATTGATAATTTGATTATAAATTCGATAAATGTTGGTTGAGAAACTCTTTGAAACCTACGTTGTTCGTAAATGAATCTTAGGCAAGACTTCCAACTAAGTAAACGCAATCCTGTTTCTAAATCTAAAGTAATGAATGTAGTATCATTATTTATTCTAGAATCAGCAACATTTTTTAAATCAAATCGAAGTCTGAAAGTTAAATGTAAGGAATATTACAGCCAGAATCGGCGGCCTCTATTGGCCACAGTGAGGCCGGCACAGGTATTACGTATCTTGAAAAGTGACATTTTGTCGGTTTTGTACAAGTACAAGATTTTAATTTTTTTATATTCGTCTGATGACTATTATGCCTATCCCCCGTTTCCGGCTTGACGTCCACTTCTGGGTCACCCTGTATTTATGTGGAAGCATCCCCAATATGGTGCATTTTCAATTAATTATTTACCGCTTGACATTTCACATCAGTAATATTTTTTGGAAATAATGCTATAAAGGTAACAGTTTTAGATTGAGCTAGTGCGGTGCCTGTAGCAAAGGGTAACTCTAAGGTTGATCGTTCTGATTTATGGAGTGTTAGTTTTTATTTAGAATGAAAGACTACAAAAAAGGTGATCCATTTAAAAAAATGTATGTTTGTGTCGTCATGCAATTATGACTCAGCCTTCAGAGAACTTTATAACCCTTTTAGGGCGTATCCTAATGTTCCGTGCCAGCACTCTATTTTGAGGTCAAGTAACAAATATCTATTTGCATTAAATTGTTCACGCTTTTGATTTATATCATCTGTTATATCAACCTGACATTTCCTACAGTTCAAAAAAAGAAAACATAGCCTCCCAATAGGAGAGTGCTGATGCTGACACGGAACACGTCAAATCTAGAAATACCAAGCATTTCTGAAGGAGAGAAATAACTATGACAATCAAGGACGCCTTTCTAGCCTTCTTGACTTTCATAGTATTTTCTCACCTTCAGAAAGGTTAGGGTAGTTATAGATTTCTACTGATCCGTGACAGAGGCAGCGCTCTCCAATTGCGAAGATATGCTTTATTTTTTATCTGTAGATAATTTTAGGCTGATAAAACAAATGATATAAATCAGAAGCATGAACAATTTGATGTAGAAACATATTTGTGATATAACCTCGAAATAGAGCGCTGACACGGGAGAGTAGAGAGCTACGAAAATCAAGAAGGCCATAAGGGCGTCCTACATGGTTTCCTTGATTTTCATAGTCTCCTACTGTTCCGTCTCAACGCTCTATTTTGAGGTTATGTTAAAAATATCTATTTGCATCAAATTGTGTTTTGATTTATATCGTATGCTATATCAGCCTGAAATTTTCTACATTTTAAAAAGGAAACGTAGGAGAGCGCTGACGCTGACATGGAACAGTAGAAAAATAGAAATTTCCAAGCCTTTCTGGAGGAGAGAAAGGGCTATGAAAATTAAGGAGGCCATACAAGCATCCTACAATTGTAGGAATTACGTTATGTGGGAATTACTGACGATACGGCGCTTATTTATTTAAAATATCGGAACTGTCGACCGATTACACATCAAAAAATCGCCATGTATGAAGAAGCATCTTAGTTAATAAGTCGTTGTCAGAAAAGTCGAGTTAGACAATGTTTTTTGTCACTTTTTTGGTGGTTTACTTCCGTTTCTTTTTTTTCGCGACAAAGACACAGACATTTTTGTAGTTCAGTAAATATTGTGTTTCCCTCGTGTTTTTAACAGTATTTAGATTAAAATGCAATGTACTGTGCATATGGCAGCAGCGAAGAATGTAAAGCTAAAGTAAATATTTTTACCGTTTATGGTACTGATAGTCTTCCACAATTACAAATATATTGTAGCGCTTTTTCATAAATTTCCATGAATAAATTTTCATCAATACTCCGTAACTTCTTTGCCCACGGACACCCTCTTATTATTGGTTCACACAATCTACACTATACCCCATTCATAGTCCATTTACGCCCCAGCACAATAGAGATGCAGCGCGGCAAAGCGGCAGCCGCCTAAGCGTTGCAATAGCTATTCGGCCATAAAACTACGAACAAGCGCAGGATTCGGCAGGATAGAACTCAGGCTCGGGATATCGGCGGCACGCCGACACCGGCAGTTGCTGTGATATTCGGTACATCCATAGCGTGAGTTTATACATTAGCATGTCGTCTACGGATACACCAGATGAAACTAAGGATATTTCTCCCAATGCTTCCTTCAGCCATAATTTCTCTTCTCCTCCCCGAAAACGTGACAAGAAGGCACATTTGAATATTCAGGCAAAAAAATTGTCCTTAGCGTTTATAAGAGCGAAATTTTAGAGCATCCTGAAATGAAAATTCGTAATATTAAAAGACGTGTGGCGAACAAAACAGGCGTATGACCTGAGATATTGTGCAACATTGTTAAAGAATATAAAAAAAAACAAAAAAAAGTCTCCACCACACAAGAGGCTGCATTACACGAATCTGTTGGTTACAGTTGATAACTTTGATCGGAATGACATCAGACGCAAAATCTATCAATGCTTTGAAAGGGAGGAACTTCCCGCCTTAGACAAAGTATTACGGGAGGTTAATAGTGATGAAGACTTACCTACTCTCAAAAGAACCACATTCTACAGATTACTCAAAGAACTTCATTTTGAGTACAGAAAACGGGGCCGAAATAGTATTTTGATGGACAGCCAAGTGATTATTTCATGGAGAAGAAATTTAAAATCAATAAAGAAATACCGCGACCAGGGCAAAAAGATTTATCACTTGTATGAAACCTGGATAAATGCAGGACATACAAAACCTGAAGTATAGGCTGACTCTACAATTAAATCAGCAAAACAAGACTTCTTAGATGGCCTAAAGAATCCGTCAGGTACGTGTATCTAACCAATTCGTCAATTTGTGTTGTAAAAATGGTGTCAAGTAGACTAAATCTATGATCCCACGCTGGAAACTTAGCTACCTAAACTAAGCTATATTTGGAAGATTTGGAACCAACACCTGTTAGGTACTCTGCTTGTATTACGAGTATTATTAGTTTTCTTGAACACTATATGGAATAATTATTTCCAGGAAAAGGAAAACGATTTGTTATCTGTCACATTGGCAGAGAAGCTTTGTGCTCACTGTCCTATGGGCACTTGAGTCAAAGAAAACGACCGACTACCATGAGAAAATGGGCAGGAGTTCATTTGAACGATGGTTTGAAGAAACGCTACCAACGCTTGACGACAATGCCGTCATTGTACTTGATAATACTGGAAAACTAGAAACAAGGCCGACAATGTCCACAAGAAAGGCATAAATTCAACAATAGCTCCTATCAAGAGACATTAGTTTGAATGAAAAACTGGTCAAAGCAGAACTTATTCGTCTAGTCAGGTAGCACAAATATATACAGGGTGTTCCTTACTGAGATTTGCATATTTAAGGGTGTGAATCTACATAAAACATTAATGTTAGTTTGCTTTATGAACTATGGTCAAAAATGTTTCCTTACAAAGACTCGGGGTGTTGAAGTTTTAGGAAAAAAATTGAAATTAATTAATATTTTCAGAACCGCTTCAGATATTTCACTGATATTTAGTTCGTAGTAAAAGTTGATAAAGTTGCATATTTTTCAATGCAAAAATAATTTTTAGCTTTAACAGTGGCTTGCGTACGGGTATTGACGATATTTTTTAAGACAAAATGGTACGCCAATAATTTTTTGCCGAATAAAAATTATTTTTGAATTTCCCGTACAATTTGACACAAATGATTTCTTCTGAATAGTCTTTTTTCGATGCGCCAATTTGGAGTAAAAAAATAAAAACAGTTCTATTGTCTAACTTGCAAAATTATTATTACTAATTGGAAAAATTAAACACATTAGGGGTAATGAACAACAACAACTGACAACATAAAAATAACTTATAACCAATGAAATGATTACAAAAATTGTTGAAAATGGCCCCCTTCGCTTAGTATACATGCTTCCGCCCCCCTTCTCATGTAATTGCGCACTCGTTGAAATATCCCTGAGGTGTTTTTTATTCTATCACAAGCTGCTACTATTCTTTCTCTTAATTCCTCTACAGTGTTAATGGGACTTGTGTACACTAGTGTCTTAAGATAGCCCCACAAAAAGAAATCTAAGCTGTTGAGATCTGGGAACCTTGGTGGCCATTCTTGAGGCCCACCGCGGCCAATCCAACGATTTGGATAAACAGTTTGTAAATAATCACTAACCGCTACACTGAAATGCTCTGGTGTACCATCATGTATGTACCACATATTGTTTCTTATTACTAACGGAACATCATCAAGCAGCAAAGGCAACTGTTGTTGAAGAAAATTGAGGTAAGTCTGTCCGTCAAGTCGACCCGTCAAGAAGAGTGGACCAATAAAGTGGTTGCCAATAATTAATGCCCATACGCTAACCAAAAATTGGTGTTGGAAATGGGTTTCGGTTACGGCATAGGGATTTTCTTCTGCCCACAAATGATTATTGTAGAAATTTTGAATGGCATTTCGAGAAAAATTAGCTTCGTCCGTGAACAGAATTATTGATTCAAATTGCGGATTTTGTGTAATGAGAAGTAAATATCGTAAGGTACTCTTAAAATAAGGTAAGGATATAACAAAAAATCCACTAAAATTCTCCAAAAAATTTGATGGCACATATTTAAGTGTCTAGCGATCTTCCTCGTACTCGTTTCAGGATATTCTTCGACTTCGTGCAGCACTGCTTCCTCAATTTCAGGTGTTCTCGCACTTAGAGGTTGACCTTCAGATGTTCCTTTTCAGACAGAACTAGTTTTAACAAGACGACGATAAATATTAGAAAAGGTTCGACTGTCTGGAAAGCACGATCGGGATATCTCTAGTGATAAATCTGTCTGGCTTGCTCATCATTACCGTCGGCAAGGCCATATACGTAATGCGTTTCCGCCATTTCTGCATTTGAATAATTCACCATTATTAACAAGACTGTAAAAACTAAATAATGAAAAAGATGTCACAGCGAACAGATTTGAATAACAGAGACTGGTCAGATGTCAAAAGCCAGTGACATATTCTAGAGCAACTAGATATTTATTGCTAAATTGCATTCTTCACATTAATTTTCTAGGACAATAGAACGGTTTTTATTTTTTTACTCAAAGGAAAACAATGCAAGAAAGGTCGTAAATTATACAGTAAATTCAAAAATAATTTTTATTTGGCAAAAAACCATTGGCGTACCATTTATTCTTAAAAAACATCTAAGTCAATACCCGTACGCACGCCACTGTTAAAGCAAAAAATTATTTTTTTTTGCATTGAAAAATATGCAACTTTATTAACTTTCAGCGAATAAAGAATTGTGAAAAGTATGTGCACTTCTTGCTATAAAAATAATCATTTATATTGTTATATTATTCCAAGACCATTAATGAAAATACGGACTTGTACAATCTCGCTTTTGGGCATGTTGTGTTTTTTCTGGGCGTAAATGGACTATGAATGGGGTATATGGCCTTACGAGACCATTTTGCAATGACGAGTCAGATCGCTGACCAATGGTTTGTGATTTAGTGAGAATCGTTTCATTCTTAATGTAAGACTGCCTCATTGCCAAAAAATCAAGTTGAAGAAATTATGTTTTCTGGGTGTAACGCTTCTAATGTCACTGAGTATATCTTAGGACCCCTGCATAAATGTTTTATTACCGTTTGCCTCAGATAGTTTGCGTGATTCCAAGTCATAGCATTGGCCCTCTTATGGCTGATGCGTAGATGTGGAACATCTACAGGCTGGTAGCATATTTCGGTATGTCCCCACAGCGTTATGGATAACAGTTTCAACCTGTCTGGAATGAAAAAAAGAACTATCAGTTGCAGGGGCGGGTCAAGAATATATTTTGGAGAGTCCATATGATGTGAAGAAGTTTCCTATGTTTTGAAACACACTTAAAATGTATATACAGGTATAATGAGTAAAGTGAAGTACTGCACTGAAAAAAATGTAAATGACTTTAAAAATGAGAAAGTTGCGCTACCCAGAAATTTCTTATTTGGAGAAATATCTTGCTGGAACGCGGACTGAGTGATGACGTCACATGACACCAGCGACCATCGCAACCATAAAGCGAGTCCGCTGCGCACACTTCGTGCCATTTACATACGTTGCTCTGCTGGATCCAAAAATAAAGGTAAAAAAATGGCGTCAAGTAAGTTGGCTCTTACTTAACACGCTAGGTTGCCATCAGTTCGTAATGGTCATTACTATGGCCAATCCCGCATGAATAACGATATCGGCCTTCACCATGCACAGTGCGTGGAAGCCCACATTTCTGTGGAAGTGATTGCCGCCTGAGACGCTTGTCCATCGGGGAATGACGTACTCGTAGCAACGTTATCGACATCAGACTTTAGTTAGAAGTTTTAAGAGTAAATATACTGGTACACCTACCTGTATGAGGAGTGAAATATGCCTAATATATGCGTAGAATTGCTGTGGTTGGAGCCGTATGATTATACAGGGTGCGGCAGAGAGGATGGACGGTTTTAAAACAATCATAAAATAGTTAATTTTTACTCGAAAACAAATTTATTGATGGAATCAGGTTCACAAGGAAATAGAATTTGAGAGTCAAGTGTGGAAAATCCCATCAGGCATGTGGTGGCCGAAATCGTTGATGCAGTGCTGGACGCGTTCTTGGAAGTTCGCGTAGACTCTCTCCAACATCGCTCTCTCAACTTGGGCGACTTTCACGCGAATTTCGCCCTTCAATTCGTCCAGAGTTCGGGTCTTGTTCGCGTATACTCTAGCCTTGAGGTGTCCCCATAAGAAAAAATCGCATATGGATAAATCTTGGGGCCGAGGAGGCCAATGAACGTCGCCAAACCTGGAAATAAGGCGACCAGGGAAGAGAGGGCGAATAACGTCCGTGGATGCTCGGAGGCCATAAACGCGCCCTACAATTGTAGCGACGACTGACGATACGGGCCTAAGAATGAGTTTTCAGAATGGTTGTAAAGGAGTTTAAAGAGCGACCAGTATGCTCATTGCATAAGTTGTAGTGATTAAGTTAATATGTTTCCGGGAAAAAATGGCCTCAAAGTACCTGTGTTGTGAGATCGAACAGGAATATACTTCTTTATAGACGGCGCTGCGTGACACAAAGGCATTTGAACCACCGCTGATGTTGCAATGACCATGATTTAATTCTCCTACCGATTTTGTCCTTGAATTTGCCGAATTTCAATGGCACTACCTACCGATTTCGTCCTTTCCGGTTCAGCAATACTGGCTGACATTTCCATTTTGTCATATCACATAACCTCACATACTTCTGCCAAGTAGCCAGTAGCATAGTAGAAGACAACGCTTTTAGATTCATTTACATTTTTTCCAATAGTCATAAAACGGCTATAAAACCGAGAACCGGAGGCATGAGGACAGAGAAGTAACGTTGATTGTTATAGATTTAAGATCTCTGAAATGTCCGCGCGGAACAACTCTCCTCTCCTCGTCAATTCTTCTTTTCTTGGTTTGACACCGACCAATAATTTTATAAATTGCAGGATATGGCACGTTAGTCAGTTCGGCTGTTTGTTTAAGGACACTACTATTGCCGCTATCACCCATTTCACATAACAGTCTACTATAAACATTAATGCAAATCTGTTGACCATCAACAGGCAGGCATATTCTTTTAGAAATACGACGGTATGACTATCATTGCTGCCCTGGTTACTACTATCAGTATCATGCACACTGAAAATATGACTGTCCGAAAATTCTTTGCTGCAAGATAGCTTTCCATCATTTAGAGCGCCTTTCTACATGTCATTTTCGATGTCCGTGGGCCGCTGCCCTGCCTGAGCAGATCGTTACTAAGGGCGGAAAAAATTCGTATGGCACATAATTATTATTCAAGACGTTTTCCGTCAACCTCGACTGTCTGCATAGAATTGAAACTATATTCCCGAGTACTGCTCTGTTGCATCGCGCTGATTTACCTGCTTGCGGGGCTCGGGAGGGGGGTGGAGGGATCCAGATCTTCATAGCGCAGTCATATTATGTGAGCTTGTTGCTATGACAGTATCGAAACAATCCGATTTTTTAGATTCGCTACATTCAAAGCAGTTGTATCCAACTATTAGGGCTTTTTATGTTATTGCACATTGCTCAAATGTATAATTTATTTAGATGAACCAGATTCCATTATTATTTAAACAGTATCATATAATGACCGTACCATATATGGCGGGTTGGTAACACAAGGAAGCAGAAAAAATGTAAACGAATCTAAAAGCCTTGTCGTCTACCATGCAAGAATAAGTCTGTTTGTTACCTCTATCTTTCCTTGTCCATATTTTTCCACATCTCATCTGCATCCAAAGTTTGAAATGGGGCAATTTGTAGGCATCTGGCAACCGTGCTAGAACAAAGCCGTCTTCTGCCATCATTTCGAGCACCCTCTGAAAAAATGGCATCAAGTAGGTTGACTCTGCACTTGACACGCAATGCTGTCATCAGTTATAAAGGAACGAGTTAGGCACTCTGACAAAAAGTAAGCTACGAACAAGTATAACAATGGAATCAAATAGATCAAGTCAGTCAAACTGAGCTATGCAATTAGTCCATAGTCCCTACCCACTTAAGTTAACGCTATAGACAGTACCGACGATCTGGTAACGTTGCTATGACTAACCTCACACTCGTCATTCTAGTCACCCATCATTTATCGAAGCAAGTACATCTAAGTTCGTTGTGTTGCTTAGGATACGAGAGTTATGTCGGGAGTTTCGAGAAAGTAGTTTATAAAAAACTTTTTTCCGAAATACATTGACGAAACAAATTTATTGAGACCGTTAAATTGCAATGGCAAACGCGTAAAAGCTGAATACAATAGATGTGACATATACAGGGTGATCACAAGTCGTGACCAAAGCATCTTTTGCCAGAACATTTAGAACACTACATAGAATTGAATAATCATTACCACAATTATTATACAAGAGGAAATATAGATTTTCATTTACAAAATTGCAATAGTAATATAACTAGCAAATCAATATTTCAGAAAGGATTACTTGAATTTGATAAACTAAATAATGATATAAAGGAATATTTCATGGACAATAAAAATTCTTAGAGATGCAAATTTTGTATTTTTTGTTTTCTCAATATCTGTATGTTATGTAGTTGTTTAGTTTTTCAGAAGAATGTAATTGTAGAAATCATGCTAGATAAATCTTAAACAAACAAACAAACCGCAGTTTAAGGGGGTCTTGTATGTACCATTTTTTCCTCGAGGGCTTCATTAAAAAGATACAAGGTGTTGAAGTTAAAAACTAAAAAACAATTCTTTTTAACACAAGAGTAATTGTTTGTAGCAAATTGACGCTAAAATTCGGAAAATTGCGCGTTCCGAAGAAAAACGTACTAGCTCTATTTGGAAAAATAGATCCACTAATCTCCTGTATCTCCACCACTGAGGTAAATCCACATACCAAATTTTAGTTCATTCCAGCTGACGGTTTTGAAGATATTAAAAAAGTTTGTTTTTTATTTTCAAACTTCAACACCCCGAATCATTTTAATGAAGCTTCGAGCAAAAAATGTTACATAGAAGACCCCCCTTAAAATGCGGGCCTGTGCATGATGTTTCATTTTGGTGACTTTGGATATTCTCTGGATATTGCTCGTAGATGCAAATCCGGAGGCGTAACTCGCGTGTATTGAAAATATATGCGGGGCAATCTATGAAATTTGTCTAATAGGTGCGAAGAACTACCGGGGTTGGAAGCCAAACGGTTAAGATACATAAACCCTCTATATATTTTGAAGGTCAAAAACGAAGTTTAAGCGATTCCTTTTTTCATTGTTTCTTTTGCCAGTAGCTACTCTGTCATTGGATCCATTTTGAAAATGTACAAGCGCCTTTTCTTACTTGGCATAAGCGGAATCTATAAACAGGGTGTGCCAGAAATAACACGCGCTAGTGACATTGGAGGTAGATTGGCTTCAGATCAATCAGATAAAATCAAGATGACCTTCGTAACAGTTTTATAGTTTTTGAGATATTGCCACCTTAAAGTTTTTCCAAAAAATCCCTAGTATTTGCTCCTTTTTTGCCTGTTATGGCTATAAACAACTTCTAACTTATGATTTTTTTCTCCTGAACTACCATTAATAGTTTGTTGAGACAACCGAATATTCATTTCAGTGTATGGCTAATTTCCTTCAAAATTAAAATGTTCTACAAATACTCCTGTTCCAAAAGTGCAATATTCTGAGTTATATACAAACATGCGGCCAATTAATGTACTGTCAGATATCGAGAAGCTCTTAGAAGGAAACATATATGAATATATTGAAGAAAATAAGATATTGACAAAATTTCAAGCAGGATTCAGAAAAAGGTTTTCTACTTAAACAGCAATTCCAATGGTAGTAGAAGGGTGGAGGGGAAATATGGATGAAAAAAAGTTTACAGTAACATTGTTCTTAGATATCAAGAGAGCATTTGAGACTATTGACAGGGAGAAATTGTTAATGAAATTGCATTGCTATGAATTTCAAGGTTCAGTATTCAACTTATTACAAAATTATTTAATCAATAGAAGTCAAAGAAGTAAAATTGGCAATACATGATCAAACATTAAAAACATTTCGGTAGGGTAGGGTAGCAAATTAGGTCCATTACTATTTATTTTATATATTAACGATATTCCTGATATGCAAAACTCAACTATTTGCTGATAATACATCAATATATATATATATAGGTATATATATATATATATAGTTGGGATTTTCCTTTTCAGAAACAACTACCCTTGAAATAACAAAGGTAATGTGTAGTGAAACGAGGGCGACCAAGTAAAAAAAAATAAAGAAAAAAGTACTCACTCTCCAGTTGACGAGAAGGGCTAAGTACGTCTCTGCCCGAAATCATACCGCTCCAACAGAAAATGAAATCAGCTGATGCGCTACCGAGCAGACGCCGATGGCACACAAGGAAGGCAAAATGTTGCGTAAAAAGTCTAGGTATTGCATCACGTCCAATCGATTTGGGAGAATAAATGGTCCAATGAACATACCGTTCACCATGCCAGTCCAAACATTCACCGAAAATATTTGTTGAAAATGACCAAACATGAGTGTTGCGAAAGTTATTCACCCCATTACGCGTGAACGTAGATTCGTCTGTCACCAATATGCACTTCAAAAATTCCGGATTATTGTCATGTTGATGCAACAACCACTCACAAAACTGCACTCTTGCTGGAAAATCGTCAGGTTGAAGGGCTTGTACACGTTGGACGTGAAACGGATACAGCCCCTCTTCACCCAGCGTTTGCCACACTTTAGTTTTTGATACTTGCACTTCTCTAGCCACGTCTCTAGTGCTTGCTAAGGGATTCTCGTCTACGCGATTACCTCTACACGCGTGACCGTAACCATCGGTTGAAGGTTGCATACTGACCTGACACACTGACCCCGACCCAGTTCTGTCGTCGGGTTGAGCTAGTGTCCTAGTACCACTCGGGGATGTCGCGGCTACAGGACGGTATTCAGATATGTTTGATGTTGCAGAGCCCTTTATGTCGGTTCTCTTAAGACATTGGTGTATATGGTACTAAGAAAAATTGCTTATGTTTTCAAGATCTACACGTCGTGTAAAGGAAAACCCCAACTTTGCGGACACCCTATATATATATATATATATATAAAATAAATACATTGAAACTGCAATAGAGCTGTTAAATAATGATATGAAAAACGTAATAAATTGGTTAAATGTAAATAAACTTAAACTAAACACAAACAAAACAAAATATATGCTAATAGGAAAATCTTTAGATCAAAATACGATAAATCTTACAATTAATCAAGAAAAAATTGTGTCAACCGAATCATTTAAATATTTTGGCATATCCGTAGACAGTATGTTAAGATTTGAAGGGCACTATGATTATATTATTTCAAAAGTATCCAAGAAAATAAATTACTTTTATAGAATTTCGCATAGCCTAAGCGTTTATTCTAAAAAAATTGTGTACAACACTATCATTCTTCCTCATTTGTTATATTGTTCGACTATTTTGTTCACTTCAAATGAAACTATATTTTCAAAATTACAAATATTACAAAATAAAGCTATGAGAATCATTTTAAATAAAAATAAATATACTAGAATAAATTTTGGGCTGAAAGAACTACAATGGTTAAATCTCAAAAATTTCATGGCCTACATGGTTTTCGTTTTCATATTCAAGTTGAAACATCATCTTCTACCAAATCACTTAGAACATTTTATTGTATTGAACAATTGTTCTACTAGAGGAAGTATAGACTTCCATTTACAAAACTGCAGTAGCAATATAACGAGCAAGTCAGTATTTCAAAAGGGATTGTACGAATTTAATGAATTAAGTAATGATATCAAGATGTGTGTTAGTTTGAAAATGTTCAAAAGGAAATTGAAAAAATGTCTCATGGAAAACCAGAATTCATAGTAGTGAAATTTTGTATAGAAATATGTAGTTTTGAAGACATAATATGGTTTGTGATATACTGTGTAATATGGATATTATGGACATTGTAGCATTAATGCTATATAAATCTGAAACAAACAAACAAACACGGTATGCTAAAAAATATTACATTTTGTTTCAATTGCAAAACCTCTACTAAAGTTTGCTGATTACTGTAAAAAAAATGTATCGGACTGAATCGGCAAATGATCTTAAATAGTATAACATTTTTAGGTTCTTTCTACTAAAAATTGAATAATTCCGAGTTTTGTCTTTACCTAGATTTTTTGCAGCATGATCTACCCATTCTTTTGGAAGATGTAAATCTTGACACAAGAAGATAGATGTGGTTACGGAATGATGGGTGCCCCCACGCTCCCCAGACCTCTGGATTTTTTTCAATGGGGATGTTTAAAAGATAAGGTCTATGGAACACTAGTTCGATCAGCCGACGAACTACGTCATTGAATCTGTCAAGCAGCGAAATATCCGATTTAAGTTTGACACGCTTAAAAAGACAATTTTACAAGAAGATGCAGGTTGTGTATAAAAGTCGGTGGTAGGAATTTTGAAAATCTGTTGTAATAATGATAATAATAATGATATATGAAAAATCAGTTATTTCAGGCGGATCAGTCTGGTATATTTTTTCCACAGTAATTAGTCAAACTTTAGCAAAGGTTTTCGCATTGAAACCAAATGAAATAATTTAGTTTTTTTTTTTAGTTTTAGTTTTCAATGAAATGAATACTCAGTTGTCTCAACCAACTATTAATGATAGCACAGGAAAAAAATCATAAGTTTTATAGCCATAACAGACAAAAAAGGAGCAAAAAGTAGGGATCTTTTGAAAAAAACCTCAAAGTGGCAATATCTCGAAAACTAGAAAGCTTTTACTAAGGTCATGTGGATTTTATCCTATTGATCTAAAGCGAATCTACCTCCCGTGTCACTCTGGTGAGCTATTTCTGGGACACCCTGTATACTATACAAGTTATTGCGGGGTTAAGGATTAGCGGACAGGCAAACCCACGGAAATTAGTACATTGTTTTTCGTCATATCTAAGAACCAGAAACATACTCTCATTTTAGAAATGTTTCGCGATTACAATACTTCCTTGCCAGTTGGAGTTGTAAGTAAAATGCGGAGCACATTGGCTATGTTTTTGCCATGCATTCATTAGTATCTGTTTGTAAACCTTCCAAACACCTCGATCATACTTAATATCCTACCTTTAAAATTTTTCTCTGCCCCTTCTCATCACACGGGATTTTTTTCAGTATAGCATATCTCTTGAAGCCATAAAGCTCATCTGGCTCATGAACTGCTTTTGCCTTGGGAAGACACTGGCACAATGGCTGTTTTGGTATGCTGTGGGGCGAAGCAACAGTTGCGCCTGCTTTTGCACTTTGACAATCGCTTCTACATGACGCTGTGCTGGCTACACTGGATGATGCCTCCGATTCCCAACAAGGGGTCGTCATGAAGTCTGTCGGTTCACACGGAGACTGCAAAAATATAAAACTTAAGCCTCGAGAGTAGATATAGAAGTCAAGAGTGGAGAGCCGAGAGCTGAGTAAGTTGACGGTCTAGGGGGAGTCGAGAAAGCCTCGAGAGGGTCTAGAGGAAGCTAATGAAGTCAAGAGAGAAAGAGTCAAGGGAGAATCCAGGGACAGTCGAAAGAGAGTCAAGGGATGGTCAAGAGAGAGTCGAGAGAGCCAGGACTTCTTTAAGAGAGTCAAGACTCCTGATCTCGAAGCTCAAAATCAATTAAAACTTCACACGGAAGTTGGAAAAATGTAAAACTCAAAACCCGTTAGTCAATATTTGACCCGAGACTCTAGACCCGATATTCAAGACTCGAAACCAAGTTCAAAAGCTCAATACTGGCTCATGACTCGAAGAGTCAAGCGCCCAGAGCGGAGAATCCAATAAATGTAATATGTAACAAGTCAACACAGTCGAGAAAGGGTCGAAAAAGAGTCGAGTGACAATCGAGAGAGAGTGCCGAGAGGCAGTCGAAAAATAGGTGGAGGGCACTCGAAACAGAGAGAGAGTGAAGAGAAAGGCGAGAGAGTCGAGGGTGTTGAGAGGGAGTCGAGAATCGAAAGACCAGTGATGGTCTAAGGACAGTTGAGGGTATCGTGAGAGTCAAGAGATACGCGATGGAGTTGATAAAAAGTCTAGGAAGTCAAGAGAGGACTCGAAAAAGTTGAGAGGAAGTCGAGAGAGCCGATAGAGGACCCGAGAGTGTGGGAGTGTTGAGAGAATCTAGAGATTCGATGGGTCCAGAGACTCAAGAGTTGAGTCAAGATAGTAAAGACTTAGATTTCGAAACGCGAAGCTCGAAGCTCAAGACTCTAGATTCTGAATACTACAAACTAGAAGCTCGGAACTAAATACTCGAAACCTTGAAACTTTAAGCTAAAATCAATTAAAACTGATGTAAAAGTTGCAAAACTTAAGTATCGACTTGTTATTCGATATTCGAGACCCGGCTCTAGATTCGATATTCAAGACCTTAAAACTCAATACTGGCTCATGACTCAAGGATTCAAGCGCCCAGAGCGGAAAATCGAATAAAAATTATATTCATTTACACTAATTTTAAACTGGGAATAAGCCGATAGAGTCGAGAAAGGGTCGAAAGAGAGTTAAGCATCCCCCACACCGACGCGGTAAAGCGGATCATATCCCATATCGCCACGTTTTTCACGATGTTTGTTTGTTTGTTTAAGATTTATTTAGCATGATTGCTACAATTACATTCTTCTAAAAAACTACAGAATGGCATAATGTACAGATATTCAGAAAAAAAACAAAATTTGCATCTTTAAGAATTTCCATTGTCCATAAAATATTATTTTAATTTTTTTTAAATATCTTTAAATTACGAGTAGACTTTATACCATTATTTAGTTTATTAAATTCAAGTAATCCTTTCTGAAATATTGATTTGCTAGTTATATTACTACATATTGCAATTTTGTAAATGAAAATCTATATTTCCTCTTGTATAATAATTGTGGTAATGATTATTCAATTCTATGTAGTGTTCTAAATTTTCTGTCAAAGATGATTTTTATTTTAAATATAAAAATAAGAAACAAATATTATATGACATTTTATATTCAACAACTGCCATTCTTGTAACATAGATTTTATTCTGGTGTGCTTATTTTTATTCAATATTATTCTCATAACTTTATTTTGCAAGACTTGGAATTTTGAGAATACAGCTTCATTGGCAGTGAACAAGATAGTTGAACAATATAGTAAATGCGATAAAATAATTGTATTATAAACTATTTTCTTGGAATAGGTACCAATACTATGAGAAGCCCTATAAAAGTAATTTGTTTTTTTAATAAATTTTTAAATAATGTATTATAGTGATCCTCAGACTTTAGTTTACTATCAATATACATACAGGGTGACTTTGAAGTTGAGTCATTAATTTTCAGATAATGATTGTAGAAGGAAGATAAACCAGAATATGTGTGTAAAAATAAAAAAAAGTAAAAAAAAAATGTTTACCTTGTTTTATAAAGTATGCTCCCGACAAGTATTTCAGTGCGGACCTGTATTTGATCGTGAGGTCCCCTGTGAGGTCTTAAGTCACCTGATTCACGAGCCCGTTGTACTACATTAACAAAGGCACGAGAGGTTGGTTGCACTCGATTGGGAAACCGATCCGCATAAACATGTGCCATTTTTTATTTCGTTTGAGCCACGCAACAGACACTATTCACACGCTAACCGACAGACACTGACTGTATGTATAACTGAACTGAATAAAATACTTAATTGCAAAAACATCGTTCCAAATTCTTTCGCTTTTTTGTTTCCGATGCGATGAACCGGTAAGGCGGATTATATCCGTTGTTGCCAAACACGAGTACATGATATTATTATTGAGACAGGGCGGTACTCAAACTTCCAAAGGGCTATAACTTTGTTACTTTAATTTTACCAGAAAAATGGTAAAGGAAAAAAACATTTCTTTTGATCAGATCTACTCACTGTTAAAATAAATGACTCAACTTCGAAGTCACCCTGTATATACCTAAATATTTAATTGATTCAACATTTTCAATTAATTCTCCATTTATCCTAACTGTGATAGTATTTTCATTTAGGAATTTCCCTATTAGCATACATTTTGTTTTAGAAGTATTCAATTTTAGTTTATTTACATTTAACGAATTTAGCATTTTTAGAGCAGTGTCTATATTTTGATCTGATATGTATATTAATATACCATCTGCAAATATTTGAAGTTTACAATAATGTAAAATATTACAAATGTCATTAATCTATAAAATAAATAGTAGTGGACCTAGTTTACTACCTTGTGGTATACCAACAGAAATATGTTTCAATCTTGATAATGTAGATCTAATTTTGGTTTTTTGACTTCTGTCAATTAAATATTTTTGTAGAATTTTGAATACAAATCCTTTAAATCCGTAGTGATGCAATTTTGTCGCGAGACAGTCGAGAATCTAAAGATGAGAGATGGTCTAGTCTAGAGGGAGTCAAGAGATATTAGAGGTAGTCGAGAAAGTCAAGAAAAGTACGAGAGGCAGGGAGTCGAGAAAGAGTCAAAGGAGTCGAAAGAAGAGAGTCAAGAGTGAGTACCGAGAAACAGAGGAGAAAGAGTGGAGAGAGAGAAGAGAAAGTCGAGGGACTTAAGAGGGAGTCGAGAGAGTAAAGAGTGGATCGAGAATAGAAAGATGAGAGATGGCTTAGAGAGAGTCGAAGATACCATGATAGTAAAGGGATGCTCAAGAGATTAGAGAAAGGTCAAGATGAAGTTAAGCGAGGAACGAGAGGTTCAAGCGAGTCAAGAGAGAACCAAAGATTAGAAGATTAGAACTTTTTTCTTATTTAGAATAACAATTTTATAGCCGTTCTAAAAAATATCGAATTTTATTTTTACTAATAAAACACTTTTCCTTGTCTAATAATTTTGTGGTAGAAAATCGTACTCTACTCTCCATCTTGTTGAAGGTCATTTTTTATAATTTCTTTCGACCGTAAATACGAGAACTGAAGGTGACTTGGTGCTATTTCCGGTGCTCTCGTGTAGCAATTCGCCCACCACCCGATTTTGTGGAATGGTTTCACACGCAGAGTTGCGAATTTATAGGGTGGTGGGGTTCATTCCACTGCACGTTGTATTCTGATGCATTGTTTCTGGAGCATTTCTGGAGCGTATCGCTCTGAAACAAAAACCACTGGAAAGCACCTTTGGAAACTCTCGAAGCTTTCATAGTTTTCAAAACTGTCAGAACTCTCAAGAAACATCAATTCGCAAAATTCCTTAACGTAAATACCTTTGGTTTAGTCAATTCAAAGTTGTAGGCGTCTCCAGGTTCAGGTCTACATAACGGCTTATCAGGCAGCTCTGGGGGTTGCAACACCTCTTGGGACTCCACAAAAACTGGTTCTGGGAGCTTACTTTCCTGTGTGCTCACTGTAACACCACCAATTTCTTCTTTTTTTCTTCTTGTACAAGATCTGTTGGACTGCAATCTAGGTCTCCGATAGTCGGGAAAAAAGTTTTAATCTCGCTTTCTGCAACAAAATTGTTCCCACTTACAAAGGCATTATTTTATCTCCATTTCCTAGGTGATTGGAGTTGTCACGTGCCAAAATGACGTAACCTTTTTTTACTATTTTGATAACTTAGTAGTAATTTGAATTCTTTTTATTAATGGTAGACTGCCCTTTTCTAGGCCAAACCATTTTCAATGATTTTCTTTTGGTAAATTTCGTAGTTCATTTAGTTTATTGATTGTATAATTTCACAGGTATTATATCTTTCTTTTTCAACGATTCAGTATTGTGTTGAAATCTTTTGACACTAATGTTATAGTATTATTAACGACTATCTCAGAAATTTCCTCATAAAATATCGTTGGTCCCTCGTAGAGTTGATTTCACCTAGTGACAACCTGCGCCACTTTGAGATTTCTTTACGTACTAGCCGTATAGGGATATTTGGGCCTATAAAGGCTACCTTCTTTTAAAAATTTGATTTCCTATCAAGATACCTTCCTTACCTATCGAGATACCTCCTTTTCCTATCAAGATACCTTGTTTTAAAAACTTGCGTGTGCAGATGTGTCCAGCATTTCTTTCTGCTGAGGTTTGGTTGTGCGTGGGTCGCTTCGTTAGCTCCCAGACTCCGGAATTTAGATCCCCAAATAACAGATTATGGAGTAGCATCTTTAATTTGGAACCTTACGTTTAGTTGTTTTGGTTTGGGTACTACCCCGTCCCTTTTCTAATAGGATTTTAACCTTCAGCGGTAAGTTCTCTTTTGTATACCATTGGACCACAAGCATTAATGCATGTCCTGAAGATTTTTTGTTCAATATCTGCTTCCTTTTAGTGGGAAGGCGTTGCGGAGAACGACCATTCACACTCCTTCAGCTCTGTTTTGCTGCTGCCTTGTAGCTGTTTCGCAGCGATTTGGCTGCAAGTCACCCCTTTCCCTTAACAAAAAAAACCCTGATGTGGACAGGTGAAATATCATTTTAATTGGGTATTTTATAGATATTGATATATTGATTGTTGCTGACTGAAATTCTTAGGGTGTACTTGATTTTGTTGATATAGGGCAGTGCCTACATGTTACCTTCTTTTGGGCTTACTGCATTTTATTGATCATGATTTTGATTTTTGAGCTACCATAACTTTATTTTAGAACAAGAGAGACATTTCTGAGGGTATATCACATTAGTACAGTTTTATCTTATCTAGCCTTTGCCTCACTTTTCTTGTAAAAGAGAATGTGCATGGTTTTTCTTCAAGTTTGAGTTTTCTAAATGAGTAGTTTTGCCTCAGACAGAGAATAGAGAGTAGATTTTTGGGCAGTCTTTCTCTTTCTAGGGTTGTTTTTATACCGTAAATTTTGCAAAACGAGACAAGCACTGGTTTTTGACCTGAGCGTTTGTGAGCTGTGGACAGTTCAGCTGCGCCAAAAGCCGTAACTGGAAGAAGACCACTGTCCAGATAAGTTTAGGTTAAGGCGTTAAAATACTTGTAAAGCTTATATTTGTAAAGGCTTCGTACGTGTACCATGGTAAACGTTTTTCAGGGTTAATTATCACGATGTAATAATTCTATTGTCAGGTGGTATTGAATAATATCCTTCTTGTAACTTGCATTCCAGTGGTGGAGCATGTGCTGCTTGTTTTGATAATATATTGTAATTCTTTTTTTAAATATCTTGTTTTATTTGGCTCTTTGTTGTGTCATTACTGAGAGATTTTTTTCTTTTGTGTGGATGGTTAGGCAAAACAAGTTCCGATTGACACCTCGTAGGTTTGTGACTTAATCCGTCTTAGGTCACTGGCGCTGTTTTGCATTGATTGACCCTTAGATTTCAATTATAGTGTTTTATTTATTTATTGATTTATTAATTGGATAAAAAAAGGAAAGAGGAATCACATCACCATTTCTTCTAGTTTATTAAAGAGGTGTGGCAGAGTATGGAATTTTCTGGTTGATAGGCAGGGGAGTATTTACCCGAGTTCCAAAATGACAATTGCTAGGTGCTGCAGGCTAAGAGAGGCGACCGAAACAAGGCGGGTCATGACCCCTTCCTCCCTGGGCGAATTGAGATCTTGACCAGCCAAAAGCTATCTCTCCCCCTACACTTCAATTACCTCAGATGAGAAAAATGTGCTTAATGCATCGCAGATAAAGTTATTGCTGTATCTCATAGCATTTTCAACCAGTATGACAGGAAATGACGTGTAATTGTCAGTTCGTGGAATTTCTCCTAGAGTTATCAAAATTTCTAATATCAACATATAGAAAATATCGGTACTTGATTCAATTTTTAGCGTTTTAATTTTCAGTGTTATCATACCTTTTTCTTCTGGAATGATTACAGCTTTTTTGCTAACTTTTTCCTTAGACCTGGACAGCCTCGTGCCGCTTTTGGCAGTATAATTTTTCGACGTCGTTTTTACGCAGGGGTCATCGATGACGTCAAAACGATCATCATACCTCATGTCGATACTTTTGTCATCTACATTGTCCCATGTTAGAAAGCTCATATTCGATGATCTGTCTTGCACTGGAGTTGTCACGGAATATTGTGCATCGTAATCGTAATCTGACATGAAGGTTGCTGAAAATTGGAAAAATGATTGGTTTTTCTTGTTTCTTTGTACTGAACCGCGGAGGCAGCATATCTATACTAAAGAATTGTTTTACCAAAAGAAGACAGTTAGATAAGGCGAATAAATTAGAGACTAACAAGAGATAATGATAATTATAATAATCCGGCTTTATTTATACAAATTACAAAAAGGCGAAGTGTCGTTAAAAAGCATTTTTCAACATGACCCAACATAAATATTTATGTAAATTTTCTAATCCTAAGGAAAACAAAAAAGATAAAACCCTGTAACGAGTTCCTATTCATGGCTGGGCGATAAAATCAGAGATAAAGTGCTTCAATCTTTTTTTGAAATTCGTTATAGACAACGTGACAGGGTGTCCCGCGAGGTAAGGGACAACATTTTGCTACGTGTTCCTCTCAGGTACAATTCGAGTGGAAAAAATCCTATGAACATGGGTCCGCCAAATGCTTTCTTATCGAGATAATGTTTTTTTTATTTTTAGTGTGCTAATGGTGGGAAAACCACAATATTGTTGGGAAATTATTCTTATTTAACACAAAATTACTAGGTACAATAAAAATAACTATTCACAATAGTTGTTCAAAGTGTGCACCTTCACACTGTAAACATAGCCTGTTTAATAATGTGACTGGTGGCTTTCCCAATAACAAGACGATTACTTCTTATGTCGTCAGTAATTTTACGGAGCAGTTCAGCCCTGGTATGCGATTTCTCTGCATACACTAAAGACTTCATATGTCCCCACAAGTAATAATCCAAGGGATTTAAATCGAGCGAGCGGGGTGTCCGAGAAACTGCGCTTCCTCGTCCAATGCAACGCCCAGGAAAAGTGTTATTTAAATAACAGTAATTTTTGCAAAGTTCATTCAAACTGAGACAACTACTCCGTCAACAAACAAACAAACACCAGCGTATTAATCGGGCAGTTCTTGCGCTTATTCCCAGATTTTCTTCCACAATATCCAAAATGTTGTCTTCGGCTTTTAAAACGCCCCATCCACTCCACGTCTGGGGCGCAAATTTCCACTAGAACGTGCACGTAAAACAATTGAACAAAATGTTTCATGACGTGGTATGTGCCTATTCGGGAATCGGTGTGCATACAAACGAGAAGCCGCTTGCGAATTTTGAACTGCTTCTCCGTACGCTAAAATAATGTCCACTAACTCCTCATTAGTGTACACATGTGCCATTTTTATTAATAAATAACTAAAAACATAAACTCGCAAAATACTTAACTTCACAAAGATCGACCGTTCTTCATTCAGATCACCCACGATACAGATTAAACCTTATTTACACGTTCTTATCAGTATGAAAAAACAAAAAATCCTGGTATTTTGCTTTCGTCAGTTGTTTGGTACAACATTTGCTACAATAAATTATTAATGCGTGTTCTAATATCACGACGATGATCGCAAAATACAGAGATATTTATTTTTCAATTTGTTATTGAAGCTCAGGTTTATAACTTAATTACTGTATGACTTTTATTACATTTTTTTGAGCAATTAACTTCTTTCGTAACAGTGCATATGTGGCTAAAATTTGTCGGATAAGTTGTGAAACACCCTGTATATCATTTAAGGTTGTGCGGAATATTAGACGTTTCAGCTTAGTAACAAAGTGTATGCTTAAAGTTCACATCTGTTACTACCTCAAATCGCTTATTTGGTCAGTGTATTTGACATAGTTGTCCTTAAGACGTTATGTTATATATTAGATATGATTTTTCGACCTAAAAAGAACTGAATTCCATTTAGCTCAGCATAGATTTCGGGTTTCTTAAATATTTCATGTCAGTTTGGCAGCACCGCCTTGATAGATGCAGAGTCAAATATGCGGATCCTCGACAGAATGTCAAGCGAATCGCCAAACCAAGAAGGGTCTGATCATACGTGGCTGTATGTTACATATTTTGTTGCTAAACAGCAATCTCGAAAAGTTTTTGTATCGTATATCAGTACGAGATGATGTAAACAAAAATTATATATGTATTTTAATAAGCAACACTAAGTATGTGAACTGTGGAAAAGATGGCGTCAAGCATATTGACCCAGTATTTCCTGCGGAATTAGATCAATTGAATTTATGTTCGTTTTATATCTTGGCCTAACGCCATATAATATATAGTTCAACATAAATCGATCAAAGCGTTGCCTTGTAAGATATGGAGTCCGATCTGTTTGACACAAAGTGTCCCTGATGAAATAGAAACCTGACTAGGTATGATCACTTAACACTATATACGATTATATAAAAATGTTTGTACAATAAAGCCACTTATTATTATACTCGTATCGTATAACCCTTCAGATTACATCTCAAACTATAGAAAATAAACCTGCTATCATATTCCTGTGTCAATGGACAACTATGGACTATAATGTGTGTGAATATTATATCTTAACTAAATGCGTAACATTGCTGGGATTCTTAACAGTCTTTCGCATACAGACATACTGAAGGAAATGAATGACATAATTTTTCGTGATGTACTTGTCATGTCCAAAAAGCATATCTTATTTTTTATTTTTTTCTCTTCCTCACCAGTGTCGTGAAAGTAAAAATATGTTAATGTCATGAAAATGTGAAACGGCGTAGAAGTTGAAAACGGAAGTAGATATTTCCTCCATTTGAAAAACGGTGTTAAGTAAGTCGACCCTGCACTTCTCCTGCAATACCCCATAATTTCATAAATGATTATTTTCAGCACAAGTCAGGCCGTCTGAGAAAAATGACGTCAAGTGGATTGACTCTGCTTTTCCTACGCAATGCCACCATCAGTTCATAAAGGATTAAGTTCAGCGCAGTTCAAATTGAGAAAAAAGTCAGGTACGGACATGTACAACAGAGAAATTAAACGTATTAAATCAGTCAAACAGGATCATACACTAGTCCATAAACATTTTTTCTCTGCCCTACTAATAGTTACCGTCCATGTGGCAACGTTGTCCCTTTCCACGTCTGCGCGGCATGCTGCAGCGAGTTATCTTTCGTTTCGTACAAGGACCGTGTATATGTTGTTGTGCTTCAGTACTTATAGATGTATAAGCCCGACATTTCCTAAGTTTTAAAAGCCAGATATACGGGTAATACGGGTAAGACTATGTGTGAAATATGGCTAGATAGGTGCATAGAATTACCGGTGTTGGGAGGGTATAAACATACTAAGGTCAAAAAAATTTCATATACCTCCCCACTCCCCATAATAACCAACCCCAAATTTCAACCCCTACAACAATTTTTCTGAAAATGATCAGGACAACTGAAAGAAAGGAAATACGAAGTTTAAGCGATTTTAACTTTTTTCGTTTTTTACCTTTTGCACCGCCACTACTAGACCGATTTACAAAAGCTGGCATAGCCATAACCCTGTGTGAAAATTTCATCAAAATCCAACAGGTACCTCCCAAGTTATAGAGGAGTCAAGGATTAGCGGACAAGCAGACAGACCGACGAAAATTAGTGACATGTTTTTTTGTGGTATACGTACATGTCATTTATAACATCCAAAAAACATATCTCATTTCCGGAATTTTTCGCTATTACAATGCTTCTGCGCAAAGTGGCGTAGGAAGTTGAAAAGTAGATTACAAACATAGATATTATTTCCCTGCCCTACCCGTAGTACCGACCATCTGACAACGTCGCCGCTCCTCCATAACTGACGGGTCAGACTTGGCAGCGCGACATCCTGGTAGTAGTACAGAAATGCCCGCCTGTGAACCCAGAGAGCAAAAGCAGAGACGCGCATCAGAAACATTTTCCATCAAATATGATGTGTGAAATATGCCTAATAGCGTAGAATAACCGTGGCTGGAAGCGTATAAGTACATTTACATCAAAAAATCAAGATATGCCTTCCTCCTCCTACACTTACCTCCAACTGCCATTTTTTAACAGTACAAAAAGTTCCCTCAAAATGGTCAGACGTTGTTTTTTCTTTTTCGTGTTTAGCTCCGTCGCCACTGGGCCGATTTCCAAAAACACAATGCTTTTTTGTCCTTTGTATAGTAGTAACCTTGTGTGGAAATGTTATCCAAATCCGAGCAGTACCGACAGATCGACAGACCGACAGGTAAACAGACAGACGCCGACGAGCCAACACATCGACAGTCAGACTGCGTGGCATGGTCTTTCGGGGTGTGCATGTCATATAACACAAAAGAAATCCTAATTTCGGATTTTTTTTGCGACTACAATACCTTCTCGCCAGTGACATAGGAGGTAAAAAAACAAAAGGTGTCTGCTTACTAGTGTGAGAAATACCGAATGTCTTGCCTGTCAAGCCTATTAATCCGAAAAAATAGATGTTTGTGAGCCAGCGCATTTCAACACTCACCATGGAAATCTTTCTTTTTCTTCTTCTTTCTCAAAGTCTTCGGCTTTCTCTCTTCTTCGATAGGTTGGTCGCTCTCATACCAACGCTCGCCTAAGCCCCAGTCTTTATGAGCTTCTTGTATTTTGCTCATGAAACTTTTGTATCTATCCATGCATCTTGAATGTGCACCCTGGAATCTGAAATATAGGTGTAACAGGGGCATCCAAATATACAGGGTGTTCCAGATTAAGACGCCAATGAAAGTGAATAGTACCTCAAGTTCTTATACAAAATGACCTCCCAAGCTCCCTGCGAAAATAGAGACACTATACTATCGTATCAGATGCACTTTTTGTCCACGAGTGCATGTGAAACTCATTCTGAAAATCTGCGATCTCCACTAACGGCTGGATATCTAGTAATATTTCAAAATTCCCCATATCGGCAAAGGACACATAATTCCGACGAATCCGTCAATGCCAAGTAGTAGCCATATTTTGTTTTGGTTTTTTGTGCGCTTCAGATTCATTTTGTACTTGCTAAAACCTCTTTTATTTAGAAGAGGTCATTTGCCTACAAAAAACAAAACGCTACAAACAATTTTTTTCTAGATTTACACCTGACTCATTATAGCCAACGTTGCAGACTAACATATACTAAGTGACATATAAATCCGAACACCCAGTTTAAATGGTTTTATTTTAATAAAAGTTGGTGAATGTATTTATCTTACAGTAAATAACAAGTGAAAAAATTTTCAGCCTTATCAGTTGGACATTCCGGTTTTTATACTGCTCTTTTTTAATTCACTAACGCTCTAAAAATGAATATTTCAGCCGCAGTAAAGAATCAACGTTGGCGGATTTTTGTTCTTGACATCCTTTACGATCGGTTACGATGCCTAGAGTACGGAGACCTGTACGATTTCGGCAACTTAGTGAGTTCGACAGGGGCCGTATAGTGGGACTTCGGGAAGCTGGACTTTCTTTTCGGGCAATTGCAGTTAGAGTGCAAAGAAGTCTAGACACTGTGGTTAGGTGTTGTCAGGCATGGCTTCGAGAAGGCCGTACGCAAAGAGCAAGGGGCACTGGACGCCGCCGTAGAACAACAGACCGTGAAGATCGCCGCCTAAGTTTATTGGCCTTAAGGGACCGTTTCTCCACTACCAGGTCCATTGCAAATGAATGGTTTGCAGAACACGGAAGACCTATTGGCATGCGAAGTGTTTACCGACGAATGAGAAGTTTTGGCTTGTTTTCATACCGGCCACACTGGGTCCTCCCTGTAACTCGAGAACACCGACGTAATCGCCTTGAGTGGTGCAGACAACGGTCACTCTGGGATCAGGAATGGAACAGTATTGTCTTTAGTGACGAGTCTAGATTTTGTTTAGGCATGCACGATGGTCGTGCCAGGGTTAGAAGGCGACGTGGTGAAAGGAGGAATCCACAGTTTTTTGTTGAAAGACATGTTCATCACACTGTTGGAGTTATGGTTTGGGGTGCTATAGCTTATGGTTCCAGGTCACCTTTAATCTTCATCAGAGGTAACATGAACGCGCAGCGTTATATCCACGAAGTTCTAGAACCCCATCTTTTACCCTATCTTGACACCCTGGCAGATCCAACTTTCCAACAAGATAATGCCCGACCACATGTTGCAAGAGTGACAATAGACTTCTTTCAACATAATGATGTCACATTGTTACCATGGCCACCAAGCTCTCCCGACTTATCCCCAATTGAGCACGTGTGGGATATGATGGGTAGGAGATTGCTCAATTTGCAACGTCCTCCTCAGACTCTAGAAGCACTTCGAGAGGAGTTGGTGGTTGCCTGGAATGAGATACCACAGGAGGACATTGACCACCTGATCAGAAGCATGCCTAGGCGCGTTGGAGAATGCGTAGCACATCAGGGTGCATCCACACATTATTAAAGGTCAAAGGGCTTTAAAGCAGTGCAATCATTTTGAAATTTTTATCATTTACTTATTATGCTTCATTAAGTACTTATACAAAATTTTATTAAAATAAAACCATTTAAACTGGGTGTTCGGATTTATATGTCACTTAGTATATAAATGTCACTTGCTGATCAGCTGTTCACCTCAGTAGACGCCAAAGCGTGATGGATACTCGTGAAATAGGATGTAGCAACCACTATTCTTGACAGCAGATTCAGGTCGAGCTCGAGATTTTACATCAGAGTGTATTTCCCCATACATGAGGCCAATCGGTCATATGCGGCTCAATCATGACCTACTGTAACGTATGAAAAGTATACGAACACCTCGAAAACGTGGCAACCAGGTATTTTTTGGAACGAATGTTTAAAGAAAACTTTCAGGATATCTAAAAAGCAACTTATCGATCACCCCAATGATGACCTAGAGAATGACCTCAAAGGGTTATTTGGAGCAGGTTATTTTGACAACAGATTCGTGTCAGGTTCGAGATTTCACATCAGAATTCATCTTCATACATAAAGTACATTGAAATTTGCTCTCGAAGCTCTTTCGAAGGCGTGGGAATTTTACAGTCGATTTACTTTTTTTAATTTAGTGTTACTAAAATGTGAACTCCGTCAATCCGTGTCACCGTCCGAACCCACCCTAGACAGATGACTCATATTCCATATTTCATACCAATTCCCATACAATAGAGTTTCAAATGAAGAGGGATTTCGTTAGTACATCATACACCACTTGTTTTATTACTTATCAGCATTAAGGCATCCTCATTGAAACACCCTTTTATTCAGGCAGCCATGAACGAAAATATGAAATACAGCGTTTGTTGTGAAGTCGTTAACGAGAGTGGTAGGCATACCGGAAACCTTGCCTTGGAATGTACAAGATTCGGTGTTGTCAAACGAACCAGTGATGAAATGTTGAAAAATTTGTGGCGACCTGGCCTTTCTTCTCGGCCCAAAATGGAGTGCCGTTAGGAATCAATCCTAAACAGATCGACACAGTTCACAATTCAAAAATGTGTACGCTCAGAGTAAAAGCATTATTTGGTCGTAAAGAGTAAACTAGCGCATATTTTCAACATGGATCTTATTTTAAGGAACTGGTGCAACATATTGGCAATGTGGAAGATTGCACAACCTACTGCGTCACTGAGTGGTGGGGGTAGTTTTCAACCTTCTAGAACCCTTTCAGGTTTTTTTAAAAGTCCAACATTAAAACGACTAGCAAAACACATGTCTTCTATACCGCAGACAGGCGTAACCGATTTTATACAAATTTTCAGTAGAAGTAAAATATTTTCTACTTTAGAAAATATGATCATGATTTCTGATATCTGTGTGAGCTAACTACTTAGAGCTACGCCACTTTGCGGGATTGAAGATATGCAATACCTTGTTGATTTGAAGCCGTTAACTTGAATTTGATTTTTTATCAGATACGCCTGTTTGCGGTATGGACGACGATGTGTTCTAAATTTCTTTCAAGTCGGTCTATAGGCTCCAAAAGTGTCTGAAAAAATTGGACGACGCCTCCTAATGGACAAACGAAGCACTTTTGTCCAATCGACTTGTTTTAGTCTGTTGGTTGGACTGATGAAAGCACTATACTATATCGCCAGAATTGACGGTATCAAACGATCACAGTGGTGACTCCGCTTTCGACACCAACTGAGATACCTTTATAGTTCCAACAAATCTGATATCCACTTTTGCATTCGTGGATTCTAGTAATATACAGCGAAGATTGTCTACTTTAAACAATTTTGAGCCTGTAGATAAGAATTTTTACCTGTTAAACAATTCCTCACAGGGGCACGGCTCAACAGGCAGCGCCTGTGATAAAATATACACACTCTGCCCGCATTTCATTTGTCTGACACCCTGTATATGATATTTGATCCTCCCTGCTGGAGGCGGTTCGGGCATTCTCTTCCTAGCTTCCTTCTCTTCGTCTTGCTTTCGCAGCATTTCCGCACATGCGCATTGTATTGGGGGCCTGATGCCAGTCAGCATATACATAGGACCTTAAAAAGACACCTTGACAAAAGGGAAAAAAATCGTTGTCTCTGACTTGCTGATTTCACTCACTCAGTTCGCCAACTTTATGTACTAAATACCCTTCAGCGTGCCTTAGCACCTACCTATACCCGTACATCCTTCTCAATTTCTCCACGAACTCAAAAACTCAAAATATTGACTTGAAAACTTGAAAACTTGAAAACTTGAAAACTTGAAAACTTGAAAACTTGAAAACTTGAAAACTTGAAAACTAGAAAACTCGAAACTCGAAAACTCGAAAACTCGAAAACTCGAAAACTCGAAAACTCGAAAACTCGAAAACTCGAAAACTCGAAAACTCGAAAACTCGAAAACTCGAAAACTCGAAAACTCGAAAACTCGAAAACTCGAAAACTCGAAAACTCGAAAACTCGAAAACTCGAAAACTCGAAAACTCGAAAACTCGAAAACTCGAAAACTCGAAAACTCGAAAACTCGAAACTCGAAAACTCGAAAACTCGAAAACTCGAAAACTTGAAAACTTGAAAACTTGAAAACTTGAAACTTGAAAACTTGAAACTTGAAAACTTGAAAACTTGAAAACTTGAAAACTTGAAACTTGAATTGAAAACTTGAAAACTTGAAAACTTGAAAACTTGAAACTTGAAAACTTGAAAACTTGAAAACTTGAAAACTTGAAACTTGAAAACTTGAACTGAAACTTGAGAACTTGAGAACTTGAGAACTTGAAAACTTGAAAACTTGAAAACTTGAAAACTTGAAAACTTGAAAACTTGAAAACTTGAAAACTTGAAAACTTGAAAACTTGAAAACTTGAAACTTGAAAACTTGAAAACTTGAAAACTTGAAAACTTGAAAACTTGAAAACTTGAAAACTTGAAAACTTGAAAACTTGAAAACTTGAAAACTTGAAAACTTGAAAACTTGAAAACTTGAAAACTTGAAAACTTGAAAACTTGAAAACTTGAAAACTTGAAAACTTGAAAACTTGAAAACTTGAAAACTTGAAAACTTGAAAACTTGAAAACTTGAAAACTTGAAAACTTAAAAACTCGAACACTCGAACACTCGAAAGCTCGAAAATTCGACAACTCGACAACTCGACAACTCGAACACTCGAACCCTCGAACACTCGAACACTCGAACACTCTAAAACTCGAAAAATCGAAAAAGAAAACTCGAAAATTCGAAAACTCGGTAATTCGAACACTCGAAAACACGAAGACTCGGTAACTCGATAACTCGAAAACTGGAAAATCGATAACTCGACGGCTCGACGACTCAAAGACTCGAAGACTCGAACACTCGAAAACTCGAATACTAGAAAACTCATAAACTCGAAAACTCGAAAAACTCGAAAACTCGAACACTCGAACACTCGAAAACACGGAAACTCGAAAACTTGAATACTAGAAGTTGTCAAATTAAAAACCAGATGATCGACAGCTACAAAACTTCTCGAATTGAGAACGCGGAATGCAGAACACACAACTCTGGTCTTAAATCTGCTGTGATTCTGCTCATTATTACCTCTGGCCGTTTGTACGACACCTCCAATAGCGTACTTATTCTGTATAGACATCATCCTCCATCGAGTCTCAAGTCTCTGCCTGTACTCATGCATCGTTTTTAATTTTTCCATGTATCTCTCCAGGCAGTTGCAGTTCTTCTGGGACACACATGCAGATATTATTGGAATGGGAGGATCAATTTCTTGCCCTTTCATTCCGGCGATTATGAAAGTAGCGTTGTCTTGTCTTTCTTGAGCTCGACACGTTTCACATTCGCACCTGGAACAAATTTAGTCAACTGGAACAACTCAGTACTTTTCGCTCCACCTTTATACAACAAGATTCTGAGCAAAAGGTTTCCACTGTTATTACTTAAAGATACTTTTTCATAATATCTGAAGCCAAATTTTACAAATATTCAAGGGTTTTCAAACCAAAGTCTTGCCTGTGTTTCAAAAATCTATCAACTTCTTGTTTACATTTGCACGCGTCTGGATCCGCAGTTTCTACTTCTGGTTTTTTAATTTCTTTCTTCTTACAAACCGAGGACACCATATAAGCAGGACCAACCTGGGATGGAACAAAAAATGTCCAACATCAGAAAATGTTGACATATCTGCAATTTCGATCAAAACGATTTTTTGGAGGAAATCAGGTGGGTAAATAAATCATAAATCCGGACAAAATGACACTTTTTTCACTATAAATACGACTTAGCTATACTATAACCAAATTATAATAGAGTAACGAGTTTCATTTATTTTTTGATATGGGGGACATACATGGAAGAAAAATACAGTATGACACTTTGAAATTTCAGTAACAAAACCAGTTTACTGAATCATCAACTCACCTCAGTCATAACAATCCCTCCGATCACATAGGTAACAGGATAACAGTGTTGATATCTTCTCAGAACAGCTTTACGCTGAGCCACACACGTGCAGGCCCCACCTGTTGATAATAACCTGGTTCAAGGAATACCACAAGCATGTCACCTGAGACCATCTCATGCAATATGACGCTTAGAGTTTTAAGAAATTTTGTTGGTAACAAGTACGAACTCGCAGACATTAGTCGTTGATGCTCGCGGTGTTTTCAGGGTTGTGAATCAAACTGTATGTATTCACATTTGTTGCTGTTGAAATCAGTTCAAGCAAACAAAGTGCCTGGAGTTCTTTATTTGATTTTCATGCTCTGGTATACGACAGATATATGATCTGCGGAATGTAAACAATTAAGGATTTTCCATGTTATAAAAGAAATTTGAAGTAGGCAAGTTAAGTGTCATTTTGTTGTCTACCAGTGGTTTTAATTGTGTCCAGTAGATCAATTCTGCAATTTCTGATATCTATATTTATGAGTATTTCTGCTCGTTTCATGTGATCATGTCTTGAGTGTAAATTACGCGACTTGTCTCCAAGGGTTACTCCTTAATGGGCTTAAATTTATCAGTATTTGAACTTCCTCTTGTAGACCTTTAAATAATTGTAAGATACTTCCAACACACCTTTTTTTGGAATACATTAGTTTTACAAACTTGCAGTATAGATTTGTTCGTACAGTGGTCGGTTATTTGTCGGTAACTGTGTCTGGGATACAGCCGTGTGAATTCAGTCTATAGCGTAGCAGAGTGAACGGAATTTATATGGGGGGATCTTGGATACGGTCACTGACAGGTTGTTTGTTTAATATTTATTTAGCATGATGGCTACAATTACATACGTTTGAAAAAAAACTAAGCAATTACATAACATACAGATGTTTCGAAATACAAAAATTGCATCTCTAAGAATTTTCGATATCCATGAAGTATTCCTTTAGTTTTCTTTTAAACATCTTTTGATTACAACTAGACTTTATATCATTATTTAGTTTATTAGATTCAAGTAATCCTTCCGGAAATATTGATTTGCTAGTTATATTACTATTGCAACTTTGTAAATGAAAATCTATATTTCCTCTTGTATAATAATTGTGGTAATGATTATTCAATTTTATGTAGCGTTCTAAAAATTGTGGCAAAATATGTTTTTTTTTTATTTTAAATATAAAAATAACAAAATATGATTTTTTATATTCAACCACTGCAATACTTGTAACATAGATTTTATCTTGGTGTACTTATTTTCTTCAATATTATTCTCATGGATTTATCTTGCAGGACTTGTAATTTTGAGAATACAGCTTCATTGGAAGTTAAAAAGATAGTTGAACAATTTAGTAAATGCGGTAGAATAATTGTATTATATACTATTTTTTTTTTTGAATATGTACCAAGACTACGAGAAGCCCTACAAAAGTAATTTGTTTCTCTGGCAATTTGTGAAATAATGTATTCATAGTGATCCTCAAACTTTAGTTTACTATCAATATAATATTAATATCATATTTATTTCACCATTTATCCTAAGTGTGATAGTATTGATTCAGGATTGAACATCTTTCACACGAACATAAGGAGCATTCATAGAAATATGGATGAACTCCATGCCTTGTTGGATATACTAGATTTTAAATTTGATGTTATAGTGCTAACTGAAACATTTAAAGTATATGATACAAGTTTGATCGAAATTCCCAATTATGATTTATATTATAACGATGGTAGTTTTAATAAAAATGACGGGGTTCTGATTTACGTAAGACAAAATTTGAACAGTGGGCATGAAATTATTAATATAACTCAAACAAAACTTTTACGAGTTATTCTTCAAAAGAATAATAAATGGATACCGATCATTGGTATGTACAAATCACCCTGTATATCTGTAACAACATTTAACGGTCAATTACATGATTATCTAGAGAGCAGTAGAAAATTTGACATCAACTTATTCATTGGAGACCTTAACATTAACATATTAGATCATAACAATCAAAATATTCAAGATTATTTAAATATAATGGCTGAACATGGTTACCTGTCAGCCATTAACAAAATGACAAGAGTAGAGGGAAACAGTGGGAGTTGTATAGATCATATGTTTATAAATTCACGTTTAGAACTTGACAAAATATATTCAGCAATTCTAAAATACAAAATTTCTGATCATTTTCCTACTTTGCTCAAAATCGATCTTGAAAGTACATCAACCAAAATTGAAAAGACAGTGAATAATACAAAAATTTATATTGATTATGAAAAACTAAATGACAACTTACTCAATGAAAATTGGATTGTAGTATATAACGAACCTAATATTGACAATGCATTTGTCCTTTTTATATCTAGCATTGAAGGCCATATTGCTGAATTCACCAAAACAGTAAAGATTCCACGAACACAAATAAAAAGACAAGCATGGATATCAAAAGGGATTATTACCTCCATCAACAAAAAAATAGAATTATATAAGGAAACCAAAAAAGATCCTTATGATGTCAAACTTTTGAATGAATTTAAATCACATCGAAACAGACTGACAAAAATAATTATTAAAGAGGCTAAAATTAAATATCTCCAAGACGAGTTTGATAATCTACAAAATTGTTCGTCCAAATTGTCAATAAAATACAAGGCAAAAAACAAAACAACAAAATTAGTACAATTAAAAAAGAAAGTGGTGAACTAGTGAGTAATGATGTAGATATAGCAAATGAATTTTGTGAATATTTTTCAAAAATCGGGAAAAGGTTGTCAGAAAGCATAAAAAACGCGGAGAAATTAAATTATAGTAAGACCAGATTATATAACTCATTATATCTGGAACCGACCGATACGCATGAAATAAAGACAATAATCAATGAATTGAAATTAAGAAAATCTCCAGGTCTAGATAATATAACAGCGTATACTCTCAAGAGAATAAATTGCAACATCTGCGGCATACTGTCATATTTGATAAATTCTTGTATGAATAAAGGAGTATTCCCTACATGTTTAAAACACGCTATGGTAAAACCATTATTTAAATCTGGAGAAAGAGAAAAACCCATCAACTATCGACCAATTTCCATCTTAACAAATTTTTCTAAAATATTTGAAAAAGTGTTAAAAAAACGATTCACCGAATTTGCAAAAAAATATAACTTAATAGCGGAACAGCAATATGGTTTTCAAGAAGGCAAATCTGCTCAAGATGCTATTGTAAAATTAACAAGTAAAATATACACGAATCTCGATATTGGCAAACCAACTGCTTGTGTTTTTGTTGACTTGGCAAAGGCATTCGACTCTATTACTCATAAATCGCTTTTAACAACTTTAGAAAACTTAGGTTTCCCTGGAATAACATACAAACTTATAGAAAATTATTTGTCAAATCGAACACAGTGCGTCAAAATTAATAACACATTCAGTGAACCCCATATTATATCATACGGTGTACCTCAAGGCTCAGTATTAGGACCCATTTTATTTAATCTATTTATCAACGATTTGTTCAAAATAAGTAGTACAGGTAAAGTTATCGGTTTTGCAGATGATACAGCTATTCTTTATGAAATCAACCAGTGGCATACACTAAAAACCACAATCGAACATGATTTCAAAACATTTATAAATTTCTTTTCGGAAAGAACTTTGACAATTAATTACAACAAAACACACTATATAGCATTTTCTTGTAACGACAAGCTCTCACCACAATTTAAAAAACTTGAAGTTCATACAAGCAGTGGTCTCAAAGAGATTCAGTCAGCCGATAAAATAAAATACTTAGGCGTGATTTTGGACAAACACTTAAAATGGGATACCCATACAGAGTACCTTGTGAAGAGACTGAGATGTATTATTCCAAAATTCAGGTACTTCAGAGATATTCTAGATAAGAAATATCTATATAATCTATATTATGCTCTTGTTTATCCTCTATTACTTTACGGAATTTTGGCTTGGGGGGGAGTTATGAATAATAATTACAAAAAGGTTGATGTAATCCAAAAATTAATTCTAAAATCCATATGGAGATTACTTATTCAAGCGATTTTCTATATGTGGAGGCTCAGCTATTAGATTGCAGACAAATTTATTTTTATTGTGGTCTAATACATTATTTCAAATATTCAAAATACTTTAATCGTACCATTCATAACTACCCAACAAGATTCAATCAAAATTCAATGTGTATTCCACAAACATCAAAAACCATTACACAACTATCTCTGTTTTTCTTGGGACCAAAATTCTATAACTTCATACCAGAGTCATTAAAAGTAATTAAATCAAATAAATCATTTAACAAAGAACTAAAAAAATGGATTTTACAACTCCATCCACGAAATTGTAGATCTGAAAAATCATTATCAAAATCAATAATATTTTACTTATACTAACATCCATACTTTTACTTTAGTTCTAATTGTCTGGATATTTTTCCTGACATTACCATAATTATTCACCAAATTATACAGTATTAACGGTTTTTTTTTCATACAGTGACTGTAGTATTAGTTTTTATTTTGTACAAACCCAAACACAAGTGCTTTTTTTGGGTGCTTTATGTTTATTGTGCACAATATTTGATATTTACTTGTATTTTGTGACAATAAACATTATTATTATTATTATTATTTTCGTTTAGGTATTTTCCTATTAGCTTTCATTTTGTTTTAGAAATATTCAATTTTAGTTTATTTACATTTAACCAATTAACGATTTTTGTCAAGTTAGAATTTATCATTTTAAATAATCTAAAATATTACAAATATCATTAATGTATAAAATAAATAGTAGCGGACATAGTTTAGTACCTTGTGGTACACCAACAGAAATATTTTTAAGGTTGATAATATAGATCCAATTTTGGTTTTTTGCCTTCTGTCAATTACGTAGTTTTGTAGAATTTTGAATGCAGATCCTTTGAATCTATTGCGATGCACTTTAGTAAGTAATTTATCCCTAACGCTCTTTTGAAGTCCAAAAACGCTGTTACTGTAGGTTCCCTATTATCCAAACATCTCCTCCAGTTCTCTAAAACCATTTGTATTGCCGTTTCAGTTGGGTGTTTCTTCCTGAATCCAGCTTGAAATTTGGTTAAAATTTTATTTCCTTCAATGAATTCGATGATTTGTTCGTAAATAATTTCTTCAACATCTGGCCGTATATTGGTGTACAAATCAGAATTCCTAACTTTCGAAACAGGAGTTATGTAGAATACTTCAGTTTTGTTAGAAATTCCCCATATTTTAAACAGTAATTTATCAGGATTAATATTCTTGCTTCAATAATATCAAGACATCCATTAAGCACGCTGTTGGACTAAGTCTCTTATTTTAGCAACCATCAGGCGGTCACATTGTGAGCCCGTACAAATTAGTGACGTCAAGATAAATAGAAGCAAGACCTGATACCAAAAATAAAGAACAAAAAAATACATAGATTTAAGGCAAAGGTGCAACGCTAATAACATGAACGATTGGTTAGAAGACAAAAGATAATAGCACAGTCATATAAGCAGTACCTATGATAGATGACATAATAGTAATAAGAATAGCAAGAGGCAAGCGACCGAAGGAGTATAAGAAGGTCAAAAATGATGTATTGACAACCTGGATAACCGAAAAAGAGGCACCCGAAGTGGAAGCAGGCTCAAACCTATTAACACGTTTGCTGCCAGTAAAATGTTGTTACATGTAGTCAGGGGCCAAGGGGGTCTTTAATTTGTTTTGCCAGAAAATTGCTTTAAATGATACTAAAAGAGCGATATATTGTAATTATCAAATATATTTTCTTACCTGAATACAAATATTTCTTTGGTCGCCAGATGGCGACACTGGCACTACAGGTAGAATTTAGGACTGGGTTGCCGGTGTCGCCATTTGGCAACAAGATTATTTTTATTCCAAAAAAATTGTGGACAACACTATCATTCTTCCTCATTTGTTATATTGTCCCACTATTTTATTCACTGCAAATGAAACTGTATTTTCAAAATTACAAATATTACAAAATAAAGCTATGAGAATCATCTTAAATAAAAATAAATATACTAGAATAAATTTTATACTGAAATTTCATAGCCTACTTGGTTTTCATTTTCATATTCAAGGTAAAAAATCATCTTCTAACAAATCACTTAGAAAATTTTATTGTGTTGAACAATGAGTGCCACAATTATTCTACTAGAGGAAGTATAGACTTTGATTTACAAAACTGCAGTAGCAATATAACGAGCAAGTCAGTATTTCAAAAGAGATTGTACGAATTTAATAAATTAAGTTATGATATCAGGATGTGTGTCAGTTTCAAAATGTTCAAAGAGAAATTGAAAAAATAGCACATGGAAAACCAGAATTCATAGTAGTGAAATTTTGTATAAAAATATGTAGTCTTGAAGACATAATTTATTTTGTGATATACTGTGTAATATGGATATTCTGGATATTGTAGCATTAATGCTAAATAAATCTGAAATAAAAACAAAAATAGCATATTGAACTATTGAAACAATTCATAAACATAACTCATAGTAGGGAATGAAAAAAGTCCAAAAGTAGAACCGAAACCAAACCTTTGGCTGCCCAATATCCCGAATCCTCAGCACCCTTCATACAGCATATTCTCGGTCTCCTCAACGGTTGTGCCTCATCAACCCTTACCACAGAATAGGAGACCAAGTACGCTGGCCCAATGCGTGAAATAGCTATACCACCATTGACAAAAAGCGCTTCGCCATTGAAGGGTTTTCCAATTATCCGTTTGCTGGTACAGATACAACCATCTCCGTTTGACGAGTCCTCAAATGTTGGATGTACTTCGTTGCATGCAGGTGCTGGCGATTTTTCTCTTTCTGACTCCTCAAATTCGTTTAGTTGTTGAGCTTCAATAGATAATAATATGAATAATGCTAATAGGGCCTTAGGTTTTCTCATCAGAAACTGTAAGCTAATCAATGATTTAAGAGCACTAAAAACCTTGTATTATGCTTACTATAACTGTTATATAAACAGGATAGATTATGTTCAAAAAAAGTTTCTTAAATATCTAACTTTTAAGTGCGATAGAGTCTACCCTCAACGTCGATCGGACTATCAAATTCTATTAGACAGATTTAAAATGACATCTTTGAATGTGAGAAGGAAGCACAGTTCTGTTATTTTTTTGTTTAAACTCTTGCATGGAACTATAGTTTCTTCGGAATTGTTATCACAACTATAGTTTTTAACGCCAAGATCCGTTTCAAGATGTAATGTTACTTTCTTTTGCAGTCGTGCTAACACAAATTTGATTTTGAAATCACCTGAAAGGGTTATGTGTTTAAATTATAATAGTATTTGTAAGTTATGTGACATATTCTTATGTTCTATTTCGGAGCTGAAATGTGTTTTGCGGGAGCGCCTTAGATATTTTTATAAGTTAGGCTTTTGTAATATTTCCAAATTAAGATTTTGGTCTATAAATGGAATGTTATCTGTTGGGCAATAAAAGCTATAAATAAATAAATAAATAGCGGCATCTGTGGAGTGAAAAGCTTTTGAATCTACCGGATGTCTCAAATTCGACCCTCATCATTGGGATCTCGGAAACGGTAAGAGGTACTGTTATCTCGCCAAAACTAACTGTCGTTGGATATGTGACCTCAGGGTAAGGTTCTTTGCACCTTGGTGTTCAAAAACTAGGAAATGAAATAACAATGGAGCTAATGAGACACAAACTCATAAGACACACAGACATTTATGGGACAAGAATAAAAAAATCACAGAGAAGTCCTGGAGGACAGGATAAGAAAATTATTTCGTATTATCCCCCTAGCTAAATGGTTACCAATAAAACTAAAATTAAAAGATTATAAAAACCACCCCACCACCCTATAAATCCGCAACTCAGCGTGTGAACTATTTCACCGAATTGGGCAGTGGGCCGCAAAAATCCTCGTATTTACGGTAGACAGAAATTATAAAAATGACGAGATAGAGATACGATGTTCTACCTTAAAATTATTAGATTAAGAGAAGTGGTTTGTTATAAAAATGGAATTCGATGTTTTCAAGAACTGCTATAAAATTATTATTCTAAACAAGAAAAACGCTGTAATAATTCACATTATCAAGATGTAGTTAATTCTTAGTCGACCATGAAAAGAGAGTGTAACACCACGGAGAAGTCCTAGAGGACAGGCTCAGAAAATTATTTCGTATTATTCCCCTAGCTAAATGGTTACCAATAAAACTAAAATAAAAAAAAACTTGGCTATCCCCGAACGGCAATCGAGGGCAGAAAGTCCCAGATGTTACCGTATACCCGAAGGTAGAACCCAAGGTGGAACCAGATGGTAAAACTGGAGGGTAAAGCCCTCTCCAAAAATGAGGACTGAATTTATTTGTAGTGGGATTTTACAATAAATTCCACATTAACATTGTCACCCTTTCTGCTCTACAAGATTTCATAATTAGAATTTATATATGACGTTTTGTCTTTTGTCCTCTAGCAACAACTTTTTTTTCCTTATAGACACCATATTGGAGTTTATAATTTTGAATCCAAAAATGTATAAGATGACATACATTGACATCGCCATCTTAGTTATTGCAGATAGTCATTTGCTTCGTATACCAGATCAGACCTCAAATTGAACATAGCAACAAACTTTGAAAGACAACAAAATAACAGACATGGTTTTGAACATCGACTATAATTTACCTCTGCCTATTTATGATTATTGTTGTTTTATAATCAATAAAATTTTCATTTCGTGTTTAAGTTTCACCATACCATTTTATTTCCTCATAATTTTACCAACAAATTCATGGCCCACAAAGGTAACATATTACTGGATTTAAGACTGAAAACCCCATTTAAATGTACAAAATTCCAACTCAGCGTCCATAGGAAAAGAAACAAAGTTTGTGGAGGAAGTCGACAGAAGAAGAATCGAATTGAACATTCAACTATACCATAGAGAGGAGAGGAGAAAAGGTGACAATGACAACATGTTATTTACTTTGAAATCCCGAGTGAAACCAGGAAAAATAAAATAATGATTTAGCGATAAATCTGGCTTACGAAACAAATGACTATATTATAATGTCAAGGCCTACCTGCAAGATTCTGCTTTTTTTAATAACCAAGGTTGGGCAACGTCAATATATAACGTATTACACATTTTTGGAGTCACGATACATAAGAAAAATAAACTTGTTGCTGGAGGACTAGAGACGAAACGTCATCTTGAAATTGCAATTATGCCACCTTGTAAAGGAAAAAGTGTCAATGTTATTTTGCAATCCAACTACAAATAGGTCAGAAAAAAATTGAAACAATTTTGGAAAAATTCGTTTTTTTCCGTCTCTCTCTCTCTCTGGAAGCAACAAGCAAAAATTGGTGGCTCACTGCAGCTCACAATAAAAGAACAACACATTCCACTAAATCGAATTATATTAAAAAACATTGCCACCTCTTATATGCATGACAAGTCATCTCCTCAAATGACTCGTAGTCTCTCCATTTTATATTTGATTTGGTAAGTTATTATACAGGATGTCCGCAAAGTTGGGGTTGTCCTTTTCAGAAACAACTACCCTTGAAATAACAAAGGTAATGTGTAGTGAAACGAGGGCGACCAAGTACTTACTCTCCAGTTGACGAGAAGGGCTAAGTACGTCTCTGCCCGAAATCATACCGCTCCAACAGAAAATGAAATCAGCTGATGCGCTACCGAGCAGACGCAGACGGTGGTGCAGACCACGAACAGAGGTAACAAATATGACGGCGTTGCCGCGTTTTCAGTTTTTAGGTAAACGTACTTTATAGGTATTGTTCGAAGTTATCGCCGTTTGATTCAAAAACACAGGTGCGTGCACGACGTAGCCAAGCATCGGTGCAGGCTTTGAGAATGGAGTCCCTCCCCCGAATGAAAGCACCAGCTTGTTCAATTCTTAGACGAAGTTCATCAACTGTATGCACTTCAGTTTTGTACACTAAGCGATTCATTTCTCCCCAAAGAAAAAAATCACATGGTGTTAAGTCTGGAGATCGCGGAGGCCACGCTACGGGTCCATTACGTCCGATCCACCTATTCGGAAATAATTCATTCAAAAACTCACGCACTTCGCGTCTAAAATGGGGCGGTGCACCATCGAGCTGAATCGATTTGGGAGAATAAATGGTCCAATGAGCATACCGTTCACCATGCCAGCCCAAACATTCACCGAAAATGTTTGTTGAAAATGTGCCCGACGGACAGCGTGTGGATTTTCTACTGACCAAACATGAGCGATGCGAAAGTTATTCACCCCATTACGCGTGAACATAGACTCACCAATATGCACTTCGAAAAGTCCGGATTATTGTCATGTTGATGCAACAACCACTCACAAAACCGCACTCTTGCTGGAAAATCGTCAGGTTGAAGGGCTTGTACACGTTGGACGTAAAACGGATACAGCCCCTCTTCACGCAGCGTTTGCCACACTTTAGTTTTTGATACTTGCACTTCTCTAGCCACGTCTCTAGTGCTTGTTGAGGGATTCTCGTCTACGCGATTCAGTAGTTCGTCCTCAACTTGCACCATTCGTGGTTGTCTAGGCCTCCCACTGTGCCCACCTCGAAATTCCTCCAAATGGCCCGTATCCCTGACTCTCTGGACCAGGTACACAAATCTGCGGGGCCTTGAATGATGTCGTCTAGGGAAACGATCTGCGAAGCCTCTGTAGCATTTTGAAGACATTCGCCATAAATTAACAACATATCAACGAGTTCATTATTGGTGTATGAGTGTGCCATTATTTTTTTTTTAAACGCAATCGATTATACGGGTTCGTTTACCTCTACACGCGTGACCGTAACCGTCGGTTGAAGGTTGCATACTGACCTGACACACTGACCCCGACCCAGTTCTGTCGTCGGGTTGAGCCAGTGACCTTGTACCACTCGGTGATGTCGCGGGTCGCGGCTACAGGACGGTATTCAGATATTTTTGATGTTGCAGAGCCCTTTATCTCGGTTCCCTTAAGACATTGGTGTATATGGTACTAAGTAAAATTGCTTATGTTTTCAAGATCTACACGTCGTGTAAAGGAAAACCCCAACTTTGCGGACACCCTGTATAGGAGTTTGTTCTGGTGTAATATGTATGAATTTCAGTGCAGGGATGCAGCTAAACGATTAGATGGAGTTCCTTTGACAATTTTGAATATACATTTCATGGTTATTAACTAAACATGTTGGCTTACAGACAACCACTGAAGAGTATTTAACATGCCTTCAATTCTTGAGCATCTGTTGCATTGCAAAATTACACACATTCCCCTATTTGAAGAGTACTGAAAATGGAACTTTATTATTGTATTTTAAACCATAACTGTTGCAAATACTGACAGCTCTTTAAAAATTCTGAAAAACAGAAAGTTCCATTGAAATTTTCTTAATAATAATAACACAAATCTTAGATATTTTATATAGTCAACTATCGGGTTGTCCAATACGGACTTTCACTGTGAACGAACCTTTAAATCAATTACCGAACTGTCAATGTCAAAACATCTAGTAAAGAAAACATTTTCATCATGATGAAGTACATGAACGAACAACGTTTGTATAAATAATTAAAATTTACTACCGAAATTCCGAATCGGTGAATGCAACTTCAAAAGCGTTAACGCCAATTTTTGGTCGTAATTCTCATCCCAATAGACAAGCAATGAATAGTCTAGTAAAAAATTTGAGTCCACATATTCACTGCTGGATGATCCCGTGCCACTGAGACAACGGGTTGGTCGAAGTGCCAAAAATATTGCTGCCGTTCAAGCTTCCGTCGCGAATGAACAGAACACATCGATTCCACGGCGTTCTCATGAATTGGGCATCGCTCATCAGACCACACTAAGTCAAAATTTGGCGAAGCGATCTTGGCCTGCACCCTTATAAGATCAAGTTAACCGAAGAACTAAAGCCTTTCGATCATATGAACCGACGTTAGTTCTCGAATTGCGCTCTAGAAGTATTGCAAGAAAATCACCAGTTTCATCGTAAAATCATCTTTAGTGATGAGGCGCATTTTTGCTAAACGGCTTCGTCAACAAACAGAATATGCGTTATTGGCCAGGTGAAAACCCTCATACGCTTCAAGAAACACCAACCACGTCATCCACAAAAATAACTGTATCGTGTAGTTTTCATGCCGGTGGTGTTATTTTTTTCGTTGATGAAAATGACTGTCACGTTACAGTCAACGGAGATCGCTACAGAGACATGTTGCAAAGTTTTTCTTTTTTTTGGTCAATTGGATGGGCTAGACTTTAATGATATGAGGTTTCAACAAGTCGGTGCCACAAGTCACACAGGAGGTGAAACAATCGACATATTGAAATCAAAATTCGGTGAACGTGTTGTATCGAGAAATCGTCCTGTTGAATGGCCGCCTAGGTCGTGTGATTTAACACCTACAGACGTTTTTTGTGAGGCTACATTAAATCATTGGTCTACGCCAACAGGCAGGCGTCGTTAGAGGAGACCAGAGCCAATTTTGAACGAGAGATAGCGGCCGTTTCTGTCGAAATGTGTGACCGAGTCATTGAAATTGGGTTCAGCGAATCGATCGCTGCGAACGTGCCCGTGGTGGACATGAGGTTGAATTATACAGGGTGTCCCGAAAAAAGTGTGCAATATTCTACCAGCGGTTTCTAGAGCTTAAAATAGGAAGAAAAGTTTATATAAACATAGGTCGACAAACGTCCCCTAAGGGCGCTACAGTCTTTTAAAGGGGCTCCCCTGAAGATGGTTTTTGCTTAATATTTCCGAAACGTGTCAAGATACAGACATAAAATTTGTATTCTAGCCTAGTTTTTTTATGCTGGATAGAAAAATATTAACAATTTTAGACAGTTTTGTTTTGAAGCGTATGTAACAGGGACGGATTCAGGTTATTTTAGCACCAAAATTTTTGTGTGATTCTATTTTTGAAATTCAATTTTAGAACTTGAAAATTTAGGGTTTTCTACATAAAAAAGGTACTCTTATTGAATATCGATAAATTGTGCCATGTTTGAATAAAATCAAACTAAAAAGTTTGTCATATGATAGAAAATGTACTGCGAATTTAAATGAATTGTTGATTATACATAGTTAGTCATGACTGCAAACAAAAGTTGTTTTGATTTGTTATGACTTATTTTGACGTTAAGCTGACATTGTTAGCAGTGTAAAATTACTAGATTAAAATCAAAATTTTTATTAAATCGATTTAAAATGCCAAGGTTTACAGACAGAGAACTGACTGACATGCATTTTGTGTACGGGTTTTGCAATGGCAGTTCATTGGCAGCCGTAAGAGAATATCAAAGAAGGTTTCCCAATCGCATCGTACCTGGACGTCGAATGTTTACTGATATTCACCGGAATTTGTCAAACCATGGAAGTTTTCAGCGCATGCAGGGCTCAGGAAGGCCACTGGGAAATCATCGTATGGATATTGCTTTAAATATGTTTGAAAATAATTATGGATATACCCCGATCAATAGTAAGAAAAACTTATGAATACCTGTTTGATAGTTATCCTGAAAATAATAATTTTAGATAGGAAGAATGACAAGAATGCAAGGATTACATCCTTATCATTTTAAATGGGTGCAGCATGTAACGGAGGCAGATTTTTACCACGAATCGAGTTTTGCCAGTAGATATTAGCAAATATTCCTAGAATATTATGGTCGGACGAGTCAATATTTACTAGGAATGGTGCTTTTAATTTCCATAGCATGCATCACTGGTCAGACGAAAATCCAAAAGCTGTTCGTCGTAAATTTCCAACATAGATTTTCATTAAACTTATGGACAGGAGTAATTGGGGATGAAGTAATTGGGCCCATTGTACTTCCCGATCGTCTTAATTCAGAGGTGTATCTGAAGTTTCTTCAGAATGAGCTCATGGATATAATACCATTGGATGTGCGCCAGCAGTTTCAAGAACATATGTTTTTTCAACATGATGGCACCCCGGTACATTTTGGACGCAATGTTCGAAATCGGTTGAATGTCAATTTTCCAGACAGGTGGTTAGGCCGAGGAGGTCCTATAGCGTGGCCGCCACGTTCACCTGATTTAAATCCATTAGATTTCTATTTTTGGGGATCATTAAAAGACCTAGTTTACTCGAATGAAGTAAATACTCAAGAAGATTTACTTCAAAGAATCCATCAGGCTGCAAATGAAATAAGAAGAAAAAGGTTTTCCACTTTTCGGGCTATGCAATCATTAGTTCGTCGAGCGAGACTCTGTGTCCAACAAAATGTGAATTTATTTGAACACTTATTGTAAAGATAGTTTTAAGTATATCCAACTGTATGTCTTCTTTTTTAAACAAATTTCGATTTCGTTCGTAGAAAAAAATTATTTCTTAAGTTTTTGCCTAAATGTTAGCTATGTTGCAATAGAAATATGTATTTATGTAATATTTACCAATTAATAAATTAGTTTTTTCGTTGCCATGGCTAATTATTGAACAATTCATTTAAATTCACAGTACGTTTCCTATCATGTGATAAATTTTTTAGTTTGATTTTATTCAAAAACAACATATCGATATTCAATAAGAGTATCTTTTTTATGTAGAAAACCCTAAATTTTCATATTCTAATATTGAATCCGTCCCTGTTACATACGCTTCCAAACAAACGTGTCTAAAATTGTTAATATTTTTAAATCCAGCATAAAAAACTAGGCCAGAATACCAAATTTTGTCTTTATCTCAACACGTTTCGGAAATATTAAGGGAAAACCATCTTCAGGGGAGCCCATTTAAAAGACCGTAGCGCCCTTAGGGGACGGTTGTCGACCTATGTTTATATAAACTTTTCTTCCTATTTTAAGCTCTAGAAACCGCTGGTAGAATATTGCACACTTTTTCCGGGACACCCTGTATACATAAATGTTTTGAGTATACTTCAATCCAATAATAAAATTTTTGAGATATCTCAAATGGTTTGCGTTTTCTTTAAAAAGAAAGTTGTTGAAAGCCTTGATGCTTGTATTATATTCCTGTTTTTGTTCTTGATTGATGTGATCATTGCTTTTGAGTTTTTATCATTCAGCATCAATCTGTTTATTTTTAGGTAACGCATTGCGAGCGTATTCAGATAATTCCCCTAAACCATTCCATCTCGCGCCGCGGTTTGTTTTTTCGAAAAGGGAAAATCGCAGCTTTCAGAACACGCTGATATGTATTTTCAGAGACCCTCAAATTCATCGCCCTAATTGTAAAGCTATCTTCATTACCTCCTGGTATGCATTTAACGTCCTGCTCCCCAACGTTGCAGCAATCGTCTTCAATATTTGTGTTCAAAGCAGACAAACTCTGTTCTTTTTCTTCGTATTGATATACCGGATGTTCAAGGTCACATGGTTGATACGATCCTTGTACGAAAAATACTCTACCTAAATTAGTGATGACCACCTACAAATTATAAGTCAGATAAAATTTTATAAACGCTGTCCGTCTGATAGCACTGCTGCCAAAGTTCCAGAATGTCTCGAAATTACAACATTCTTCAGCTCTCCTAGATGATGCTGTTCGTCGTCGCTCTGCTAGACAAACTTTATACAGGGTGATTCAAAAGTCATGACCAAAAATGAAATATCATACACAGTATCGCATCTTAAAGGGGTCTTCTATGTAATATTTTTTTCTTCCAGGGCTTCATCAAAAAGATGTTGAAGTTTAAGAATAAAAATCAATTTTTTTAATATCTGCAAAACCGTCAACTGAAATGAACTAAAATTTGGTAAGCGGATTTACCTAAGTATTGTCCATATTCAAAAGTCTTTACTTAGAATTAACGTGCACCAGTGGCGGTGATACAGGGGATTAGTAGCATTATTTTCCCAAATAAAAAGAGTATGCCACTGTTATTGTCAAAACGCGTAATATTTCGAATGTTACCGTCAATTTGCTACATATAATTACTCTTGGTTTTTTCCTAAAGTGCATTGTATTCGTGAAAATAAAAAAACAAATTAGATAATCAAAGCTTTATTTCAATAAATGTTCAAAGAGACTACCATTCTAACAGATACAAGTGCGGCATCTACTGGTTTTGTAAAAATAAAAAAAAACAAATAAGATAATTAAAGCTTTATTTCAATAAATGCTCAAAAAGACCACCGATCTAACAGATACAAGTGCTTCATCTTTTTAATAAAGGAAAACGTATTTCGTAAAAAGCGATTCATCCGACCACAAAGCCAAATGAATAAAATGTGCATCTTGATTATGCATTTGCAGTAACCATTCACAAAAATTTCGCTGTTGCACTTCGCCGCCAGGTTGCAGACATTGCACATTTTGCCGATGGTAGGGATGTAAAACTTCCCGATTTAAAATTCTCCACGCACGACTTTGAGAACATGGTAACTGGGCTGCAATCCTCCTAGTACTTGTACTAGGATCATCCAACGCCAAATTAATCACTTCCAGTTCCTGTTGATGAGTATGCCGGACACCATGACCTCTAACTCCGGAATGTTTCGCAATTCCATATTGTCGAAGTCTTGGAAATGAACGCGTAAAAACCTTTGGGGTAGGTTGACGTATGTTAGGAAATCTACGTTGATACTCCAGAGAAGCCGCTAAAGCATTTCCATTACACACAAAAATATTATCGGCGTAATCATCATTGCTAAATTCCATTTCACAACATTCAAAACGGGAAAAAAGAAACTTTTGACTTGACTAGTACAAAAAAAATGTTAGTAGTAACGATAACAACCGTATAACACACGACTTTGGCAAACTATCTACCAAGCAACGTCAAGTCGATATCAAGGAATCCTATTTTATTTTAAAACTAATTGTATCTCGGCTCTTCATGAATGATATAATTTGTTTCATTTTTACGGAAACAGTGCACTCTAGAAAAAACACAAGAGCAATTATTTGTAGCAAATTGAAGGTGAAGTTTTAAAAATTGCGCGTTTCGAAAAAAACAATGGCGTACTACTTTTATTTGGAAAAATAATGCGACTAACCCCTGTATCTCCGCCACTGGTGCACGTTAATTTAAAGTAAAGACTTTTGAATGTGGACAATAGTTAGGTAAATCCACATACCAAATTTTAGTTCATTTCACTTGACGGTTTTGCAGATATTAAAAAAATGTTTTTTATTTTTAAACTTAAAATGCCGTCCGGTGTATGATCTTTTATTTTTTATCACGACTTGTGAATCACCCTGTATAGTTCATTTATGGACGAAAGGAACTTCACGCATACTTTACGTGATCGGACCCCAGAACGCCAGCGTTTGGCGAGGCTGCATGCAACGCTGTGTCTTCTCCCACTCCACCTTCCTGTAGTACTCAACTGATTCTGCACAATAACAGTCATGCTTCCCGTTTCTTGAAATAAACAACGTGCTGATTACAAAATGAACACACACTGGTTATGTTTCGGTTTAATGTCTTTCTTGGATAGACAGTAACCTTCTCGGTATGTACATCGAGACCTGGCCTGTGAAGTCGTTCCTTTGTTCTAGAATGTTGAACAACCTCCAGGAGGGACTCATGGGACCAAAGCACGTTATCAACAAAAATGTACCACTAGCAGTACACAGCTAGTGAACTGAGAAAATTAACAACTAAGATCAGAATTTTGAGTCGTGGCCTTCAAAACATCTCTCGTATACGTACCGATAAATTGGCTACCTAGATCATGAGATTTAATTCCTCTAGGCTTTTTTCTGTGAGAAAAAATATATCAGGGCCATTTTTATTAGGAATTATTGGATCATCCACCATACAGCACCGTCTTACCTTCATTTTCTTCCAAAACTTGAGGAATTTCTTGGTGGAAAGGGCTTGGGAAATGATATGTTGAAAGAAATAATTGGTTTAATGGTCAAGAGGCATTGTTCTTTGACAACGGGTTCCAAAAGCTAGTGCAAAAGCTTGACATGTGTTTAGATTCTTATGATAACTGTTTTGAAAAATGAAAAAAATTTTCATATATTAGTTTGTGATACAATTAACGATTATAAACAAAGTTTATCTGACTCCATTACAAAACGGTTCTTATTTAAAACATATTCAAGACAAAATTCGACAAGACAATGTAGTCCTATGTCACATAAAAATAGGATAAGATTCAAGACTTTCAAAATGGACCAACAGCTACAAACCGACAATTCTTGTGACATCCGCCCAGTCATACTAACCCCAGCGTTGACGAAAACTATTCCCTGGACCTTAACAAATGGTGCATTCACCGTCATTTCTTTTAAGTCATCAAGCAAAGCTTTAGTATCACCAATAGCATTCCTTTGGTCTTTTTCTAAAGGTACTAGAATTGTTGGTGGCAGAATACAGTTCTTGTTGGTTCCATGTATTTCGTTATAGTAGTCTTGAGCTGCCTGAATTTCATATACAATCTCGGTGCCATCTGTAATTCAAAAACCAAACTATAGTTGCAATGTTGAAATACGGCACTGTTCTCACCAAAGCAACTCGACTCAAGCCCGATTTCGACTCATTTTGAGGTTTCGAAAAGATCACTAAATGCATACTTACTATTAAGAATGCTGAATGTTAATACATTATTGATATTCTCAATACCTTATCTGAAAGGAAAAGCCTCCAGTAACGTATTTCACAAAGAAAATCCAGTCAGATCAGCATTCAACATAACTGTACCTCAAAGCCAGACTATTTAAGTCCATTGTTGCCTAAAATTAGTTTTAGGAGTATATGTTAAGTTCATGACAATACGAGGGATGTCTTTTATGTTTTGCATATAGAAACATAGTAGGCCGCGCGGATCGAACGTCAGTACTGAATCTTAACCTCACTCTTTAGTAAACTTAAATTCAAAGTTTCATAGGAATACGTGCAGTGTTCTCAGTACAGTGAATTTTTAAGTGTCACAAAGTCACCCAGGAAAACGTCGATGCTGTGCGCAAACTCATCATTGAAGAGACATGTGACATATCGTGAGATTGAGGCGTCCTTGAAGATCTCAAAGACCTCAATTCAAAAAAATTTACATGAAGAATTGAGGGTAAGAAAATCAGTTTCTCGTTGACTGAAGAGCAGAGAGCAGCCAGGGTTAATTGGTGTCAAAAAACGCTTGACCGTTTCGATTCCGGTATCTCAAAAAATGTATACAGCATTGTTAGTTGTAATGAATCGTAGATTTACTGTTATGAACCAGAAAATAAACGACAGTCGGCTGTTTGGGTGTTTCAAGGTGAAGAAAAGCCAACAAAAGTCATCCGTTCTCGAAGTGTTCCGAAAAAGAAGGTCGCGACATTTGTGTCAAAAGCGGGTCATATTGCATCAATTCCTCTTAATGAGCAAAGAACTGTTACTGCGGATTGGTATACCACCATTTTTTGCCAAAAGTCATCACCGAGCTTCGAAAAATCAACCCCGAAAGAAGAATCATCCTCCACCAAGACAATGCAAGCTCGCACACAGCCCAAAGAACAAGGCAGTATTTAACGGAAGAAAACGTGGAATTATTGGACCATCCTCCATATAGTCCCGATCTAAGTCCTAACGATTTCGTTACTTTCCAGAAAATTAAAAACAGACTGCGTGGTCAAAGGTTCCAATCACCAGAAGAAGCAGTGCCAGCAGCAAACGAGTGGAATAAGAGCTTCGAAAATTGGTTCGAGCGCATGCAGATGAATATTAATCTTCGTGGAGAATACTTCGAAAAACAATAAAGTCATTTAAAACTACCTACCGTGTTGTTTTATTTCCATTCGCAAAACTTAAATGAATAAAAAATATGAATTTTCATTTGCAACTCCCAATACATAACAAATACAACAATGAAACATCATACACAGGTCCTCATTTTAAGGGCGGTCCTCTATGTAACATATTTTCCTCAAGAGCTTCATAAAAAAGATACAGGATGTTGAAAAAATAAAAAACCATTTCTTTGATATCTTCAAAACCGTCAAATGGAATGGACTAAAATATTGTATGTGGATTCACCTAAGTATTGTCCACATTCAAAAGTCTTTACTTAAAATTAACGTGCACCAGTGGCGGAGATACATGGGATTAGTGGCACTATTTTTTCAACTAAAAATAGTACGCTAGTGTTTTTTCCGAAACGCGCAATTTTTCGAATTTTATTTTCAATTTTTTACAAATAATTAGTCTTCTGTTTTTTCCTAGAGTGCACTGTTTTCGTAAAAATAAAACAAATTATATCATTAATGATGAGCCGAGATACAATTAGTTCCAAAATAAAATAGGACTTGATACCAACTTGACATTTCTTATGAGATAGTTTGTCAAAGTTGTGTGTTATACGGTTGTTATCGTTTCTACTACAATTTTTTGTTTGTTTGTAAAAGTCAAGTCAAAAGTTTATTTTGTCCATTTTTGAATCTTATAAAATGGAATGTAGCAATGATTTAGTCGATATTATTTTTGTGTACGGATTCTGTAATGAAAATGCTTAAGCGGCTTCTCGGGAGTAACAACGTAGATTTCCTAACAGACACCACCTACTATTACTAATTTGTTTTTTGATTTTTACGAAAACAATGCACTCTAGGGCAAAATACAAGAGTAATTATTTGTAGCAAATGGAACTTAAAATTATAAAAATTGCGCGTTTCGAAAAAAAACAATTATTTTTATTTGGAAAAATAATGCCACTACTCCCCTGTATCTCCACCACTGGTGCACGTTAATTTTGTGTGAAGACTTTTCAATACTTATTTAAATTCACATACCAAATTTTAGTTTATTCCAGTTGACGGTTTTGAAGATATTAAAAAACTGTTTTTCATTTTTAAACTTCAACATCTTTATAATGAAGCCCTCGAGGAAAAAAATGTTACGTAGAAGACCCCTTTAAATGCGGTCCTATGTATGATGTTTCATTTTTGGTCACGACTTGTGAATCACCCTGTATAATATGCAACGCACGATCGGTGGAAAGTAACACCTTGTAGCAAATACATTTCTCGAGTCTGATGATCATACGTATACTGTTAACTTGCTTGTCACACTTCTTGTATCAACTGTAGATCTCGTGGAAGGTTTTCTGAATCTCTTCAAAGAACAAAAACGTGATGGAGAAGTACTTTTTTTGGATATTAAAGATTTGTTGATGCAACCGAAAATTTAGCAGAAGTGTCAGAATTACATCCACAAGTCGAATTCGGACTGAAGTCTAGCTGCTTTGCTGGGAGCAGTGCCTTAAGTTACTACGATACCGATGTTCTATATTTTTTCTTTGACCTGTCTATACGGTGACCTATAGGGTGTTCTTGAAGATAGAACATTCCTTTACACAGTGTTAAATGAGAGAGAGCACAGTAGAAGGCCTATGTAGACAGCACCAAATATTACAAATTGAGAAAAAAGTTACTTGAAATTCTTTAACACTTAACAGTATGTTCCTTCATTTTCATTTTCATTTATCTCAACTTCAAGTACACCCTATATTTTGAGCTAATTCGTCGAGTTCAACCTGGTATTTAAAAAAAAATCGGTGTCTATAAGCTGACGGGATATAAAATCTTACCTAGCCCTCTACTCATAATGCCTAGATTTGGATCTTCCCTCATTTGCGCCATTTCTCCTGCCTGTAATACATCAAATGAAACTGAAATAAAGTATAAAGTACTATCTTAAATCCGCGGCTTGGAAGTAGTGTAAAGTATATGTAGGTCATGCATTTTACATTAGTGTGAAGAACGATTTAATGCAACAATACATTAATATCAAATGTGTAATCAGAATCACAATAAGTGATACATAAAGTACCCTCGCAGCCTGTGTGGCATATCTTAACATATTATCATAACCCAATAACCACTTATTCACAGTATTATGAATGCGAATGTCGAAATCACAAAACAACCTCCTTCAGAACGAAAGGCCAGTGTAAATAAATACTAGTTTAAAAAACTAAAAAAACAAGCTTTTACAACAAACCGATCTAAGAAGTAGAAAATAATTTTTAATTACAAAGAGTTTATATTACAGAGGTAGATGGTCGAACAATCAATCATAGTTAATGACCTAAAAATAAAATTATAATAAAATTTAAGTTATTAATAGAATGATTCAATTCAGAGTAAAAATAGTGGGATGCATTTTAATACGTTTCCATAACTCTCTGTCATAGATAGTTGCCAATAGAATGATTGTAAAATTTAATATATCAAGCACCCCACGCTTTTTACTCTGAATTGAATTATTCTGTTAATAACATTAATTTTATTATAATTTTATTTTGAGGTCCTTAATTATGATTTATTGTTCGACCATCTACCTCTGTAATATAAACTCTTTGTAATTAAGAATTATTTTCTACTTTTTAGTTCAGTTGGCTATAAAAGCGTGATTTGTTTAGCCTTTTTAAACTATTATTTATTATTCATTTTTTAGTTCGATTTACCAATTAGTTTTTTGTGGGCATGAGAAAGTATCTGCCTGCGTTGTGCTATACCGAGTGCCCGAACCAACAAAGAGTAAAAGAATTTATCAATCCTGGCGGTCCCAATAAGGATAATGGAAAATTGTTGTCAAATCATTGTATTGTCATGGGTGCTTGATACGTGTGCGAAGTTTCAAGTTAATCAAACATCTGGAAATTGGTGAAAATTATGCTCAAAGATTCCGGTATATACATACATACATACAGGCCAAGCTAATAAAAGCGTGTTAAAGAAATTAAAAAAAAGCATACCACAATCTGTTCTTTCTTGAAAAAATATCGAGTTGAACCATATGGAGACTGATGAAGAAGGGACTGAGGCTGGTGGAAATGCAAATGAGGTGAATGTATCACAAGAGGAAAAGGGATTTTTCTAATAGACATTTTAAAGATAAAAGACTATACTATTTCGATACAAGAAAAACTGATAAAAGAACTATATGAAAAAATAGATAAACTATGTAAAAAACTGATACTTTACAAGATACAGCTGCAAATAACAGTAAATCTTATGCAGACATGGTTAAAAGTTCTACACTTGAAAATACCAACATTACTTCGTCATCACCAAAGAAAAAAAAACGGTAAAATATACTAAAAATATAAACACAACAGCAAAACCAGAAAATGCAATTGTTATTAAACCTAATAATACAAATCAAAGTTGTATGCAAACAAAGAAGGAATTAAGCAAGTATACAAATGCAACAAAAATGAATTTGTATATTAAAAAAGTAAATGAGCTGAAAGATGGAGCACTGAAAATTGAATGCAAGCATATCGATGATATCAAAAAGTTAAAATTGGACATAGAAAAAAGTGTTGGACAAAATTATAAAGTAAATGTAGGCCACAAAGAATTACCAATGATTAAAGTCGTGAGTTTCAGTGAAGACTTAAACAATGAAGAATTGGTTAGAGACTTAAAAATGAGAAACAACGTGATAAATAGTGATGCTTCGATTAAAGTAGTGACAATCAGAAAAATGAAATTTCGGTATATGGCAATTTTGGAATTGGATAAATCGAAATTTTGAGCAGTAATGAAAGCAGGAGTTTTGTTTGTATCCATGGATGTTTGTACAATTTTTCAGCATTACTATCTTCTGAAGTGTTTTAACTGTGGCGGATTTCACCACACAGCCAAGAATTGCACCAAGACCAGTATCTGTTTAAAATGTGGTAATAGTGATCATCAGGCCCAGAACTGTACTATATCAAAATATGAAATAACATGTCCAAATTGCAGAGAATCAAATTTGTTGTACAACACAAATTTCAATATAAATCACCCATCTTTCCACTATACCTGCAACGCGGTTCAGATCGAATATGAAAAATCAAAAAATTAAGTTTCTTATGGTGACAAATAGCAATTACAGGTCAAAAGATATTCTAACAATGTATACCATATAAATATTCAAGGATTTTTATCGCACAGGGATGAAGTTATAAATTTTTTAACATTAGTGAAACCATTAGTTCTTTGCTTGACTGAAACACATATTACAGAAGATATTGAAGATATGGAGATTGATATTCATCATTATGATGCTGTAAGAGTAAACACTGTTTCGAAACATACAGGTGGCATACTAATATACAAACTGAGCATGATTGAAATAAAAACACATAATACTGTAGTTGTTGATTATCAATGGTGGTATATTAATTTTGAAATCAAGATGAGACAAAAATACAATGTACACGTTCACTACAGACCTTCAAGCTGTAATATTATCCAACTTTTGGACTTTTTTGAGAGTGTTTGTGAAAAACAGTATTATCGAAATTGCTCCACTGTGCACTTGGGAGACTTCAATACAGATTTTGATAATCAAGATTTTTATGTAAAAAAATTTAAACAGGTACTGAACTTTCATGGTCTATGGCAAAAAGTTAATGACTACACAAAGATTACAAACTTTTCACGAACTATGATCGATTTAATAATAACCAATGAACAGAATTTGAGTATTAAGGTTTTACATACTCCAAAAATATGCGACCATTCGTGGATATGTTTCCAGGTGGAACATATGTTTAATGAGAGAGAATCAAAAGAAATCACAATTATTGACTTTGAAACGTTACGAGAGTCAGTCTTACAAGCCAATATCACTAAAATGTTTAATGATGCTGACACTTCTCAAAAATTATGGATTGTATGGAGAACTGCATGAGAGATGCACAAATTAGGAAAGTGGTATATCAAAGGAAAAAGCCAACACTCTGGTTTTCGCAAATAATTCTAGACTCTAAATTGACGCGTGATGATGACTATAAAAAGTTTATGATCACTCAAACTGAGGAAGATTGGATACAATATAAGAAATCAAGAAACAAGTGTTTAACAAATCATAGGAACGAAAAGAAAAAATATTACGAAAACAAAATCGATAGCAATAAAAATAACAGTAAAATGATGTGGATGACACTAAAAAATCTTGTATCTCCCAGTAGGAAGAATGAATTATCAAGAATGTGCTCCGAAGATGGTACAGTAACACAAAAAATATTGATTGCAGAACGAATGAACGCTTATTTTATAGAAGGTGTAAATGAGATAGTGGAATCAATCGAAGATGTCACATGCAAGTTACTTATAAGTCTTCTATGAGACAATTCCAAACAATAAATATCAGCCATCTGTCAAAAACTATTACAAGATTGAAATCGAATAGAAATCCTAGTGAACATCTTTCAAAAATGATTATGAAGGAATGTTTCGACATTATTGGAGAGAAGTTATTATTGTTAGTGAATCACTGTTTAGTGTATGGCGAATTTCCTTCAAAATTAAAATTTTCTACAATTACTCCTATTCCAAATTCTGTGTTATATACAAACATGCGGCCAATTAATGTACTGCCAGATGTCGAGAAGCTCTTAGGAGGAATCATATATGAACAAGTCAATGGATATATTGAAGAAAATAAGATAATGACAAAATTTCAAGCAGGATTCAGAAAAAAGTATTCTACTGAAACAGAAATTCAAATGGTAGTAGAAGAATGGAAGCGAAATATGGATGAAAAAAGTTTACAGTAACACTGTTCTTAGATTTCAAGAGAGCATTTGAGACTATGGACAGGGAGAAATTGTTAACGAAATTGCATTGCTATGGATTTCAAGGTTCAGTATTCAACTTATTACAAAATTATTTAATCAATAGAAGTCAAAGAACTGAAATTGGCAATACATTAACAAACATTAAAAACATTTCGGTAGGTGTATTTGATACATTAATATATACATATATAACTTGAGACGTGGTCATTGTCGTCTAGACCAGTTAAGTGAAAAATTAAAGCTTCCGCCTTTTGTTGGGTACTTCGACAAAATTTAAGCAAAGAGGACTCTTTATACTTTTTTAATTCTCTCTAGCTTTCAATTGACTTTGCCATCATCATCAGGAGCTGCAAGTACAATGATAACAGTAGCAACAATAGTGAACAAATGAATTTAAATTGACTTAACTTACAGTAGTATGTGAGGATGTTGCTAATTGTTGTTTACGTATAGGATGAGGGAAACGTCCAGTAACCATTGTACCATCTATCCAGCTTTCACCATGTTACTGGACGTTTCCCTCATCCTATACGTAAACAACAATTAGCAACATCCTCACATACCACTGTAAGTTAAGTCAATTTAAATTCATTTTACACTATTGTTGCTACTGTTATCATTGTTATTGCAGCTCCTAATGATGATGGGAAAGTCCATTGAAAGCTAGAGAGAATTAAAAAAAGTATAAAGAGTACCCAACAAAAGGCGGAAGCTTTAATTTTTCACCTAACTGGTTTAGACGACAATGACCACGTCTCAAGTTATATATATATATATATATATATATCAAATAAAGACATCGAAACTGCAATAGAGCTGTTAAATAATGATATGAAAAACTTAATAAATTGGTTAAATGTAAATAAACTCAACCTAAACACAAACAAAATATATGCTAATAGGAAAATCTTTAGATCAAAATACGATAAATCTTATAATTAATCATGAAAAAATTGTATCAATCGAATCATTTAAATATTTGGCCATATACGTAGACAGTAAGTTAAAATTTGAAGGGCACTATAAATATATTATTTCAGAAATATCCAAGAAAATAAATTACCTTTATAGAATTTCGCATACCCTAGGCGTTTATTCTAAAAAAAATGTGTACAACACTATCATTCTTCCTCATTTGTTATATTGTTCAACTATGTTGTTCACTGCAAATGAAACTGTATTTTTAAAATTACAAATAGTACAAAATAAAGCTATGAGAATCATCTTAAATAAAAATACTAGGATAAATTTTATGCTGAAAGAACTACAATGGTTAAATATCAAAAATTTCATAGCCTACTCGGTTTTCATTTTCATATTCAAGTTAAAAAATCATCTTCTACCAAATCACTTAAAAATTTTACTGTATTGACCAATGAGTGCCACAATTATTCTACTAGATGAAGTATAGACTTTCATTTACAAAACTGCAGTAGCAATATAACGAGCAAGTCAGTATTTCAAAAAGGATTGTACGAACTTCATAAATTAAGTAATGATATCAAGATGTGAGTCAGTTTGAAGATGTTCGAAGGGAAATTGAAAAAATATCTCATGGAAGACCAGAATTCATTGTAGTGAAATTTTGAATATAATGTATTTTGTGATATAATGTGTAATATGGATATTATGGACATTAATGCTAAATAAATCTGAAACAAACAAACAAATCTGCCTCTTGTGAGAATTGAACTCACAACCCCTAGTTTACAAGACCAATGCTCTGCCAGTGAGCTACAGTGGCTTGCAGTTTCACTATTCGTAAAGAGGCATTTGAAATCCGTGATTTTTGATGAACATATCTGCTTTTTACAGAATTTTACATATAGGGATCATGGAAAACTATCATCAAATTATTGCATTGTCATCGGTCCTTGAAACGTGTACGAAGTTTCAAATTAATCAAACTTCTGGAAATTGGTGAAGATTAAGCTCAAATATTTCGTTACATACATTCAGGCCAAGCTTGTTACTCAGTCAGTTATGTTTCTGTCACATCTGCTCAGATATATACTCTACATACTATCTCGGCATTCTGCAACCAACAAAGCTTGCTGGGATACTGACTTGCAGGATGATCATGAAGCGTGTCATTGAGTGATTCCCTCATAGATGACACTTTTGGTGACGCTCAAAAATGGCAACTGTTGGTACACTAGTCAGTAAGTTGTCATTTTATCCTTTTTTTTGACATTATTATATAGTTTTTTACGTAATAACCCTGCCGTTCAACAGTGGCGTGATTGAGTCACACACCTTCACACTTTGTCATTTGTGGTATTAATAGAGATCATTAAAAGAACTGGAGGATTTTTTCATTATCAAACTTCAGATAGTAGAGATACTCACCAGATCTTCGAGGTAACTAAAATACGGACTTTCAGGATGTTGAATTTGACTGTTGATATACTCTCCAGTATGAGCTGGTGGCTCTGGTTTGAACGTGTACGGCACCAAATATGGAGACTTATATTTCGCCTTTTTCACTTCTTGTGGCTCCTCTTGAACTACCTGTGAATGTTTTTTTAAGTAGTTTCGTCTTTATCATGAGGCTAATATAATACCTTAGGTTTCCTTGGTGGAGAAGGAATTCTAACATGCAACTCTCTCAATGTGAAGGTCATAGTTAAATGGACAACAGCTGATAGAATCAGTCTATCATTGACGGAGTATTGTTTTCTCTTTGGATTGCTTAATTGATAAAGGGTTAGCAGGAACTCTACGGGATCGCCGCAGCAAATTTGCAAAGCTCTCTCTAGTTTTTGTTGATTTGGACGTAACACCAAACCTGTGATAATATGTTATTCATTGACTCTGTCAGACCAAAGTCATTTAAAAAAAACTAATATTTACATAGTAGGCCTTAAGCGTGCTCAGAGAACATTGAATTTGCTGATTTACGGACTATAGTAAGAGTTATTTTAGCTCGATGGAGGCGCTCTAATCTGCAACATCGTTCAAGCTAAGTTTTTAATATTTTTAATACTACCTTCAAATGATTTGAAGTTTTAGCATTATATTGTTCTCTATTCGATGTTTTAAGACCAGCTATAGAGATATTAGTTTTTTAGACATTTGTAGTTTCACAATATCAATCCATGTCATCATTTGTACAATATCACATCACTAAGGTCGATCATAAGGACTGTTCACCTATGCGTAGTTCATAAAAACTGAGGGAATGCTTGACAATAAGTGTTCAAAATGTTGCACGTTATTGGCCAAACAATGTTATAGGAGATGTTGAAATTCCTGACGGACATTTTCAAAAACATGTTATTTGATATCATGGCTGCTTTCGATGATGTGTTGACAAAGTTTATCCAAACTTTCAGGTTGGGGAGTAAAGACAATAGATTTCCAATGGCCCCACAGAAGAAACTCAAATGGCGTCAAATCAGGAGATCTAGCAGGCCATTCTATAGACCCTCTTCGCCCTATCTATTTATCTGGAAAACTCGTCGTCTAGCCATTGCCGAACCGGAAGAACATAGTGAGGAGGAATGCCGCCTTGTTGGAAATATATTTCAGCCTTATCAAGTATAGGGTTTCCATCCTCTTCGATTTGGTTTTCAATTATTTCAGTGATAGGTGGATTGATGGTACTTTCCAACATATCCAAATAAATGTCTTCATTCAAATTTCCATTAATAAACAATGGACCAATCACTTTGTTTCCTAAAATGCCTGTCATACATTAATTTTTTGAGGGTACTGGGTATGCCCTTCTACAAAAGCATGAGTATTTTCATTACTGCAATACCTGCAGTTATGCTTATTAACAAATCCATATAGATAAAATGTGCATTCATCACTGAAGTAGACATTCTTGGTATTATCGTTAATCGCTACAGTCATTTGTTTCACAAAGCTCAACTCGCATATCGAAATCATCTTCGTTTAACTCTTGCAATATTTTCATTTTGAATGGATGAAATTTATAGAGTAAAAAATGTGTGCACAGAGCCTAATAAAATACCAGTCGCAACAACAATTTTGCGTAATAAAGTACTAGGATTTATTCCAAAATGACCCAAAACTTCAACTGAGCGGCTTCATCCAAAACCCTCCGATGATCACGTTTTTTATTTGCAACACATCCAGCTTGAGTAAATTCAGTAACAAGGTCTAAAACATACCTATGCGATGTTGTTTTCTCAGGATGTCTGGCGTTAAACGTGCTTGGCAGTTTGCTGAGCACATTGATATTGGGCACCATAAATTAGAAAAATTGTCACAAAGATAACTGACAGCAAATTAAATTCTTTTTTTCCCTAAGCAACAAATAACTAAACAGTTACAACAATGAATACTGCTCGTCCAGGATATACAGGGTGACTTTGAAGTTGAGTCATTAATTTTCAGATAATGATTGTAGAAGGAAGATAAACCAAAATATGTGTGTAAAAATTAAAAAAAAAATAAAAAAAATGTTACCTTGTTTTATAAAATATCCTCCCGACAAGTATTTCAGTGCGGACCTGTATTTGATCGTGCGGTCTTGGAGCACATACCCTCCCGTGTGAGGACTTAAGTCACCTGATTCACGAGCCCTTTGTACTACATTAACAAAGGCACTAGGGGTTGGTTGCACTCGATTGGGAAACCGATCCGCATAAATCCGTGTTGCCGTAGCAGCATTTTGTAAAATAAGAATCATGTCCACAAGTTCAGCATTTTCGTAAACATGTGCCATTTTTTATTTCGTTTGAGCCACGCAGAAACACCACTCACGCGTTATCGAATGAATACAACTGAATAAAATAAATGAATAAAACATCGTGATAAGCGTTTCAAATTCTTTCGCTTTTTTGTTTCCGATTATATCCGTTGTTGCCAAACACGAGCACATATTATTGAGACAGGGCGGTACTCAAACTTCTAAAGGGCTATAACTTTGTTACTTTAATTTTACCACAAAAATGTTAAAGGAAAAAAACATTTCTTTTGATCAGATCTACTCACTGTTAAAATAAATGACTCAACTTCGAAGTCACCCTGTATGTGTTTATGAAAAGAACGCAGAAAAAAATTCGGGTTGTTATTTGGTTGTTGCCACGTCTAATCTTCCGAATCTGGCAAACCCTAACGGGCAACACTTTGAACACTTATTGAAATAAAAAGCGATATCTTCGTATGTTTTTGTTTTCTATCTGAACAAATTAAGATAAATAAGGTTTTTCTATTTTTTTTTTAAACGAATCGACTGATTTTAAAACATTAAACTTCAAAATAAAGAACTTCGAAAGACCTTTCAAATAAGCTATTACTTGATACTCCTTGTCATTTAAAATTTTTTAAGGAAACATCCTGGGTGGCCCAGGGAGAAAGGGGCTGAAGTAGTTTTTGGTTAAAAAGTTGGCCCCCTTGATAAATCTTTTGACGTGTCTCGGCGTTTTTCTTTTAGTCAGTGTTTTTCGATGAATCCGTGGTGGGAAGTTTTCAAATGATCACCCTGTATATAACATATTGTCGGAATCAAAATCAAAAACTATATCCGCCCGTGTAACAATCTAATATGACGTCCATAAGAACAAATAAATTTGATGACTGAAGCCAAGAGACAAAACGTCGTAATAATATTCTGATTATGGGATCTTGGAGAGGAGAAAAAGTAATAATGTTGGGCTTACTATGTTAAAATCTTATCGCAATTAATGTTAGAAAAAAATAAAAACGATCTTAAAAAAATCAGTTTTTGCCGTCTCTCTCCGGAAATACTGAAAACTGCGAAACTTTTTGGGTGCCAATTTTTTCAAATGCGCAACCTTGTCCCCATTTAAGTGACTTGGTATCTCTTACCCTCTACGAGATTCTAATGGTGAAAGTCGAATTTAAATTTATATAAGATATACATATAAGAACAATATCTAAAAATTCCAACTAGGTGTTCAGTGATCTTTTAGTATGGACTCAAATCTTAGAAATGGATGTTACCAACCTAAGGCAGCCATATTTTCTTTAGTATTGATGTAGCCCTTGCTTACATAATCTTGCAATATGCATCGCTCTAGATGATCAACGGTTTCAAGTTGCTTTGGGGAAAGTTCTTGATACCAATCTGGTCCAACCATACCTAATACTGTATTGTGGAGGCAGTTACCTAAAAGAAATTTACAATACAATATCCCCAGACAACTAGTTTTCTCATGTAACATTTTCGAACAACATTAAGCTTGATACAAGCGAAATAGTTGAAGCAAATGTTATGAAATGAAGCAATGAACCATTAGGAAAATTATAATCAAATTTAGGTCTGCCAGGAAATAAATAAATTCGTATAAGAAATATTCAAATTATTTGCACATACTATCTTTTAGTAACGATTATCCCCTTCGCTGGTTTTGTAATTAATCAATAATTTAACATATTGCGAGAGTAGTCAGACAGATATTTTAGGCACGTATATCTGTACATTATTGTATTATTTTCATTCAACCAAAACTTTTTAATTATATGTTAGTGCAAGTAGGGCCTTCACTCGCTCCATCATAAAGACGGCCCTGGATTTCCCGTAATGCTCCTCAAAGTTTTTGAAAACACAAAAAAAAACGGGAAAAATAAAATTGATGACATAATAAATGAAGCCAAAAGTATTTGCACTGAACCCCAAGGCAACAAAAGGAGACGACGTAATAATAGCAGTCACGATCACCGAGATGCCGCATTAGAAATGCGACAATATAGTGAATTCTGCAAATGACAGATTTCAATTCAAAGATCATTTGGTAGCCGCATCCCTTTTTTCCCCGAACACTTGGGAGAATACTATGGTAAGTTTCCTGATGACAAGTTGGAAACTACCTGCTTGGCTTATCCCGAATTAGAAAAAAGTCGTTTAAAGACAGAGTTGTATAGTCAACGCCAAACAAAGTGGCGTGCACGTCATCAAGGTGGGTGTGTTGAAAAATTTACATTGTTGCCAAACTTTTTGTAAAATAATAAAATTTATTATTTACATATCTAGGTTTATAAGCAATATTAACCTCAAATGAGAACAAAAATAATAGTATAATAAAATTATAGATCTGTACTTGCATAATCATTAAGTATGACAATTATTGATCAGATGACACTATGAAACTACCATATTTAATTGATAGCTTAAAGGTACTGAATAAAAATCCAAATGGGGTCCTCCAAATTTTATGCATGGTATTTATTTTACAGAATTCATACAGAAAAATGCATTCTAAAATTAGGTAAGCTACTGGTGTAAGCTTTTTCTGTACAATAAAGTTAGTCGGAGTTTCTTTCTTCAGCGCTGTCTGAATCTGAATCTTCATCACTCTCAAAGTTTATTATTAAAGGTTCGATGTCTGGTCGATCAAAAATTCATTCTCTTTCATACCATTTAAAAATTTCTTGCTCAGTATGTCGAACACTATTTTTCCACATGTCTGGGGTAACCGTTTGTAGAGCCTCGTTCCACATATCCAAACAGTCTTTTTCACTGTTACCATCTCTACCAATATGTCTGTTATAGTAACCTTTTGCTATGCCCCAAATTAACTCAATAGGGTTAAATATACAATGGTAAGGAGGCAGACGAAGAACTTTGTGCCCATGTTGTTCCGCCAATTCATCAATCACGTATATTTTAGGTGGTTTGTTTCTAAAAAAGCAGTTATTTTAAGAATAGGAATAAACAAAAGAAATATAAACTGTCGACCAAAATATATATAATTAAGAAGCATTATGTACCGAGCAACAATACTCAATAGCTCTGTTTTAAACATTGTGTTTAAAAATGGTATGTTTTGATTTGTCAACCAGTCTTGGATATTTTTTTTTGTTCATGCATGCATGCATTGTTGGGCACTTTGTTCAATATCATGCTGTGATAAGGGGCCTTATCCAGTATAATCATAGATGGACTCTCCAATTTTTCTAATAACTGATGTTGAAACCATTTCAAAAAATTGTCCTGGTTCATCTCTCCATGGTAATCGCTCAATTTTGTTTTCGAAGAAAATATCGCTTCACTACCCTCAATAAACTCATTTTCATTTCCAGCATGTAATATAATGTATCTAAAATATATTAGTTTTAAATTTTATAGTGCAAATTGTGTAAAAGTAGATACCTTTTACCATCTGTTTTAATAGCTTTCACGCTTTTTTGGTTTCCATTTTGCCAAGAGCGACCTATGGTCCCATTTTGAAATATCCAAGTTTCATCGAGGAAGACAAACTGGTATAAGGCCTCAACCTTGGCTTGATTGTATTGCCTTAGAAATTCCACCCTTTTCAAAGCTATACTTGGTAGTTCCATGAGCCCTCGTCGCGGATTGTCCTTAAGCCACTTAAATCCAAGATCTCTAAGCAACCGCCTTAAAGACGTGGCACTACCATCAAATAATGCCCTATCTCTTAATCGAGACCATAAAGTTTGTATCGTAACTTGTTCTTCTGAAACCATGTGTAATATGACATTATAATTTAGTTAACAAATTAATGCAAATTTCTCATAAGTTATTATAATAAGATCTTACTTTTGTGATACATATTATAGATCACTTCTCGAATGGCACTTGTATCCAATGTCGCTGTGTTGGTTACACGTTTAATATAACTCCGCTTTTTCTTGGGCGATTCTAAATTTGCATCACTTTTCACACCCTCGGAAATACGACTAACTGTCCTTAAACTAATTTTTAAAGCAGCAGCAACACGCTACAAAAAATGAAATAAAATTTCACTATTATTAATATACATTACATATAATTATTAGTAACCTACCTCTTGAACAGCATTTAAAGGCAACAAAGGCCCGTTGTTGTCCCTTTCTTGCTCAAAGTAGTGCATTAACGAGGCCGCGAGTTCCTTACACCGACTATTTAACTGTTTGGGCATCTTTATATACCAGAATCGCCTTTATCTACTCGTAAAATGAATAATTTTGTTTTGAAACAAACAGTTGTTGATTTACAGTATGCGGGGCCAAAGGATTTATAAAGATTTGAAATGCCACAAATTGATTCAGTGTCAAAATTAATACAAATGTCAGTTCCCAGTTTAAATAAGTTTCAAGGTGACAATGTGTCAACGCTACGAAATCGGTTTAGTGCGTTTACATGTCGATAAGTGATTGGAGCGTTTGCAAAACATTTTATTTCGCATAATGCGTCTAAATTTATCAGAAAGCAACTTATGTGATATTTTAATAACAATGTTTATATGACTATTAACCATAATAAGAGAGTAATGACCATTTTACAATTTATATATCACATTAATATGAAACTGCAATAGAGCAATTGTTTGTGATAGAAACCTAGGCATTAGGTCGGGGAATTTTTATCGTGATGACGTGCACGCCACTTTGTTTGGCGTTGACTATATGTTATTTATGCACGGAATGATTGCCCAGATTCACACAGAACTCTATCTCTTTTGAAATTTTTGATACAAAATAGTTTGGAGGAAACACTAAAAGAAACAAAAAACCTATTAGAAATTATTGTTACAACTCCTATGTCAACATCAGAGGCGGAGCGAAATTTCTCAACATTGAAAAGAATCAAGACCTTTCTTCGAAATACTATGACTCAGGTTCGCCTTGCAGCGTCGTCGATGCTGTCCATTGAAAAGGAATTTATTTCGACCATGGAAAATTTCAACGGATCGACAAATTTGCTGCCAAGAAGCAGCACAGGATCGAACTGACATATAAAAAATAAGTAAGTTCGGATTTGCAGAACACCTGTTTTAGTTTGCCATGAGCCGCCACTGCTTGAGGCTATGTAGCATAGCAAACTATCTTTTATTTACAAAGGACTATATAAATCGCCTCAAAGTACACGCCTTGCTTTTTCAAATGCAGTTGAATATATTTTGGTTTTCGCTAAAATATGGTACTTTCTCCGAATTTCAATATATTCAAAACTTTACTCATTTTGATCGTGTTCACTTAAAGTTGTGGTATGGATTATATTACCCTCTCCTGACTCATGCGCAAATTCCGTGCGACGCCGCGAACTACCCGCGACCCATGAGTGTGGATCCCATTTGCGGCTTCACGTCGCGTTCGCGCGTTGTTCCCGTTTGTTGTCGGGCGCGAACGTGACTAGGCTCCTCATTCGCTGGTGTTTCAATTGCGAGTTCCGGGAATGGTTGTGATTTTTTTTTTCACTTGTTTTACTTTTACTTATATATGCGTAATTATAAATCGCCAAAGCGCAAAGCAGCCCTGCAGCAGCAGTAGCAAATTTCACCATCCATACTCGTCAAGAGCGCGAACTATACTGTGAAGCAAGCGCGAACATCTGCGAGTGTTCAACTGTAGGAACAAATTTCGGAATTCGCACCGCGATCCGCGCCGCTGTTTCACGCCGTGATTCGCGCGTGAGTCTGAAGAGGATATAATACACCAAAAATTAAACAACAACTTAATGTATTTTTATAAAATAAGACCTGCATCAAAAACACCGACAACACCTAAACTAAATCAATCAAATATCTAAAAGTTACCCAAAGCACAAGCCAATAACCCCCTACCCTATCAAGGCTAAGTTCAACGCTCTTAGTTCCATCTGACAAAATCTGAACCGGTCCATATAAGAAATATGAAAATTTCGAAGTACCATATCTCATGCGAAAGAAAAAGGTAATTGAGTAAAACTCAAAGGCACATGAAAGGACTTGTACTTTGAGACGTCTTTTATTTTAAAATCACCATTCTGCATTACCTCAAATATGGGCAAAAATCGCTATTTTTGCACTTTTAGGCTTGTCTCGGAAACAAGAGCTAATTGAGAACTTTTGATCAAGGATCAGGGATCAAAAGCTAAGTATCATTGTGTAATGTCAAGGGTGAAGGATCATTGTTGAAACAGATGCTCAATGCTCGCTACCGGACTTTTACTATTTTTATTATTTCAATTAATGTTAGCATGAAACCTCTCATCTCGTCAGCGATCTTCCTCTTCTTCCTGAACTGCTTGAACTCCTGCTTGCCTCTCCGTTGTGAAGATTCTCTTTCTTCCAGCCATATTTCATCCACAGTCTTGCTAATAGGTGGCACGCCAGTATATGATTTGCGTTTTTTTCTCTTTTGGAAAAACTTTCAGGGGCGGGAACGTAATCTGCGTGAGTTTCGGTTACGTTGATGTTCGTCTCACCGACGTTCCATTTTACATAAGTCTAGACAAAAAGAATCGTTAGGTAAAAAAATAAGTCGTACAGAACAAAAAATGGCGTCAAGTGGGTTTACCCTGCACTTCCCACGCAACCCCGTCATCAGTTTATAAGGGATTAAGCTAAGCGCAATTTAAATCCTATGAGGAAATATTGAGTTACCGACATGTAGAAAAGAAAAATTAAACGTATTAGGTCAGTCAAGCAGGCCCATATAATTAGTCCATATACATTATTTCCCTGTCCTACTGGTAGTTACCGGCCATGTGGCAACGTTGTCCCTATTCATATCTGCTCGACATCTTTGCAGCGAGTTATCTTTCGGTTCGTCAAGCGCCGTATATTTTTTAGGCTTGAGTAAGGCTGCATATATACGCCGGACTGGTTCGCCAGGCGGTTCGTTGCCTTGCTGATGATTTTAGGCGAGTATTGTTATTTCAGCATATTTGGAATCCGTTTGTTCATGCAGCAGATCATGTCTAGGTGCAATTGGCGAAGATGATCCATCCAAAATATACTCAATGACATTAGAAGTGTAACGCCCAGAAAAAAATATTTCTTCAATTTCATTTTTTGGCAATGAGGTGGTCTTACATCAAGAATAAAACGATAAGACTCTCACGAAGTTTTATTGACAATTAATAAGAAAGAAAAAGAATTATGTGTTGGGCGACCCGGCAGCTGAATACACTCATGTATACGTCTAGGCATCGACAAAATCAGATGATCGATGTCTGCCATTGAAGCCTACTTGTTGAAGAAAGTCCGTAGTACGACGAGCAATATGGGGACGTGCGTTTTCTTGCTGAAAAAGGACGTATGGACGGTCTTCTAGTTACGGCAGTAAAATGATTTGTAGAACACCATCAACATAACACGCAGCAATCATATTGCCTTGAACAAAGAGAAGGCGTGATCGGCTACCAAAGGCAGTCGCCCATTACTCCAACAGTCGTGTGTACATGCCTCTCAACAGCAAATCCAGTATAATAATAATAATAATCCGGCTTTATTTATACAAAGTATAAAAAGGCGAAGTGTCGCTAAAAAGCGTTTTTCAACTCAACGCCGTTTTCCACGGCGGCGGCTTATGCTTCTACGACCATCGTGCGTACCTAGACAGAATCGCGATTCGTCGCTGAAGATATGACATCATGCCATTCTGTTTCCGAATGTTGCCCAACTCTGCTCCAGTTCAAACAATGACGACAGTAGTCCGCAGTCAGAGGAACCACTAACCGTGGACGGTATGAAAAAAGTCCAAGGGCTCGAATACGGCGATAGAACGCATAGTAACAGGTATACCTTCTTCCTCAAACCATCGGTCAGCGGTCTCGTAGGACTAGTTGTCTGAAGCGCGTATCTTGGCGCTCTGTGGTACGTTTCGGTGGACCAGTTGGCCTTCTTCGTGTTCTGTCTTCTTCTTGTTCTTCTTGCTTCTTCTATCCACACGCAATACCGTCAATTTAACACGGCGGCCAACTTCGCGATAGGACAAACCAACATATCTATAGGCAATAATTTTAAACCTGTCAAAGTCGCCAACATGGTGATAATTTGGACGTCTTTGGACTCGAGGCATTTTGTTATGCTTAACACTAGTAAATGAAAGGGCAATAACTAAAAATATCGGTACGACTAAGCTCTCAGAAATTGCTTTCTTCACAAAAGAGATAACATTTTAACAAGTAAGGTAAACAAAAACAAAGATAAAACGTTAACATTGTTGCCATGGCATGATTTAAATACAGTCATTATGTTTCCAAAAAAACAAGTTGAATAAATTATTTTTTCAGGGTGTAGCACTTCTATGTTACTGAGTATACAGGGTGTAAAGTAAGTAGTGAATCAAAGGAAGTAAGGTGATGGAGGGCCTCAAAACTTATCGAATGAAGCGCTAAATGTGTTACAACTAAACCATTAGATTTAGGGCTGTGATTTTTTCTTAGATGCACTAAATGATTAGTTTTAGCAATGGTTATGTAACTTTCTAACAGAGCTTATTAGAAATCAACGCAAAAATTCTTAAATTAATTTTTTTGCTTAAAAATCTCTTCCATCCCTCAACTTATGAGGCTAAAACAAATCGAGGTTGTATTTCATTGTTCATTTTATTGTAAAAACTATTTCAATCCATGTAGAATAAATCCTGGATATTTCAGATTGCTACGATAAGTGACTCACCTCAAAAAATCTGTATGTCTGACGCAGGTGGGTATCTATACATGTAAACAAGAAATTCTATTTCACGAGCTAGAGTCCCAACGACTTGATAGATTTTGACATATGAGGTACTGTTAGATTCGTCCTAGCAGTGCGAGTGATACTGTGTGTATTAACACTTTGTAAAATTTGGCATTCCAGATGCGGGAGCATTCAATCTTCGGTCCGACCGAAATTACTAAGTCGGGCAATGGTCCAGCGTGGAATTTGTATCTAACGTTTGGCATCTGAGTAGAGTTATGTCATATTCTCCGCGAGATTATGCAGAAATGCATTACTATTATGGTGCTGCCCTAGGAAATGCTCGAGCAGCTGCTCGTATGTGTCGGGAGTATGTGGTTAGAAGAGGTGGACCACAACCGGCGGATTATCCCGACTACCGCGTTTTTCTAAGCGTCCTTAATGCGTATATGAAGGGCCGCATACTAGGTACTCATCGTCACCTAGGAGCGCCGAGGATACGCGCAGAAGAAATAGAAGATTCTAATAGAAGCAGCCGAGAGAGATCCCTCTATAGGCACCAGAGCCGCTGCTCGAGGCAGAAACATATCCCATTCAGTATACACAAAACTACGCTCGGAGAAGATGCATCCTTACCATGTACAAAAAGTACAAAAATTGCTTCCAAGCGACCATGCACAACGGGTTGAAGTTTGTGAGAATGTGTTGAGAAGGTGCGAAGAGGATGGAACTTTTTTCGACAGCATCTCATGGACAGATGAATCCAACTTTAACCGAAATGGAATATTCCACACGCATAATTTCAATTCATGGAGCATGGAAAATCCACGCGCTATTCGCCGTCACAGCTTTCAACGTCAGTTCGGCGGGCTGGAGTACTCAACAAAAAATTAATAGGAGCATATGGATTGCCCGCCATGTTGAATGGTCAGTCATATCTTGCTTTTCTACAAAGCAGTCTGCATGAGCTGCTAGAGGATGTACCTTTGGACGTTCGAAGCCGCATGTATTTTCAATGCGATGGTGCCCCATGCCACTTTGCACGGGATGTACGGCATTATTTAGACAGTGCCTTTCCTAGGCGTTGGACAGATAGAAGTGGACACTTAGGATGGGCTCCAAGGTCATTCGACTTAAAACCTCGAGATTTTTATATATGGAGGTTTTATAAGGGGATAATCTATATATCTGAATATACAAATGTCAACCAACTTTGCCAGAAAATTGATAAAGCACAAATAAAATTTCTTACATGTTCTTTAAAAGTTAGCTAAATTAAATTATCTTCCTCAGTTGTCGATAAGTCGCCATAAAGAGCGGCTAAACACAATAGGTTCTATACTTTTAGGTGGTAAGGATTTTATTGCGTTTCCTACGTTTATCGCATCACCACAACGAATGTGACATGATAGACTCATCGTGAAATTTTTATGCTTTATTCTACATGGATTAAAATACTTTTTACAATAAAATGAATCATGAAATACAGACTAAATTTTTTACCGACCTCCAAAGTTGAGGGATGGAAGAGATTTTTCACAAAAAAATTAATTTAAGATTTTTTTCGTTGATTTCTAATAAGCTCTGATAAAAGTGACATAACCATTGTTAAAACAAACCATTTAGCTCATCTCAGAAAAAAACACAGCCCTAAACCTAATGGTTTAGTTGTAATTGCGAGTGAAAGTTCATTATCCCGTTTTTTTCTAAATTTCACAGAATTACAAATATCTCCTGAAATATCAACTTTCGGACCACACATATAGAGGTTCATTCGATAGGTTTTGAGACCCTCTATCACTTGACTTCCATTGACTAACTTTACACCCTGTATATCTATGAGTCCTGAGTGTACCAGTGGCAAAAACGCGACATCACAAAAATCTGACGTGTAGTTTTACTTCTAGCAGCAAAATTTTCCAAAGCAGCCCATGATTGATTTGGAGGCCTTTTCGGAGCTTCGTTGAATATGTTACGGAATTGGAGGAAATATTTACGAAGAACTTGGTCGAGCTAGCTTGTGTAGGCAATGTAGGAGAACAACTGATGAAAACCGAACTCTTGAGCGTCAGTTTCACTCACTAACCCTTGATAATAGTTTTCCGCTGATCTTTTTTTTTTCACTTTAAATACAAGTCCGCATTTATTCTCAATTCATATATATCAACCGGAATAAAGTCACTACTAGGCCAAATAAAGCTAATCCTAAATTGAGAACATTAACTCATCTATAGGTTTATCGAAATAACACACAACAAAGTGGCATCTATTACCAGAATTGACTACTGCGAAAGTGAAAACAATTCGCGGTGGTCGAGTTTGGTAAGAGATGTCTTATTTCGACAGACCTCATACTATGGATAGAGAATTGTTGCTCAGCTTTCGTCCATTATCCTTTCTCAGACCAAGCCTACACCAGGCTGAGGAGTTGCCAAATAGCACAAAACAGCTGTCCATGGTATGGTAGCTATTTGTCCTGGCGATCTAGATGTGTAGTCAGACAAGAATCATTGTATCTAAGAATATGGTAGATGCGCTATATAAGTAATGCGTACGCTTACCTTCCACCAGAGACGGATCCAGAGGGAACTATTAAGGAGCGGACAAGGAAAATGAAATTCTTGGATTCGATTGGTGAGGAATAATTTAATTGGAAAATTGAATATAAGCAGCAGTCTCAGACATTGGAGTCAGTTCGATATTTGCCAACTTTAGAAAATCTCTCCAACACTTCTACTGGCGATGTGTCCTCATTGCCATAATTTACATGAAGAAGAGCTAGTCCGTTGAGTCTGTTTTAAAGCATTACAATTCTGAGCGGCAAATGTAAATAATACACAGAATTTCCTGCGTATTTCTGTTTTGATATTGATTTCCCCAGGCCCAGAAACCAGAAACGATTAAAGGACTAAGCACATACAACAGCAGTTTTCGTATAGTTTTTCTGTTTTTGATAATAGCAATGATTCCAGTCGCGGTGGCCCAAACGTTGTACAGTAAACGGTAATTAAAACACCACGAAAATGTCAGGATTAGTTTGAAGTGTTACATTAGTCTCAGTCACGGTCTTTCAAGTTACGTTTTCTTCCTACCAGTCGTAACTTTTGTATGTGCATATTTAAATTACTATAAAATTAATTTTCATCAATTATATCTACATTTTTACCTGAGAAATATTATAGTCCAAACATTCCCCAGGCTCAGGCTGATAGCTTTCAAATACATTCACCGTTTTCTTCAGACTTGTAGCCGGCACTTTGAACAATTCTGTGAAAGGACTGTACCTATCCAAAAGACCACCTCTGGCGGTCTTTTTACTTATTTTACGTTTAAATTTCTTATGCGTAGACATTCTTTCAAATATAAATTTTCTTCATAAATAAATTGTCGAACATAAAAGGAAGAAACTGACAATAAAATTACAATATTTGAAAGTTCAAAATAGGTGTCATCAGCGCCCTCTTCAGTAGTAGAACTACAACCGTAATAAGCCACGTGACTTTAAGATTTATCGCTGAAAATGGGGCGCGGTGGCATAGCCAGTAGGCGTGGTCATATTCATATCAAACCCCGCCTTTTTTGCTCACTAATGTAGCATTTATGTCATTTTCACAAACTCACAAATTCTGAGAAAATGATAAACCCTATTGGAATTAGGTCTACTGAGACTGAGGTGAGCAGCTGATCATCAAGTGACATATAAATATAGATGGATTTATTGTAGGTTATGCAATTTGTTTTTGGACAAAGATTTCTGAACGTATCTAGAAGTTTGTTTGCAAACAGATAGTGAAAAGATAAACGCAAACCGATATGTTCTTAAATCGATTTATCCCTTATTTAGAACGCAGAACTCATCTACTGAAAATTCAAACTCGTAATGCAGTGTACACGAAACACGGGAAAATACAAAATGAGCCCTATAGGGCATCTATGGGCGTCTTGAAGGTAATAAATATTCCAGAAATGATCTATTTTCCATGCTTGTGCACGAGGCACTTCTATGACCGCATCTTCACTTAAATTCAGGAAGGATACTTGCCTTATCTTTTGCCTCAAATTTTAACTTTGGGTCTTTACTAGCAAAAAGGCTCCAATCTCGGAATTTCTTGCTTAGTAATTTACAGACAGGATCGTCTTTATGGTGGAGCTCACAAAAAAAATTTTGGTTGAACGAAAATAATATAATTATCTACAGATGTACATGCCTAAAATATGTTTCTGATTACTCTCACAATATATTAAATTATTGATTAATTACAAAACCCAAGAATGAGATAATCATGACCAAAAGTTAATGCAAAACATTGATAGTTGTCACCCTCAGTCCTGCACATGCCAGTGGGTCACTCATGCTTGCCAACGTGCTGCCACCACCAGAAAAAATTTCAGAGTAGACCACTTTCTTTAAAAAAAAGGCCTCGCGAAAATATTTTGCTCCAGGCCTCACATCTGCTTAGGATAGCTCATTCCAGAGTTTATGATTTGAGATATTTTTTCAAGTATGGATGCCATATATTTCAATCAATTGATAGATAAATATGCTTTACTGTGTGATGAATACAATGATTCTTAATGACAAATTAAACTTGAAACTAAAATATTACATAATAATTAGTTTGGTTACTTATTTTCTCAACAGTGTTCTGCTGTGGGAGGCTTAAGCTTAAATCTGATTTTTTCTAGGTTCTGGTTACTGTAGTTTCTGGATTATTGATTGGTGCTGCAATAAGCAAGAATATTGCTAATTTTCTTGAGGAAAATGATCTGTTTGTGCCATCTGATGATGACGATGATGATGATTAAATCAGTGGTTAATGATCAGTAGTAACTTATTGAATTGTATCCAAATGTTATCGCCAATTTTTGATCTAAAACTAGTTATTCTTTATTACCCATTCTAAACTTTTGATAAGTTATTGTTAGCTGATATTTTATGGTAAATTTGTAATAGTAAGTTTATGTTTCAAATATTGTTCCCTTTATAACTATCATACAATAAGAATATTGATGATTTATGTGACAGAGAATGTTATTAACTATACATTTTTTGTCATTGTTTCACATTTTTTGTGTTAATAATTTTGAGTGTATTAATCTTGAGCTCAAAAAGATGTTACTCAGCAAACTATCCATGTTGATTTTATTGCTGATGCATTGTTGTTATCAAAATCGCTGATTATGCTTTTAAACAATAGTAACTAAGTATAGATGGAGAAACTTGCCCCAATTGATTCACTAGTCATCCTTAAGTTATGTGATGTTATGCCCAGTCTAAATTTTAAGTACCTTTCCACTTATGCATATGCAATTTCTAGTTTAGTCCATCTGTTTGCCAATATTTTTGTGTTCAATATAGGTATGTTCAAAGTGAGAATTGTTTGCATTATATTGAGGTTGAGCTACTATTTATTATAATATGACTGCATTAAATTACATTTAAACTGTAAATTGTAATTTTTTTCTACCCATTACCAAATTTTTTTAGATACTAGAAATACAATAAGCAATTAATTTTACTTTGTGAAATAGATATTTTCAGGACCTTTTCTGTAGCTAAAATCAGGAAGTGGTGTTCTCACTAATAAAAAAATAAAAAAAAGTCCATATGCATTCATAGGTATTTTTATTCTTTCGAAGCCTTTTACAAGCTGTCATGTACCATGTTTATCATACAACTATGTTATATCTTAAAGAAAACGCCTAGTAATCACAAATTATAAGATTATAAATAAATATACTGTAACATGAGTACTATTGATTGATTTTCGATAATGATAAAATTTACAAACACATTTGCAGTTACAAGGTAAAAGCATTTACATCACAGATCACAGCACATTCAAAAAATCTTGAAGTATGGTTAGATTACACCAAATGTAGACTTTCAACAAGATGAATCATTTATACGTAAAAAGTGAATGTAAGGTATGTATGTTAGAAACATCAGATTAAAAAAATCCGTTGCATAAAAGGGTGTGGAAATACTTTGCTTTTTCAATTATAAAATTTAGTTCATCGTTTAAAATTTTCTCAAAAATAAAATTAGTAATAAATAGAATAAATAAAGGTAAAAATAACAAAGGATTACTCAGGAGGTCTCTTATGAGTGCCCCAACCATGAAAGCACTTTGTGAACCTTCTTGATTCCTTATTCTTCAACGTGAGGAACAATTTTCTTGGCTTCTCGGGTTGTTTGGCCCTCAAATGTTGAATGTAAACCTTCAAAATGAAAAAATATAAAAATGGCCATATTGCGTGCAGAAAAAATATGCAGTAGGATTTGCAGTTGTGAGCAAGATTTTTTTATTTTCTATCTATTATTTACGTTAATACCAATATATAACTAACTGATTTAAATTGCAGGCCATTTTTGATATACATACGTATTTCAGAAGGTGGCACCATAGTAGTTTTTTTTTGTTAGTAGTTGTTTGAAGCACATGTGTCCAATTTGTCATGGAGCGCTACACGATCCCGCAACGCGTCCGTATTGTTGAAACGTTTTTCTTAAATAACGAGTCGATTGTTGCAACGATTCGGAACCAACGACAAGATTTCGGTCGAAATGATGTGCCCAGTGTCAACACCATTTGTGAACAAACAGAAAAAGTTAAAGACTTGCCAAGGTCGGGCCGTGTTCGAAGTGTTCATACTCCGGAAAATATAGAAAGAGTTCGTGAAAGTGTAGTGGAGCGCCCTGAGACGTCTACCAGACATCGTTCTGAAGAACTGGGTATTTGTCGCACGTCATTATGCACTATTTAAAAAAGACTTGCATTTGAGGCCATATAAAATTCAGTTAACCCAAGAACTACAGCCTAGTGACCAAGAAAATCGCCAACAATACAGGATTTGTTTGGGCATTAGAGAACCCTCGTGTTATCCATCAACAACCACTTCATCCTCGTCGTCTCACAGTTTGGTGCTGTATTTGGTATGGATGTGTCATTGGACTTTACTTCTTTGAAAACTCGAGCGCTACCGTGATAAAAACTTTCTGGCTCCTCAAATCCAACAATTTAACCTTGCAAAACATGTAGTTCCAGCAGGACTGAGCAACTTGTCACTCAGCTAGGGAACCAACGAATCTTTTGCGAACAATACGTCTGGGACGTTCAATTTCTCGATTTGGTGATATCATCTGGCCACCAAGGTCACCGTATTTAACGGTTCCTGACTTTTTTATGGGAATTTCTGAAAAATAGGGTTTATGCCAACAAACCAAATACTGTAGAACAGGTTAAAAACAATATTACGGAAGCGATTGAAAATATTCCTCCCGAAGCCTACCAAAAAGTGATGGAAAATGTAAACGAGAGGGCTCAGGTTTGCGCGGCTTTTAGAGGCGGACATTTGTCTGAAATTAGTGTTCATATATAATTTCTAAGTTTCAATAAAACATTACGATGAAAAAAAATGGACGTATTTTATTCCATTGCATAAATATTCTAGACACAAATCAGTCAGTTACATATCGGCCACCCTTTATAATACCGTAAACACATTTCATTCGTGGAAATGCCTATATTTATTTTTAATTAAATCTGCAATATGAATAACGATTTAAACGCCGCATTTTTCGCATCCTCGACATGCCATTTGACTGCTTTTTATTACTATAAATTACATTGGGAAGCTGTAAAATATATGCAAACATCAAACTGACGGGTTGACAATGACAGTAATACAGATTTCTTCATGAATTGAGTTTATGACCAGATTTCAAAAGTATACAACAAGAATTTGACGTCAAATAAATCCATGGAATTTTTACCAAGTTGGACGTCAAATTCCATGATGCCAACATGGTTTTCCTTAATCAAATCCAAGCGAATAACAAAAATTTCTGTGTTATACGGGGTTATAATATAGTTTAAGATGACACACGAGCTGATGACGTCAGTTACTTGAATCGCTTGAACGCGTTGGTTTTAACCGCGGTTTTGTTGCAAGTTGTTTATTTTAGAAAAGCGGGTATATAATTTTAGGCTATTTTTATTATCAATTAATAATCGGTGCTATTTCGTCTACAACGGTGGTATGGAAAGTTTAAAAAAGAAACCTTTCATAATATTAATGGGAGAAATGTTTTTTTTTCAGAAGTTCATTTGTTAAATCACTTGAGAAAGTCTCTCAGTTTGTCGTGAAAATAAAAGATATGACGCCCAAAATTTTAATGGTGGAACCATGGCTCTGAAGCTATGATAACTTTCAATTCTCTAAACTTTTCCGCATGTCAAATAAAAAATTTATTGATTTACCACAAATGATACAAAAAAGCGACGAAAAAAGATAGTAGCAAAACCGAATACAGGTCTACATTATCCAGTGAGCTTATATGGTCATATTTTAATATTCTTGTGCTATATGGCTACAGAGGTTACTTTGTTAAGCATAGGAACTAGATTTAAAGTGTCCCCAACAACAGTAATGAGCATAACTAATAAGGTTCTCTATTATGCAACAACTGAAGTCAGTCTGTATCAAGTTTCCCAAAAATGAAGCAGAAGTACAACAAAAATATACAATACCCGCCAAAATTCTAACTTGTCACATTTCAAATAATAACCAGAAACGGATCTTATAACCAAACTGATAACCACACTCGCTTGAACGGATCGGTAAATACCAATCCAAAATGGTAAATACCATTTCCATTTGGTTATCCGCTTGAATTTGATTATAATGTACATTTAAAATGTCCCTGAATAATAAAGATCACAAGACAAGGCAAGAAGCCAAGTTCATAGCGGCTTGTAGTTAGCTTCATCTATAACTAGATACTTTGAAAATAATTTTGAATGTCTACAATAAAATATGAATTCGACACATTTAACCAGAAGCTTTACAATAAAAATTGCAGACCTCTGACGTGTTGCGCCATCATTCTAAAAGCATCATCAGGCATCAATTGGATAGTCTGATAATGCTTCTGAAAATAAAGGAAAATGTGTTGACATTTTCATTGTAAGTTTTGCAGTGTGATACAAATTGTCAACATCAAAGCAAAACATCAAAAAACACGTTAGGTTTTTATCGTCGCGTTCCCGTGCACATTTGCTAGAGCAGTTCGGGAGCGTCACACTCTGGGTGCACAAAAAATGTCAATTCAAAAGTAAAAAAGCGGATTTCAACACGACCTTGAAGACATCCTTCTGAATAAACTCGTGAAGAAATTGTTGATGTAAAACGGGTATAAGAATGAACGCGGGCCATTTTTAATCGAACTCCCCGATCAACAAACGGTTGACTAGTTACAAGTCGCAAATGGTGATGTTAGGCCAATGACGTTGCGTTTTAACTTTTTAAATCTACCGCGAGTGTTTTCCCATTACTGATGAGCAAATGCAATAGATTGTGAATATAGCAGCAGCGAAAAATACTTCGAAAAAGTAGATATTTTTCCGTTTATGGTAAATACTTATGGTCTTCCAGAATTACTAATTTATTATAGAGGTCTTTCATAAATTTTATGGTATCTTCTTTTCGGACTCATTGCTTCACACAAACTACACTGGATCATATCGGAAGATTATGTTTACAATTGCAATGAATATCTGCTACCGCTGATATGGTACGCGGCAATACCGGCTAGGACTGCTGAACATGGGACACTACACCCTCAATTAATGATAGTCTCGTCCTGCAGAATCCACAATTCGCCGTTTAATAAACAAATTCGAAACTACTGGTTCTGTGGCAGAACAGAAAGTGCCTGTACGTCAGCAAAATGCAAGATCCTTGAAAATATTGCTGCAGTTCGAGAGAGGGTGCATAAGAATTCGCAACAGTCCATTCCGCGTCGGGCTTAGGAACTTGGCATGTCTTCGACGACAATTTGGCGAATCGTTCATAAGGACTTAGGGTTTTACAAGAACTAAAGGCCAACGATCATAGGCAGGGGCATGCTTTGCTAATTGGGCGCTAGAGCAGCTGGAGGTCGATCTTGATTTTTGTCGAGTGGCTCTGTTAACAAGCAGAATTGCCGAAATTGGAGCGACGAAAACCCACGGTAGATTCATGGGATCCCACTACATCTTGAAAAAGTTACTGTATGGTGTGCACTGTGGTCCAGTGGAATAATAAGAGATTTTTTGGTCTGCAGTGGGTGGAATCGATCTAACAAACATGTGGTTTCAGCAAGACGGTGCTACATGCCATACGACACGAGATACACTGACACTATTGCATGAGAAATTTGAAGGTTTTTTGTCTGGGGCTTTCTAAAATCCAAAGTCTATGCTAACAAACCGCAGACGTGTACCGCCTGAAATGCCAACATTAGGCGCGTTATTGCTGAAATTGAGCCACTTTTATGCGATAACGTCATCTCAAATTGCATATCCAGGATTCAACAAACCAGGCAAAGCCGCGGAGGACATTTACCTGATATAATTTTTGTAACATAATGTTAACACATGTACTTTATAATAAAACTAAAAATATATTACTATCATTCTCAGAATTTGTTTTATTGCGTTACAAAAATCGAGCGCTTCTAATCTAGACCCTTTACCTTTTAAACAGATACATGAAGGTCGTTTCTAACTCGGATCTTAGACTAAAAGGAAACATCATACATCTTACCTGTGCAGACTTATATGCTAGCTTAATTTCGACTTCACTGCAATTTGCACCCAGCCAGAGGAAAACTTGTTCTCCATTGTCCAAAATCATAATATCATCATCTGCCAAGTCATCCTACAATTAAACACACCTTGTATAAACAATGTTTTTGGAAAACCGAAAATTACGAGTTTCGACAAAAAAAAGTAACTCTGCAAGAAATAATATTTTGTTACCTGACAAAAGTCTGAGCATTTTTCTGAAACACTAAAGTAACCTTTTTCATTTGAACACCTAAAAAGTCTTGTGTATTCCATGAAAGTTGCATCTTTCTCATAAGGCTTCTTTCCGCCAAGCCCTAACCAGAAGAAATTGTCGGGTTCTTCGCCTTCTGATAATACCTGAAAAAATGAAAATTATCAAGGTAAAGTTATTTTTATGAACTGAAAAAAGAACGGTATGAGGTACTGCCAAACCAAGGTAACTGTATCCAGAAATGGTAATAACCGAAAATATCATTTTTATACATGGTCAGAAGTCGGCTTCAAGCCGAAAACGGGGAATAAGTTTCCATTACTACAAATTTAAATCTGTTCCTATGCGAAGTAAGTCAGTATCATTTTACGTAGTGACAGTGAGACAGATAGTAACGACACTTTTATTGATTCATGTCTGTGTAATCCGAACAGGAATACGGCAACATGGACCTCATTTATGAGGAATGTAGAAGCAATTGGAAATTTAGCTTCCGATCTTTTAAAGATTGTAATTTGAAAAGTACACGACTTAGGCTTTTTATATTTTTCTGATAGACATCATAACCATAGTAACAGTGCTCGTCAACGTTGTCTGTTTGAAAAGTTCAGATATTAACGGAATTTTTAACATTAGCTGCATTTTCTACTTGTCAATGTCAAATGCGCTCTCTTAATTTTTTAACAATTTGTTTATGATGTAAAAGAATTTCAAGATACCGACATTCAAGTTAATGTAACTCCTGAAATTTATCTTGTGGTTTTGTGCCATTAAGTATAAGTAACATCCTCTGTAAAAACAAATGGTCTCACCTGTAATGTGACCCACGGACTATTGAACATTTCCTCGGCTATCTCTTGAATCAATCTTGCTTCATCTGGATCAGACTTTGAGCCTATCCAGACATATACTATACCAGAATCATCTTGTTCGAAAGGTACATTCAAGATATAGCTGTAAAATACATTGAAATAAAAAATTTGGCTAAAAATATAATGCAAAGAATGTTGATAAACCGTTGTTTTAATTTTTTATAGACACATCCTTTTTTCTAATAACACTGAAAAAAGCTGTTATTTACCAGAAAGCAGAGTTCAGCAGAGAAGCATCTGGCTGTATTTGTACCAATCTTGTGTATAAAGCACTGCCATTTGATCTCATCTGATAAAATTCAACCTAAAAAAATACGAAAACCCTTAGATACACTACATGAATTATATCTGACGATCGCCACCTATCAATGGTTTGCCAGACTGATTTTAATCCTCATTCCATACGATGAAGACGACACATATACCCTTATGTCCTCTGACTTATAACCTCTCCACGTTCTGCGCTATGCCAACTAGCAAAGTGGTGCTAAAAGAACTGTTAAGCCGTAAAACCTTTCTTTTCTCGATCACCAAAATGCTCACTTAATGTTGTGTGAAATGTAAATTTGTTTCCTGTGGCATATTTGCTCGAAAATGTGGTGTATAAAACATTTTGTAGTATACTTATATAACACCTTATAGGATAAATTTAGAACTGTTTGCGCGAACGTTTATACAAATATAATATTTTATATACGGTATATTAGCTCGGTACTCAAAATGGTTGTGTTATTACTTTAGCGGACAAGTTGTTCTCAGCGGAAGCATTGATACAACATTTTTGCACAACATTTATAAGGGATATATTCCAGAGTTAATATATACAATATTATTGCCTGAAATATCTAGAATGAGAAATCTGGTTGATTTTTGATTATTCCTTAAATAAGTGACACATCATCAATTTCACAATTGACCTCAAGAGCGCGCCAGTCCGTTATACTTCCATACTAGACAAATTGTTAGTGCGACCATCTGGCAAACGTGGAGCTCCCATGCTCTTATCAAACGGCAATACTCTACCTGTTAAGAGTCTCGGCCTTATACTCTACTACTACTATATGACGTCATCCATGGACAATTAGAGTCCGCATTTATTCTATTTTGTTAAAACACTGAGTTTTTCGGATAATTGGAAAAATCTTTGGACTTGCAACCTTATCGCAATATCCGGCAATGCAGACAGGATATTCTGACATATGAAATACATGTCAATGCCACATTTGGCACGGGTATTATGTAAGAAACCTATAAAACCTCAAAAAAAACTATAAAATGTCATCTTGCAGACTAGGTAGTTTTTAGGATGCAAGCAGTCATTCCACGTTTGCTCACTAGAATCGTTGTGAGCGTTCATCTATGGAGGAAAAGCTCAACTACACGCATTGTTGGTTGCATATGTTTTGTGAAGCTGAGTAGTCTATAGTTTTCATCTCTGAGAAGAAAGTTGGTTGAATAGCAAGATCGCACATGGATGATTGTGTGTATTGGTCTGCATATGTATAAAATCAGTGATATTTGCTGTATGAGAAAATCATTACTGAACTGCCAATGAAAAGTATATCTATTAGCTGTGCCCGACGGCTTATTTATATGTTGTCCTTTCTGAAGACAGGTTATGTTCAAAGTTATAAATTACGAATTTTTACGTTTTTTTCTGTTTTCAAAAACGTCGAGGAGAATTACGGGAAATCACCACCGCGTCCGATTTGTCTGTAATTACTGTTAGCATATATGTGACTTGTAATTCGACAGTGTATAGTGAATATAATTATTTCTTATCTCTCTCATTTATTAAATTCAGCAAATTTGCATATGTAATTTCCAGAATGGATTAGAAAAAGGGGATGCGCAACTAATTTCTAGCTTTGAACCTCAAGTAATGCCTTCTCTGAAGCAGATTTTACATCACATCAGAGCCAAACATAGATAACTGACGCCTCATGACGTCTAGGCAACACGTACAACTACAAAACTAGTTCACAACGTGTCCATCGGCTACTGCTAAGTTAACACCTTGCAGAAAAACCTACATATCACAAAAAACAAATATAACATCAAAAAAATAGACATAATGCCAATTTTAAAGATACGTAATACCCGTGCCGATCATTTGATAGTCAACCGTGATGGCAGTACAGTGCGACGTCTATCTGTACACAATGCAGAACGTCGAGCGGTTATGAGTCGGAGGATGTAAAAGTCTGTGTCATCTTCATTGTATAGGATGAGGATAAAAATCAGTTTGTCAAGCCATTGGTAGGTGGCGATTGTCAGATTTTCACCTACTTGCGCACCATGTTTGGAGTTTTTGAAAACAGCATACTTGTTTGTTCCCCGTTTCTGTCCCCAAGACTAGACCTAAGACCTATACTGCACTGATAAGCCTAACACAGCGCTGTCTGCGCTTGGTCATGGCCATAGAGGCAGAAGGCTAACATGTCCATTTCAGCCATGATAGATTTTTTATAAATTGTACACCACATGGAATCTTTTATAATGTTTTAATAAATTGCAATTGTTGTAGAAGATATACTTTCATCATTTACCTGAGGTTTTTCTTCCTTGCTCTTTCGTCGGCTACCACGTTTCACAATGAATTTTCGCTTAAAATGGGCAAGGAACTTCATGTTTTCTTGTTGCTGATAAGTCCGTACTACCTCTAACTTGTCACCAAACAGTGCCTTGAATTTTTTCTGGAGCGTAAATGTGAAGGTTAACCACCCTAAAATAATAAAAAAATATATGCTTTAGTGAGTTTACCCGCATCCAAAAGGATGTTACATTAATATGACATGAACTTAAGCAGGGACATACTTCTCTGTAAAAAATGCGATACCGAATTTTTGATCTTAGTATTCGTATCAATAGCCATCATGGGTAAGTTAAAAACGCAAAAATGACAGTGCTATACAAGAAGAACTAGAATTTGGTGAAATCCTCACCCATATTGGAGGCATCTCGCCCTTGCCAGAAGTAACAAACCCATTGGAAATCATCGGCATCGTCATCTGCAACATGTGATGAAGGATCGTCAACGTCATCAGGCACTGGCATCCAATAACGACATAGGAAAACGTAACAGTCCTGAAATAATTAGATCATTCAATACTTGTTCTCCAGGTCACAGGTCACTTTTTAAAAATTGATATTACTCATTATCTTTCAGCAGCTTTTGACGCCCATTTATTAAATATTTCAGGCAAATTAATGTGTTACTAGGTTCTTCATATCAATAAACGCTTCATCGCAAAGTTAATTTTGTCTTTAGAGATAAGACTGGTGGACTATGACGATAATTTTTTGAGAACCAATTCCGGGAGCGACTTTGCTACACTGCCGTACTCAGATAAAAAGAAGTAAAGCGTAGAGATCGAAGACTGAGAAAAGTGAGTTCAAAATATTGATTTTTTCAAGCTAATTAAATAGTATTATTATGGCACAACAAAAGTGAATGAATATTTCAAATTTGCATGGCTTTATAGCGATTCGTTTAAATGTTATTTCGGATCATGATTGTTTTCATCGTTAAAATAAATGTCAGTCCGTATTTAACTGTTCTAGGCTCCCTTGGTTATAGTGTTGATTTACCGAAGAGTTGATGCCTTTTGTGATCCAGCGCCTCGCACTCACATAAGACAAGTAGGGCGAATTCTGTTCTTTTACCGCATTGTCTGCAGCTAAGCTCTCCATGCATTTTGCTCAGCCATTCTTTCAGGCCACTGTGGCCTGTTAAAAGACCTGTAACTGGACGGAGTTGCTCTCTACTGATTGAAAGTAGTTCCGCAGTCTTGTTTGGACATGCTCCGTTCCGGCTAAGTTAGAGGATACTTCACGCCTCACGTGTATTGTGACATTGGATTTATTGCCTCTGTATTTGTATTTTCCCTAGGAGGGTTTTCATTGAAAGATGAAACGAATTCTGTATTTTCTTACTTGCAGACGCAACCCATGGATGAACTTCAGCTTTGTTGACTAGTTACAAGAGATCAATTTATTTAGAGTGGGGCGCCTTGGGGTTTGGCAGAAGTTATGACTAGTGGAAAGTGTCTGGCAGTACTGGCTATTACTTTGTAATGTTCTACAAAGTGTATATAAAAACCAGCCATTAGAATTTAAGTCAGTTCTATTTTTTCTTACCTTTCTCACCCGGTACCGGTAAATCAGTCGTCTTCCCAACTGAGCAGGTGTGCAGGCTTTCAAATAAAGGGTGTGCCAAATAGAATTTTTTTCTCATCACGCAGTAAAATAGGAATCATTTTTTTCAATTATTTGGCTTTATTGGGAATAACAAACATTCCATTAATTATGAAACACGATTTCATTTATATGGTTCCCTCGGCTACGTTCGCAGTAGCGAATCCTGTCGATCCAATTTTTCAAGACGTTGTTGACAGTGTCGGGCTGTATCTGTCGAATGGCTCGATGAATATTCAACTTAAGTGCCAGAATCGCTTGTAGGTTGTCAACATAACATTGATCTTTTATGGTACCCCACAAAAAGAACGCGTTAAGTCGCAACTTCAAGGCGGCCAATTGACATCGCCACGACAGCTGAATACCAAATTTGGTGTGTAAAAGATCAATCGTTTGATTGGATGTCTAGACTGTCACGGCGTTGCCAACCTCATTCTCGAAGAAAAGTGGCACAACGATTCCACAATCCGCACCAAACTGTCACTCGCTGAGGATGCCTGGGCTTCTCGACGACCACGTGCGGGTTTTCCGAGGCCCAGGTGCGGCAGTTTTGCTTCTTAACACATCTGCCAAGATGGAAATGCGCCTCATCCGAAAAGATGATTTTTCGTCCAAAATCTTCATCTATTTCGAACTGTTCTAAGGCCCAAACTGAGAAGCGTTCGCGAAACAAATGGTCTTGGAATTTCAATTCTTGGGTCAATTGGATCTTGTAAGCGAATAATCCAAGGTCTTTGTGTAAAATTCTCCTCATGCTAGTGCGACTAATGTTGAGTTGTTTCGATCGACGAAAGGTTGATGTTCTGCATTAAATCACACACTTTTGGCTACAGCATTCACATTGTCGACTGTGCGCACCGTACGAGTACGTGGACCGAGAGTCTTGTCCACGAACATGCCCGTCTCACGGACTTTTTGAACAAATTTGCATACAACAGGCACGGTGGGTGCCTCCTTTCGGTAAAAATTTGTTTTCAAAATTCGCACTGTTTAAGCTACACTGCACTGACTTTGGAAATGAACTTTCAATATTTCCCAACATTGTTTAAGCATAAAACGATTCATTTTACGCCGCGGTGGTATGATACTAACTTTTTGGTAACATGGCAAAAGTGAACTGTCAGTGTCGAGATAACCTATGATTAAAAAGAAACCACTAGATGGCCAGCCCTTTACATATAAACGCTACTCAATGGTTTGTGTTCATCTTTATTCAAAGCTATCCCGCCTCTGTCAGTACGATCAAAGATACTCTAGGAATAAATGCATCTTACTCAACCCGCGGCATTCGACAGCATTGTTCACACGTAGTTTCTCGTACTGGGCACCCAAACTATATAACTGCTTGTCAAGAGAGCATAAAGAATAGAGCCTTAGCAACTTCAAAAAAAGTTTAAAGATGAGCTTAAAGCAATCGGATGGTTAGAATTTAACTTTACATATATCCACAGGTAATTGATTGTTTCCTTTTTCTGAGAAGTGTAATATTTTAAGCTTTTCTCTTTTTGGTGGTCAATGTTGCGAATTGTGCAATTTAAATGTAGGTACTTTTTTCCTTCATAGTTTGTGTCACTGTTTTTTAGGTCGGGTTGAAAAACAGCGTAAGCTGACCTTTTCGTCACTATACCTATTTTGTAATTATGTGACGAATAAAGGTCATTTATTATTATTATTATTATTATTATTATTATTATTATTATTATTAAATAGGCGACACTTGAAGACTTGCGCTTTTTTTTCTGCTGAATGACCCCAGGAGCGACTTTTAGGTTCGATTATGAATGATCTGATTTCTCACCTGCGAATAGAACGTGCCCATCTCCTCCTGTGGCAACTTAACAAACTTTTTCCCATCCAATACCAATGCTTCCATGGCCTCCAGGTCCTCATTCCACTCATCGGCCAATTGCATGGCCTCTTGCGCAGGCATGGGAGGCTGCCTGGGCATGAACAGCGCGTACAAATCCGCTTTCGTCTCTTGCTTTCGGGCCCATTGGGTCAAGTCAGCGCCCGTCTTACGGACAGATTGGGCCGTACGAGTGAAATCTACGGCTATAACTTCGTCCCAACCGATGAATTTCGCTTTGAAAATCTGAAAATGGGATCAAGTAGATTAATAATAGTAATATTTATTTACACAACTATAAACTGCAAATAAATGGATATACCTCAAAAGGAAAATATCCTTGTGCGTGAGTCTCGTTATAACACATAACACGGTAGTAGCAATAAATTATCTACGAGATTAAGGACTAGAGAAAATCAATTCAATATAAATATAATATGGTAATTTTGTATTGTAGTAATGTGGAAAATATATAACGCCCTCGTAACTGGGACCTTTGCAATGAACACGCTTACGAAACCAGAATCGGCACGGGTATTATATAAAAAAATCTATAAAACGTCAAAAAAACGTATAAAATGTCATATTGCAGACTAGGTAGTTTTTAGGGTGCAAACAGTCATCCCACGTTTTCTCTACGATCGTTGTGAGCGTCCTTCTATGGAGGAATGACTCAACTACAAGCATTGTTGGTTGCATATGTTTTGTGAAGCCGAGTGGTCTGTAGTTTTCATCTCTGAGAAGATGTGAAACAAAGAAAGTTGGTTGAATAGCAAGCTCACATCTGGATGATTATGTGTATTGGTCTGCATGGGTATAAAATCAGTAATATTTACTGTGTTAGAAAATTGTTACTGAATATGCTGCCAATGAAGTATACCACCATATTAGGTGTACCCTACGGTTTATTTATATGTTGTCCTTTCTGAATACAGTTTAGTTCAAAGTTGTAAATTAAGATTTTTCCCGTTTTTTCAAAAACTGTGAGCAACACTACGAGAAATCATAACCGCGCCCGCGTTGTATGCAATTAAGACACATCACAGAAAAATTAGTAATGATGCATTACACATGAAACAGTTTCGCAATGCCTAACATATAGGCGCTGATTTGTAATTTTTTGTTGACATCGCAAAATAAATTTCTATAAAATTTAATGACTGGAAATAAAAAAAATGTAATATCCTTTTCACTTTCATAAATATTCCTGTCTGTAGCATATGTTCTCACCTGTTCCTTCACCAACCAGGGATTTGCTTTTCTTATCTCTCTCATTTTTGAGATTCAGTAAATTTGCATATGTAATTTCCAGAATTAATAAGAAAAAGTGGATGCGCAACTAGTTTCTAGATTTGAATCTCAAGTAAATGTATTTGAGACAAGAGTCCAATGGAATTATCATCAACACATATTATTAGCACACAAATTAGACTTCCAGTAATGCCATCTCTGAAGCAGATTTTACATCACATCAGAGACAAACATTGATAACTAAAGTATCATGACGTTTAGGCAACACGTACACAACCAATACAATGTCAAAAAAATCGACATAATGTCACTTTTCAAGATACATAATACCCGTGCCGAACGTATTCGATGAGAAGATAGCCAACCATATACTGTATCTAGCACCAAAAGGGGGTCTGAAATATGCTAGCGCCATCTATGAGACAGAACACAAACATGAATTTACAAATCCACCTTGAAAAGAATAGTGTTTGGTTCTGTTACTGTCTCATAGACTTAGCGTCTTCAATGCCTTTTTGATGCTTGATAATGCCTTCCGCCTGAGGAGTTTTCTTTCAGTTCTGCTATTCTTGCACAGTTCTAAATTCGGATCAACAATTATAGCAGTCGTGGCGCTCCGGTATTTAGGCTTCTGCTTACACTGCTTAGGTATAATTAACATAAGATAAAAAAAAAACGTAATATTCATTTTAAACTTTTTCGCGTAACTTGACGTGGGAAGCAAAACATGCAATATATTACCTGTGATTCTGTTCCTTCCCTAACTCTCGTCACTCGAGCATACTCGGGTCTGTCAATCATATTAAACAATTCTTCAGATAATTTCACAGCGGCTGCGTTTACTAGCTTCGTTGACTTCTTCCCGATCCTAAAAACAACGAGCAGTTTAGTACAAACACCTCACATTTGAGTTTTTTATGCTCGTTGGTAAATAGCAAACAGTATAAAAACATGATTTGAAACAATTGTTGGAGTAGCGCTCAACAGCCCTGTGCCCCGGCATCATGAGCATAGTGTAACAACACGAAACTTATAAAATGTTCGGATATTCCTGCTAGGCTTCTAGCCCGAAGTTTTTACCAACTGACCGTGTAGGTGGCGCCATTAATAAAGTAACCAATTTCCCCAAGCATGCAAGTTACTAATGCCATCAAAGATATAAACTGTAATCCAAAGGTCCTAGTATTACTTAAAAACAATGTTTGGGGTAAAGCTGGTGCAAAATAACACATCTGTATCGTTTGACGGTCACAGATTGAGTACAGAGACGCCTGGCCTCGCTGTTGCTGCAAAGGACAATTGTGGGCATAACATATCTGCAATAAAGGAGCAGGGGCATAAATGGAAGGATTTGTAACCTGTGCTGGCGTACGTTTCTGCTTATGTGCCTGATAGCTCCTTTGGGTGACTTCTAGTTGAATTTCCATCCGTGTTTTCCTTCAGGTTACACCCGTGCGGAGATTTGATGGGCATATGTTAATCGAAAACACTGAAGTGAAAACATATGCCCATCATAATCTGGATACGGATGTAACGTGATGTAAACAACGATGGGAAGTGAAATTCAACTAGAAACCAACAAGAGCCGGCAGGCACATTTGTGACTTCGGTCAGAAGACCTCGTATTCACGAGGTATCAACCAACGTCGCCAGCGAGGCCACCTGTAGCTACCTATCGTAGTACTTCAAGCACATGATTAAATACAAAGAAAGGCTAGTGGGCATACCCGCAATAAAGAAACAGGGGCAAAAATAGAAGGATTTGTAACCTGTGCGGCGTAAGTTTCTGCTTATGTGGCTGATGGCTCTTTTCGCTGGCTTCTAGTTGAATTTCCATCCGTGTTTTCCTTCGGGTTACACCCCGTGCGGAGATTTGATGGGCAATGTGTTCACTTCGGTGTTTTCGATTCACATCCATTTGGGCCTGACAAAGCCAATAAGCAGAAACGTACGTCGCTCGAATGACCAATCCTATTTCTGCTCCTGTTCCTTTACGATAGATGTTTGCAAATTCATCTGTGAGGTCGCGGATAAAACAATGACTATAACCTTCTTCGGGTATCAATTAGTAATGTACAAATGTTTACGTGTCTTCGTATTGTGGTTCGGACGTGATGCTGACGGACTGAATAGAGAATCACGATTTATAGATATATGTAGATAGTAGAAGTATCCAACCAACAGCCATTTGAGTTTGCTAGATAACGATAAATGTACCTTACCCCGCTATAAGCATTGAAGATAGTATTACAATAACCAATAACGATATACGCACGGGTACTATACGTGAAATGAAACAATATCAAACAAATCTTATCAAAGACATTACGCCTACTTATTTCGTTCGGACCAGCGACTGAGCGCTTTCGCGCCAAACACTCATGTCAGATTCCATTAAGCCGTTTGGACTGTACCCTGTGAAATAACTAGGTTTAAAGTTATTTCCAGGTATGAAAGGCAGCCTTTTTGCTGGTACCAGACTATAATCTATCCCTGTACCAAATTTATCCAGATTCGTTCAGCCATGTTGGCGTGATTGCGAAACAAACATCACACTTTCCCACTTAAAATATTACTTATTAAATTATATTTGCATCTGCTCATACTGACAATCTGACAAAATCATTGATTAACATATACCACAAGAAGATATCCAGTCCCATTGAAAGCCGCAACTGTACGAAAATAACATACGCACCGTAATTTAATATTTCAAAAATTAGAAGAACCTTGAAGTTAGAAGGGACTAAGTCGGAAAATAAAAAAAACAAAATATACGAGGTCGTGATTTTAAAAATTCCTTTTTTAAATAGCCATAAAATATTTCACTTACCATACGAAAACATCCAAATAACAGTCCAATATGTAGACATGTTTGCTGTTCAGAAGTGTATTCACTAGTTTTCCATGTGGTACCTCCACTTGGGGTAATTCCAAATAACCCATGCCTAGCTGTACTTGGTACAACCTTGGTGTTATAGGTGTAAAGTTGAGATCCACATGTTCCTTCAAACAAACAGTTTAGTTATAGCAAGGGTGCTGGCAGCCCACAGCATGAATTTAGAGGAAAGTGAGATTTTCAAAAAAAGGGAGTGAGAAGATAGCCGTTCTTATATCTATTTGCTCTTGATGAGAGAAACAGAAATGATGAATCGCTATACCGTAGCATACGCCATATTATATTCAAAATGGCGGCAGTTAATTCACACGAACCAGATGGGCATACAAAATTGCAGCTCAATTGTTAACTGCTTCAAAATTCAGTTTCAAGATTAGTCCCACAGTTACTTGTACCAAGCTTGAAGAAATTGCCACTGTTAATGCAATTTATCTTTAAATCCCAGCTCAAATTAAGCCAGGAGAAAATGAAAACGATTCAGAGTAAATTCGTATTTTCCGACTCTCTCTCCGAAAATACTAATGTATTGCTTACCGTTTCCGAATTTAAAATATAGTATATATATATATATATACTTCGAAGTTGAGTCATTTATTTTAACAGTGAGTAGATCTGATCAAAAGAAATGTTTTTTTCCTTTAACATTTTTGTGGTAAAATTAAAGTATCAAAGTTATAGCCCTTTAGAAGTTTGAGTACCGCCCTGTCTCAATAATAATATTATGTGCTCGTGTTTGGCAACAACGGATATAATCCGCCTTATCGGTTCATCGCATCGGAAAAAAAAGCGAAAGAATTTGAAACGCTGATCACGATGTTTTTATTCAGTCTGTGTCAGTCGCTAACGCGTGAGTGAATAGTGGTGTTTGCTGCGTGGCTCAAACGAAATAAAAAATGGCACATGTTTATGCGGATCGGTTTCCCAATCGAGTGCAACCAACCCCTCGTGCCTTTGTTAATGTAGTACAACGGGCTCGTGAATCAGGTGACTTAGGACCTCACAGGTGCTCCAAGACCTCACGATCAAATACAGGTCCGCACTGAAATACTTGTCGGGAGGATACTTTATAAAACAAGGTAAAAATTTTTTTTATTTTTTTTTTTATTTTTACACACATATTTTGGTTTATCTTCCTTCTACAATCATTATCTGAAAATTAATGACTCAACTTCAATATGTAGAGAGAGAGAGAGTGCTTTTAGCAGAGTTGAGTTAAAATGCGACGTAGATTTCAACTAATCCTAGTACTTTCCCATGTAGATTGGCTCAGCTTGGGAAGAACCTTGTACATGAACAACTTTAACATAGTTAATTTAAAAAAAAATGTTCTCTTCATTTAATTTTGTGGGGCTTGAGAAAAGGAGGACAGCTCATTGGAAACGTTCATAAACTACAATCTTCAGCCAGAGCGCGAAAATAGTGAGAAAAGTGAATATTTTGAAAAGTGAGTAAAACTGAGATGGATCGAAAAAAGTGAGAAAAAGCGAAAAAAGTGAGTCGCCAGCATCTCTGTTATAGGTAGCAGTTTATAAAACATTTGCTGTCAGGTTGGTCACTTTCTCGAGACGTTGGTTTGGCGTGTTTGTGTTGTAAACCAGTAACGTACGTCAAGTCAGGACATTCCACATAGTAAGTATTTGAAACTTCTTGTGAAGAAAACAACTCACTTTAGGTGGTTCATCTGGTTTTCCCCCGTCAGGTTCACCCAGTACCGTCCAGAACTCCTTGCCTTCACTCCCTTGAGCTTCTGTACTGATCTCAGCTTTATTCTTCCTCTCGTTCTTGTTTATTTTCGCACATTAGCCTCGCTTTAGATTTCAACGTATTCTTCGCTTTCTTACCATTCCACACGATATTTTCAGGCCAGCGTCCAAGATGAAGACAAAATTAGGATCCAAGGAATCTGACGAAACGGCTACTGGTTCTAGGTGAATAGAAGGGCCTGTCGGATGCACCCTGTACAACCTTTTTTCAAAATTCTAGAAAATAAATTGAATAAACTCTAAACATAGGGCGCAGCTTGAATATACAGGGTGTTACAGAATGTTATGACTAGTACATAATTTTACCATTCGCCAAAACGGTTTATAGCCGACACTAGGGTTGCAACGGATATCCGATTACTATTCGTTAAGAGGGATGTCTTTTAAGTTTTGCATATGGAAATAAAACACACGGTAGGTAGTTTTAAATGACTTTATTGTTTTTCGAAGTATTCTCCACGAACATTTACACTTATTCCACTCGTTTGCTGGCATATCCAAAACGGCATTTTTGATGCGTCAACTGCTTCTTCTGGCGACTGGAACCTTTGACCACGCAGTCTGTTTTTAATTTTCGGGAATGTAAAGAAATGGTTAGGACTTAGATCGGGACTATATGTAGGATGGTCCAATAATTCCAGGTTTTCTTCCGTTAAATACTGCCTTGTTTTTTGGGCTGTGTGCGAGCTTGCATTGTCTTGGTGGAGGATGATTCTTCTTTCGGGGTTGATTTTTCGAAGCTCGTTGATTACTTTTGGCAAACAAATGGTGGTATACCAATCCGCAGTAGCAGTTCTTTGCTCATTAAGAGGAATTGTTGCAATATGACCCGCTTTTGACACAAAATGTCGCGACCATCTTTTTCGAAACACTTCGAGAACGGATGACTTTTGTTGGCTTTTCTTCACATTGGAACACCCAAACAGCCGACTGTCGTTTATTTTCTGGTTCATAACAGTAAATCCACGATTCATCAGCACTAACATGCTGTACACATTTATTGAGTTTCCGGAATTGAAACGGTCAAGCGTTTTTTAAAACCAATTAACCCTGGCTACTTTCTGCTCTTCAGTCAACAGGTGGGGTATCTAACGAGAAACTAATTTTCTTACTCCTTTCTTCATGTAAACTTTTTGAATTGAGGTCTTTGAGATCTTCAAGGTCGCCTCAATCTCGCGTTATGTCACATGTCTATGTTCAATGATGAATTTGCGCACAGCATCGACGTTTTCCTGGGTGACTGCCGTTTTGGTGCACCCACCCTGGGATCGTCGCTAAGACTCACCCGTCCACGTTTGAATTCTCCATACCAACGGGAAATTGTCGACTGTGTGGCGCTACGTTGCCGAAAACAGACAGTAACTCAGCAAGGCATTCTTGTTGCGATAATTGTCTCTAGTTGTAATAAATTATGGCGCGAAAATGTTCTCGGTTGAGTTCCATTTTACTAATGACTTGGTGACACTTAAAAGTTCACTGTAGTGAGAACACATTGTTGTGAAACTTTGAATTTAAGTTTACTAAAGAGTGAGGTTAAGATTCAGTACTGACGTTCGATCCGCGCGGCCTACTATGTTTCTATATGCAAAACTTAAAAGACATCCCTCGTATTCGCAGGCTATTATGTAGAATCCGAAAAAAACGACGAAATGTCATCTTGCAGACTAGTTAGTTTTTAGTGTACAAATAGTTCACGTTTGCTCGGTATAATTGCCGTTCGCTGACGTTTAAGCAACACGTACAGCTACAAAACGAGTTCACAACAAGTGTACAACAGCTTGTGCTAAGTTAACATCTTGTTGAAGGACCTACGTTATCACAAAAAACCGACGAAATGTCACTTTTTAAGATACGTAATACCCGTGCCGGCCTATTCGACTACAATTTATTGTCGTCCTTCGGCCAGATGCCGAATAGTAGCTTTAGTAACTGGCAACAGCAGGATAGTAATACAACAAAAACCGCAAAATATAGAAACTTTATCTTTATTGCTACAATCGCCATCAGACAGTAAAATTAAATAGTCTGTGCTTCTTAGCTAACACAACATCAAAGATAAAGTAGATTGACAATTATTACGATTTTTTTTCCAAAAACTAAACTAATGGAGGTTGGAGTTCAAAGTAAATCACAGAGTAAAAATATGTCCTTTTCTATTTAAGTAAAACAAAGATTAAAAAGAAAATCCAACATTATCTCTAAATTAGTAAATAAAGGGCAAATGGTTTATGAACGAGAGTAATTCTGCGTTCGCTGACTAAAACCGGTTCCTCCGCTCCTCGTACAAAGTGGTAGCTTTTGAAGACAATTTCTCACTGAATCAATTTCGAGCCAACTCTAAGAAAATGGACTAACTTCGCTGCCTTCTTTCAAGAAATTTATCAAGATACATTTCTACAGTATTTTTAGTATTTTTGTAGCACAAAATAAAGCACGTCAGCATGTCGAACTTTTCTTCATTGCTAAAATGACCGTCTGTCATCTTTGACGATAATGAAACAATATTAACATTACACGATAATAACAATACTCGGGACAGGTATTTACGTCAAGTCAATCATTTGTTTGCAACGCCTACTTAAAAAACAAGAAAATAAATGTAACATGTTTGTGATAGATCATTGAATTCGTAAAAAAAGCTGCTATTAGATACAGGGTGCACTTGTTTTCGGACCATATAAAAAATAAAGTTAATGATGGTTTCTCAAAAACGAACCGTCTGGCACAAAATTTAAAAACACCATCATGTCGTGGCTAAAAAGTGCCAAAATCTTCATTAGTTTTTTGATATCCCTTAAGATAAAGTGAGAAAAAATAAAAACGAGCCGTGAAATTTTTACAAGTTTCTCAACGGCATGTAAATACGCCCCAAAGAACGCAACTTTTTCCTAATCTCCAACACGTATCGAGACCTCCATTCATAGGATACTCTGTATAGGATTGCTTCACCATTATCAATTTCACAAGGACGCAAAAATAACTGGGGATAAAAATAAAAAAGTTTCAAATGATTGCTCCATTCACAGAAAAACTCGCATGACACCTTCGAATTATGAATGAAGCATTTGCGCATCTTATTTAATGACTGAGTATACGACGTTGGCATCGTGCGG